GACGCAAACGTCAGCGAACGTTGAAAGGACAGGACCAACCTCGATGTCGGGACAAGTTGGTCGCCGTCGCAACGTTAACATACCCTTCGTCGCCGCGTAAAGACGTCATTCCATCGGCCACAGGCCACGGGGATCGGCAGTACATGCACGTGAGCTACCACGGCGCGACGTAAGGCTTCAAACCACTCACACACTTGCAGCAACCAACTGTACCTGGGCAACCAGGGCGCGCCGCGACTTTTCCCACTGGGTGAAGCACTCGGCGTGGATGTTGTTGCCGCATTGCTCTTTGCACCACACCACCGGTCGCCCGTCCGCGAGCGCTTCAAAGCAGACAGGGCAATCCGAGTCTTCCAGGGGTTTCTGCTGGACACCGTCCGACTCGTCGTCGCTGCCGGCAGCCAACTTCGCGGTCGCAGCGCGATAGCGGTCCACAATTGTTTCAGTGGCGATCACCGCCAACTTCGCGGTCGCAGCGCGATAGCGGTCCATAATTGTTTTAGTGGCGAGCACCGTCGGTTCGACTTTGGTAGCTGCCTCAAAAATTTCGCGCAATTCGGTCGTCAACAACGCTTTTTGCAACTCGTGCGGGCTTGACGCAGGCAGACGTAGGCATTTCAGCCAGACGAACCTTGATACCACGAAAACACTGCATCAGACAGCGCAGACCAACGATCATCCTACAGGATGTGCTTGCACAGGTTGCCCTTGAGAAAATCGGGGCAGGTGCATGAAGGCACTGCTTTAATCGACACAGGGTAGACATTGCCTGAACGACACCACGACACGATGCTGCCAAGTCGGAAATGGACAGGTACCTGTGCTTCCGACCACGGCAAACGTTTGATGTAACGGAGACTGCACTTGCTTATCAATCAAGTACAGGCGTTGGTGGAGGGCGCGTGTGGTCTTTCGTAAGTTGGCTCGCGACGGAGCGAGCCAGTCGCTTCTCGAACACAGCGGGGGTGGCTGTACTGCCTTGTTGTGGCTGCGATGCCTGCGCACGCTTTGCTTTGCGGCTACGTCTTGTTCTCGCGACATGGGCTTCGTCTTCATCGCCAGGGTGGATGCCCTTGTTCAAAAGCAGTGGTTGCGGCGCTGGTTTAAATGATGCAACATTCTCATGCAGGTGCGACGTGGGAATGTGACGTGTATGGGGAGGACATGGGGTAGTACCCCAACTCTGGGAGGGAAAGGTTGTCTTGATCCAGTGGGTGGCAGCTCCAGGATAGGTCGTGGATGCATGCGCAGGTGTCGAATCCATTGATGGACGGTGGCATAGTGACTTGGGTAGTCCGCGGATACGACCTCCCGCTGGTCGGGACTGCCCCTTGTTGTGCCGATGCGATTGACAGCAATGTGGCAATGCTTGGGAGAGGAATGTGGCGCTGTCCATGGACTTGATGAGATGCATACGATGCAGGATTTGGTCGGAATGGAGACCGTCTTTCGGGTTGGATCTGTTGAACGAGTGGTGCCAGCTGCGGAACGACCATTTGCTGGGATCGCAGGGTTGTCGCCGCCTGGTTGCCATACGCGCGTTTGGGTTTCTTTGCGGCTGGGTATTCGTGTTGATGTTGCCAATGTCGAGGTGAAGGTGCGCCGACGTCTTGCACGCATCGCTTCGTGTCCCGTTCGATGCGATCGTCTCTCGCGTGATGCTCCACGATTGCACTTGTGGCAAAATCGGTAATCGACTGCGAGGCCACCCCGTTGACCCCTTGGCCGTGATAGTTCACAACATAGGGTTCGACGAGGGAGTGTTCATGGCGGAGTCGTTCGTTGCGGCGGCGGTGGTCGTGTTGCTTGCATGCGCGATGCGGTTTGGTAGCACCATTGTCAGAGGCAAGTCCCCTGTTGTTGCAGAACCATCGATCGATGCGCGCTGGGTCAACGCCTCCCAATTATTCCACCCCGATCTGGATCCGCCACGCGGCGCACTCCTTTCGTGAGTTGCACCCCGCCCGCAGGTGCTGGACTAGCACTTCCTTCTGCGCCGCCGTGAACAACATCCCGCCATTCCAAGAATACAAGCTGCAGCAATCCAAACTGTGTTCTCGTATATGCTTTTCCACAGGTCTCGAACCGTGATGGCAACATGAATGCACTTCTGGCCAGGCCAAAGCCGAGCTCGTCCGCGCCGGCCATCTGGACGATAAGAAGGCGTTTTCATACCGTGCTTGCAACTCCCAAGGCGCCGAGACTTCGCCCGACGGGACTTGTCGTGGGCTGTGTGCGACTGCCGCGCCGAATTGCGTTCGACCTGTGAAACGAGTGCATCGAGGGGTTCCACCCGTGGGCAACCAGGCATTTCTCGACAAATCGTGCCTTGTGCGTGACGAGTAGTGTCCCTGACTTGCAAGCGACGTTTCTCTCTTGTTTGGTGTAGGTACGGCTGGGTCAGGAAAACGTCTGCGAGTCACGCTGACACGACGACCAATGTCAACACAGTCTAGTGTCATATCCATGCTTCATGGGAACGGTGGCATGTGCTCGAATACTGTCGAGACCTCTCCACGACGCTGGACGTACCGGCAACCAGTGCGCTCCTGCGTTAGGACAGATGCGCCAGAACACGCCCCGAACATTGCCGAGCCTTGCGTCCCCTTTGCTTGACATGATGTTGAGGAAATGCTGCATTCTCCCCGTTGTCTTGGGTGCCCCCGCTCGAGCCCACTTGGAACCGCGATCGCTCTCGGTCGAGTTGAAGCGAACGTTTGGGTGGCACTTTCTGACAAGACCATCATTCCTGATTTCAATATTCATGTCCTTATACTTGTTAATTATATGTAGAATAGAGCGACAGAATAAAAATGGGCACGAATCAATCCCGGAGAAGATCAGTCAGTGTTTTGTGGAGGCGATCAACATGACGACGGCGGTGGGGTCGAGCGACAAGAGCGCCGACGAGCTGAGTCAGAACGACTGGCTTGCGATCCAATTGCCAAAGGAAATCCTCCGTCATGGAGGAAAGCTGGCACATCACTTCCGCACGCTCGCACTGGACGCTCCGGAGGAGGCGAAACGTGAGATTCTGCGAAAGCTCGACACCCTCAAGAGAGAGGCGACGAAAGAAATCCCTCCAGGTGTATTCGACGGAAACGACTTGGACCGAATTCGCATCTTTAACTTCTCGAACGACACCGCCGCCGACCTCAAGACGTTTCAGACGTCGACACCGTCGGCGGTCCTGCGTGAAGTCCAATTCTCCCAGACGCCGGTGTCGGCCAACAATTACCAAGTGACGTGCCTCCAAGAGTCGTATTGTTTCCAGACGCATCTGGACCTTCTCGCACGATGCGTGCAAACCCCTTCTAGACAAGACGCGAACGCCGATAGCACGTATCCTGTGTCGGCGCACGACCCCGCCATCTTCCCCGAGAAGCTCTTTTCCCTCGCTTCGTGTCGCCTCCAGCTTGAAATGCTTTCATCGTTTCGGCAAATCAACCCGACGTTCTACCGCAATGGCATGCGAGTTCTCATTCGAACGGTGTTGGAGTGTCCACCTCAAGCACTGCAACGAATTGTGCCCAAGACCGCCGAAGCAGCGATCTTACAGTCCATGTTTGAATTCTGCACCCACGTGGTCGATGATGCAGACAGCACCCCCGCGGAAAAGGTCTCTGCGTTGTCGTTGCTTCTAGCGTTGGGGGAATCGAGTGGCCTCGCACATCACCTGCTTGTCGTAGTCGAGTCGCTTCTGCTGAACCGCATTGGTGCTGAATTCCCTGACGACAACTTTTCAACGGAAGTGACGCACCTTGTGACTCGATTTGAGTCGTACCGAGCCAACTTTGAACTCGGATCGATCCAGGCGAAAGTGATCAAGACCATTCGCCTCCAAGAGGACGACGACAGCGTGTGCGGCACGATTGCGAGCGATGGCAAGTACATTTACGCGTTTTCTGGCCAAGGGTTGAGTAAATTGGGCACGGGGTACCATGGCACCATCCTTGGCAACGTTTACGCGACGCAGCCACTCAGCACGTTCATGGAGTGGTTGGGCTGGTCCAACACGAACGACATCCACTACTTTGTCTACCTGGTGCACGTCCACCGCAAGCTGTTTGTGTGGTTTGTCCGTCGTGACGATGAGTCAACGATGTCTCCGTTCATGTTTGAGCTCTCGGATGCCGATCTGGACATGGTAGCTCGCGACTGCGATGACGCCGGCACGGTCGAGTTGATCGAGTCCGCCAGGAACGTTGAGTTTTGCAGCGACGGACTGTACATGTATGTCGTGGCATCGACGCCGACGTCCCTCGCGTGGAGAAAAGTGGACCCGGCCAACAACTGGAAGTGCTTTCAACACGAAGTCCTCCACTTTGCCACGAATGTGCCGAAAGAAGCCCACAATTTGCTGACAGGCGATGTGCTTCCGTTCTTCTACACGAATGGCCACTACCTGATTGGAACGATCAAGCGTGACACCACGCTCTACGAGGTGTCGATTGCGTTGGCAACGTCGACAGTTCACGTCGCCTCGGTTGAGAGCGCGCTGGTGCCGAACGCGATTTGCTTTGATGCGTGCAACAACTTGCTGTGGAGCACGTCGTCCAAGTCGGTGCTGTGCCACCCTAACACAGGCACCCATGTCATCCTGCGACCGGAGCGTCTTTTAGATGCGGACATCCAAGCAGAACTGAACCAACCGCTGACCAGCCGCATTGTTGGGCTGCGCATTCTCGTGCAACTTGAACGCATCGTGGATTCGCACCTTCCGGACGACATCAACCAAATGGATGTCAGCGACGACGCGGCCGCGATTCTGTTTGGCGTCGACGTCGACGCGTCGACGTTCAAGTCGCTGATCGAAATCGTGTCGTACTTTGCCGCCCTCGGGCCTTCGCTTCCAAAGTGGCAAGAATTCGTCATTCTCGTGTGCCTGAAGATGCTGTCGCTCAATACTCTGCATTGGCTCGTTCACAAGAAGAAAGAAATCGCCGACGTTGTCCTCAATTTGAATTTTCCCGTCGTGCTCAAGGCACTCGTGGCCACTTCGCCCAACCCACGAATCGTCGAGGCTGCTCGCCTTCTCTTTGTGCTTTCCATTGATATATTCCATCCAACCGTGTCTGCTCAGTGGCAGCTCCTAGTGTCGTACGTGGAAAAGTTGCATGACCACACTCTCGCGCCCGAAGAACGATCTGTTGTCGAGCTCGTGGTAGATCGCCTCTCGTCCAAGCGAAAGACGCAGGAAGCAGTCCAAGAAGCTGCTTCGAAAGACTTTGACGGCATGCAATGGTTTGAAAAGCTCGTCGCGTTGTCCGTCGCGAATGTCAAGCATCTTCTTGTGGACAGTACGGACACGGCATTAGCAGCCGTTGGACAAAAACTCACGCACTTGGTGTATTCGGTCGTCCACGGCATCCTCGGTGGCGTGTCGGGAAAAATTGTCCCCGTCTCTGTTTTGCAACGTGTATTTAGTCTCGTGGTACACGGCTGCGTCGAGCTATGCGACCTCGACGTTTCTGCGCACCTGGAAGTGCTTGAAACGAGCATCGTTGGTGAAGTTGCCGCGTCGTTCGTGGGCTTTACCCAAGTAATCCTTGACGGGCAGTTTGACGACCGCGATAAGTGGGAAGTTGCGTCGTTGAAAGACATGGCGCAGCAACTTCTGTCGCTGCTCAAGAAGGTCGTCCCGCTGATCGATGCCGTGCCAAAGGACGAGCGCGAACAAAGCATTGATGTCCAGTACGTGGGCAAGTCGAGTGTCGAGATGGAATCTGCGCACGAGTATTCGAACGACATGCACGAGCTCAAGGAACTCCGTTTGGATGGCGCAACATCCATGACGATTACATTTGACAGTCGGTCGCGTACTGAGCTCAACTACGACTACGTCACGTTTTACCACGACAGGACGTGCACGGCGTATTATGGCGAGGAAAAGTACTCGGGCCGCGATTCGTCGTACAACTGGCCTGGCGTCGGCCACAACCCGCCGTTGGTGATTGAAAGCGATTCGTGTTACGTTCTTTTTCACTCGGACGGGTCCACGGTCGACTGGGGGTTCAAGTTCACCGCGGTGGCTAACGTTTGTGAGAACAACATGTCGCTGGAGTTGCATTGGCTCGTGGCCGTTGAAGTGCAGATCTCGAACTTACTCACAACGATTGCCACGATCGGACCAAAGTGGATGCCCCTCGAGTGGCTCGAGACCGAACAACATCAGTTTCTCGACTGCGATTTGCTCCATGGTGGCATTGACACGTCCGAAGCGACTGAAGTGTCGGTGTTCTTGAATGACTTGATCGAACTCAACTCCCCCGACACTCCCGCGGCACACCTGGCAAAAATTCTCAAGCAGCACACAATTCAAGACCAAGGGACGGTGGCACACATCAACCGCGCTGTCCGCGCCGTCGCAGCCGCCATGCTTCACCACAACATGTGGAGTGTCGACGCGTATGCACTCGGTCAAAGCCGACACACCGACCCGAATCCGTCCTTGTTGAAGGCGTGGAAGAATGCTCAAAAGATGCGCAACTGGTTTGATCTCGGGGATGCCAAACGTGCTACGAGAAAGCCGGACGAAGCAGCCTCTGCGACAAAGCCAAAGCTAAGCCGGCAGCCGTCGGCATATGTCGGCGCCTCCGACGATGCGCTGCGCAAGTTGTGTGCAAATGTCGAGGAGCGTGCCAAGTTTTTGTTGTCACTTGCCCCGGCTTCGTTTAGCTTGGCGACAGAGTCCGAAGACCCCATGGGTGCGAAGAAGCGGTGGAATTTGCTGGCGCAATATGGAACTTCGTTGAAGAAAGGTGACAGCACCACATCGCTCTTGAAGAAGTGGCACTCTCTTGTCGACGAAGTTGAGGCAGCGACAGAATTAAAACGAAAGATGCTCTACCGAAAGCAATCGGCCGGACGACACCAAGGCTGCCATGAAAAAACCGTGACGGAGCTCGTCCTCGAGTTCGTCCAGAGTGACGTCGTGGTCGGGGACCTGGCTGCCGCCGTGGCCTTGCGCAATCGCCGCGCCCAGTTTCGGTTGCTTAGCTTGACAATTCTGTACCAAACGTCCGAGATTAGTCGAAACAACAGGCTCCAACACAACTTGCTCGAACGCTTCGTCAAGTCCATCTCAGACCTGGATACGAACAAGGTCCACTTTCTCACGCACACACACGGATGTTCGCTGTCCCTGCGGAACAACGCTCGAAGTGTCTTCTCCAAATGCCTTGAAGTGTTTACAAACATCCTGCGAACGACAAATGCAGCGGCTCCCTGCACCCCAAATCTTCTCACGAGCGTTTTGAAGTGCGTTGCGATGGACTACGATTTGAAAGATGCCCACTTGATCTTCAAGAGCGACGTCATCCCTGCAGTTTTTAACTTGCTACTGTCATCCGACGAGCGGGTCCGAAAGACAGCGCAAGCCACCGCCCGCGTTTTCTTGGAACGTTTCATGGTCAAAGAAAAGGAGTCCAACCTGCAAAAACAACTCTGCACTTGCGTTCAGCACTACTTGGACTGCGTCCACAAACCCGCTGGAGCTGGCGTCTTCCTTCCAATGGAAGGATCGCTCTTGAATTCGGACGCCCCGTTCGTGTCGTTGGGCGTGTGGGTGTACGTTCCACAAACCCAGTGGCGACAACTTCGACAAGGCGATCGAGTGGTGAAGGGGCCGCAGTGGAAGGACACCGAAAACGTGCCAACGAGCGGCGTCGTACTTGCCATTCACGGAAACGACCTCTCGGTCGAGTGGGAAGCTCATGGCAATACCAAGGCGAAGAAGGGCTTTCACAAGTTTGACGCGGACAAGAATATGTTGGAAGTCATCCCTGTCGATCAAGACCCGAGCGGACAAATTTTACTGCGCACGAACCATACCCATGGCCCTTGGGGCGAGATCAACCTTCGCTTGACAACCGAATTGAAGATTGAAGGGACGGTCAGTCTAGGGCCGTCGCAGTCGGCGACTCTCGTCACAGCTGCTCCCGTTCGTGTAGACCAGTGGCATTACGTATCGTTTGGCCGCAATGGAGACTCGCTGACGTTGACGATTGACGGGACCGATACAGTCGAGGAAACACTCCACAGCGTTTTGCAGTCCCATGACTCGTCTCTTCCGATTCACGTTGTCGAAACACCTCATCCATTCCACGGTCAAGCGGAGCAATGGTCGATGTTTCCCGTATCGATTCCACACGCCAAGCTTGTCCGAGTGACCTTTGACCCGCAGTCCAACTTGACGCAAGCCTCCAACTACGTTGCGATCTACTTGGACGAGACCATGGAATGCGTCTATGGCGAAAACATGTACAACCAAGCGTTCAGCAACTTTCCTGGGGTTGGCGACAACCCGTACGTCTCTGTGTATCCAAGATGGACTGTAACTCAAATGAATCATGCACAGGGCGCTCGACGTACCATCCGGCGAATTTGTCGTGGGGCTGTTCACCGAAGACACGTCAGAACTCTGGGTACAGCGATCTAGACGTGATCGTGCTACGAGCTGACGAGTGACTGTAGGGATTTCGAATGACGGTTCAAGTCGTTGAAAGTACCTCTCCTTCCCCCAACACCAACAAAATGTATCAAGTGTATTTTGGAGAGGCGCCGAGGCGTGTGTCCAACCAAAAGGCAGCGAAGTGCTACATTGAAGACTTTGAGTTACTCGAAGCTCCTCCCACGAAAATCCCCGCGAAAGCCCCAGCCGCCGTGATACCCTTGCATGGCGCCGAAATGTGTATCCATGCTCTGAGCTTGATCAGCATGTGCCTGTTCAGCCAAAACGAATATGGCAGCCAAGTGATTGCCCCGCCGGCGCCGCTTAGCCACGTGCTTGACCTTGCGTTCGCGTCGAACTTGCCCGTGTCGGTGCGATGTTGTGCCGCCACTGTGATGAGCCATTTCCTGTCGCACGTTCAAGTCGATCTTCAAGGCAAACAACAATACATCACGAAAGCATTTGCAAGTCTAGCCACGATGTTGGATCTGTGGGGAAAAAAGCGACCGAAAGTCCAGTTGTCGGCGGCGTCGGCCATGTGGCTGGCGTCGTGCTACGCTGCATTTCTTCGTGCGTGTTGTCATCAAATTGATTTGGGGTCTGACATAGCCCCAACCTTGATGCAAATGTTGCAAGACAAGAGATCGTTCGATCAAGTGCTGTCTGCTTTGGCCGTGATGGGCGGCATGTACGACGGTGTATTTGTGGGAAGCCGAGTCAACTGCCTCGTGAAAGCAGACTCGATTGAAGTGGGGACTGTTCTCCAGTTCGACGTGTTCGGGAACAAGCGCACGGCACGGGTGCTGCTTGACATGGACATGACCAAGGTGGATTCGTTTCCGCTCGACAAATTATCCGTCGCTCCTCAATGTCCGAACTATCTAAATGTCTTGTACGACCGGCTGACTCCGTACTTGAACGCGCTCGTGGACGTCTTGCATGGGTTGAACTCGAACGAATCGCTCGCTCAACTCGATGCCCAGGCCCGTCTGATGAAAGCGATCAACTTTTTGTTTCAGCACCTGCCGCAGTCGTCAGTCATCCCGTCGCTTCGGCCGTCTTTGATGGAACTGGCGTTGTTGCATCAAGAGGGAGTCTTTCTGCGCGAAAAACCAACCACACACGTGTACGAGTCCCTTCACCCGTACCGAGATGGCCAAGACGTGTACCAAACGATTGTGATGAGCAATGCCAAGTTGCTCAAGATCACGTTCGACCCTGCATCTCGAACGGAACAAGGTTGCGACTACGTGACGTTTTACAAGGACGAGTCGCACTCGGAACGATGGGGAAATGACACTTACAGTGGTCGAGACGGATCGGAAAACTTTCCAGGGTTTGGCGGGCGATCGGCGCTTGAAATCCCCGCTGACTCGTTCGTCCTGCATTGGCATTCCGACAGCTCGAACAACGATTGGGGGTACAAATTCACTGTCGAAGCCGTGTACAGCGACATTTCGTCGACATCGTTTACGCTCGACGAGTTGAGTCAACGAATGTACCACCTGTCTGAAATCATGTACGAGCAGCCTCAACACACCAAGTTGCTTCCTCGCGTTGTACCCTTGGAAGCCACCAGTCACTTGCACAAGAAATATCGTGCTGTCGACACAGATGCGCTTCTGTACTTGAAGGACGAACAGTCGGTGGACTGGGAAGTAGGCATCGCCGAATGGACCGTACATGAACAACGCGATGAGGACAGTCCCGAGATCATCACAATGCGTCGCGGGAATGTAGTGACAGTCCTGGAATTTGACGACGAGAAGGGATGGGTGCGAGTCAAGTACGTCGGGCTCACCGGGTGGTGCAAAGTCAAGGAACCTAAGAGTCTCCATCGAGTCTCTCGACTTCCGTCGTCAGAGTTTTCCATGCGCATTCCCGGATGGAATGACTTGTATACTTCACTACCCAAGCCCGACGAATTGGTGGTCACAAAGCGCGACGATGCCGACAAGTTCAAGTCCCATTTCGACGTGGACACGATTGAGTTCCAGTCAGGCGATGCATACACTACGCTGTTGCGGGAGTTTTCGCAGTCGATGGCGATCAAATATGCAAAGGACTGCTTGCGGTCGTATCTGTCATCTGGCCTCAAAGACGATGTGTTGCCCGTCGACACTTTTGTGCAGCTGGCGCAGCTTTTTGCGCTCGAGAAGAACACGATTGGTGATACGCTCGGACAGCGGCTCAAGATCCTTGCAGCGCACACAGCGTTTGCCAACGACATCGTGTCGTTGTATGTCGCGGCAGTCGACGCCTTTGTCCAGTCTTTGCCGCGGGGCCGCATTCTTACCAAAACCGTGCACGACATGCTCCGCGACTCGGTCGTGAAGATTCATTTTCCTGGCGCGACGTCGATCCGTCTTGCATTCGACAAAGAGTCGCATTGCCACGAAAGTGACGAGTTTGTCCGTGTCTACGACCAACGTGACGTCGTGGGTTCGAAATATCAAGGACCCAAAGGCAGCTCGTGGCCAGGAGTTGGTGAAACACCCCCGCTGGTCGTGAAATCCGACACTGTCACAGTGAACTTTGAATACGTTAGTGATACTGGCGGCACTCGCTTGATCAAGTTTACAGCGTATGCCGAGTACGACGACGATGAAGAGACGAAGACACCACCTCCAAAACCCGACGAGCTGGCTTCGTTGCATTTGGCCTGTTGGGTGTTTCGCGCGTTGGCATCGTCTCAAACCATACCTCGACGTTTCGTAGCGCGCGTGCTGGATTTGACCATGCAGCTGTATCAATTCATGCCGGAGGACATGCAAATCAAACTGATTGATGTGTGGGCGTCATTTCTGACCGATGTATCGATTTTCCAAGATTTGACGGCACATCAAATCAAGACATGGTGTTTATTTGTCAAAAACAAGCTGTGCCTCCAGTTCGAAAGTGAGGTGCCACAGGCCTCCGTGCTCCTCAAGCGGCTCGTCCAAGTCGTCGTTGACATGGACTTCAAGCTCGACGACTATTTGCTCCAAGCCGAATCGCTCTCCGACACATTTACCAACTTTGAGTTTGTCGCCACCGCTGCCATTAAACCTTTGGTCGAAAACGGGATGAGTGGTGTTATCCTGCCGATGAATGGCCCAGTGCTTGTCCGAACCACACAAGGGCTTGACAACGGCCTGCACGCGTGGGACGTGTTCATCAAAACGATGAAGTCGCGCATCAGCATTGGCCTGGCCTCATCGGACCAAGACAGGTTGGTGTCTGCTTACCCCGACGAGTTTGCTTTGAAACAAGGAGATGTCATTGGGTTTGAAGTGGACTTGCATTTGAAGCTTGTGACGTTCAAGCGGAACAATGCAGTGCTCACGTCCAAGCCGTTGGTGGGAGAACCGTTGTCTACGCTCTATCCTGCTGTCGTCTTGCTTCACCAAGGCGACGAAGTCTTGATCCAAAAGCAAGCGCCATTGCGATGCGTGCGGAAGACGATTACGGAGAGTCCGTGGTGGTATGCCAAGATCGTCAAGTCCGTTCGTCTTTTGCGCGGCTTGAATTCCGTGGATTCTCCGAGTACCGTCGACATTTCTGGTGAAGACACTGAAGTCAATTTCCCTGGTGCTAAGAAGCTGCATGTGGCTTTGAGCTACAACTCTGCCTTGGACCCAGAAAAGTCCTTGCAACTGACTAGCTGTGGCAAGACAGTTGTGTTGGACAGCGCCAACAATCTGCTTGCGACGTCACCGTACGTTGAGAAGAATGTCGCACCGACCAGCGTGATCCTGAAACGCGTCAGTCGGGGCAGCGACTGGCAGTACGGTAACGATGATGGTGGTCCAGGGAATATTGGGGTTATCTTGAGTCTTGAAAGCTGGGGTGGTGTCGCAAAGTCTGCAGTGCGTGTGCAATGGCTAGACAACAACATAACTGGGATCTATCGCTACGGCTTTCACGGCCGGTTCGACGTCGACTTGGTTTCGCCGTTTGCTGCCCCGTCCAGCATGCTGCTCGTCGATGGCGAGACGTTGCAAATCCAGGCAAAGCCCAAGACGACTGTGTCGCCACTGTTCAAGGGAAGTTTGAGCTTGGACGGGACGCAGCATGTTGTCATTCGTAATTTGACGTCGCTCCAACGAGACTTTACAATTCAGTTCTGGCTCAAGCTGGACAAGGTCAAACCGTGCAGTATCTTTTGTATCACGAGCGACGAAAACGCGTGGTGGATGAGCTTGTCCGTCACGTCAAGTCACGAACTGGCATTTACGATCGGTCATGTTTCCGAGGAGTCGATGGCTGTGTCCGTCGGCGGCACCCTCGAAGAATGGCATCGATTTGAAGTGTGTGCAGCAGGGTCGCTGATTTCAATCCATGCCGACTCCAAGATGCTTGGACACGAGCGTCTTCCGTCCAAGTTGAATCTTGACTCGTCGCCGGCAAGTCTTTCGTTCGGCGCTGGTCCGACCAAGTCCACGCCCGCTCACAAACTTACTGGACACGTGTTTGGGCTGCGAATTTGGAACGCTCCGTTGCACCTGCGTGAGCTCGCCGAATTTTTCGTAAACGATGAACGCCACTTGACGGAAGAATGCCCAACATTTGACCAACTCGTCGTCGAAAGCACACTGCTGGAGGTATTCTTACGGTCGTGGGTTGTTGTCATGATTGCCATCGATTGTGCTAGGTTCAGCGTCCAGTCCAGGACATTCCGCGCGCCATCGTCTCAACGTCGCAAGCCATGTCTGCCATGACCTTTGACAATCACTCGATGCACTTTGCTAGTCTTCGTCCCAAGTATCTTGGCGTTATCTCGCCATTGACGACTCCGACCAAAGTATACTACGAAGTCACGTTTTTCACGGCTGGTTGCGTGCAAGTGGGTTGGTCGTTCAAGGACTGTGCCCCTGCGGGAGCCACCAGTGGTATCGGCGATTGCAAACTGTCGTACGGTTTGAATACCGTCGCGCAGTCGAAATGGCACGGAGAGCGAGAACACATTTCGGAAGTGCCGTGGCAAGCAGGTGATGTGTTGGGGTGCATGTTGGACTGGGACGCCGGCGTGATGACGTTCTCTGTGAACGGCCGCCTCTTGGACAACATCTCGTTCAAACGAGGGGGCGGAAACTGCGGACGACCAACCCAGGAAATCAATTCCCCCACTGCGTCCATGTTGGGCGGACTCTGGGGAGATGACGAAGAGGAGGATAATGACGACGAAAATGACGGCGACGATGTCCATGATGGTAGCGACAACTCGGACCAGATTTTGACTGCACAAGATGAAGCTCTACCCGATGACTCGGTAGTTGCAGCTGTCGCTGCAGATGAAAGAGGATCGCCTTCAGTCATGGAAGCAAGTTTTGTTGGTGCTGACCAAGTGGAAATTGAACTAGAGCCAAGTTCCGAACCAGCCGAAACCGAGGGCTCCAGTGCCATGAAACCCGCGACAACGCTGACGACGCCAATCGATCAAAACGAATGGCTGCAACGAGGTGGAATTTTTCCGTCCCTGTCATTGCGCAGTGCTGACTGCATTCGTTGGAACTTTGGCCATACTCCAATGTTGCATTGTCCTGCCGACTATGTACCCATTGCCGAGGCGACGCAATATCTGGAACGCACGGTCGTGTTTGAAAAGTACGACTTTGAAGAGAAGAAATGGCAAGATGTTGCTTTCCGCCATCGCGTGAATGAGCAGAAGCCATCGTTGGAAGGTGAGTGGCTCTGCCAAGATGGACACGGCAACAGAGTTGTGGACTCGTCGCCTCATAAACGACACGGAACAATCGTAAATGCGACCGAGAAGACGTGGACCTCCAACGTCCTGCCCCCTTCATCCTCGTCGAGTGTTGGGTATGCCCTCAAAGTTCGCCCTCTCACCGTAAAAGCCAGGTCTGTGCTGACCGAGCCGTCGCTTTTTGAGCCTGTTGGCGTTCCAGGACGGCAAAAAGAATACCTTGAAATGGTGCGATATGTCAACAGTGTGTGCACGAGTCGATCGATGTCCCTGGCCGGATTGCTGTCGTCCAAGTGGTCGAGTCTCGCCCCTGACGCAGATACGTTGTTGCGTTGGCCGACGTTGGCGGAACTGACGGAAAAGAAAGCGGACCTTCCAGGTCGCTTCGACGTCCTTCTCGAGTTCAACAAGTCCCTGCGCGAGTCGTTGGGACTGGTCGAACTCACGAGCACAGCAAGCTTGGCGACGCAGATTTCCAAAGCCCGCGGGTACATCTTTGGGTTGGTCAAGCATGAGCTATGGGATTTTGTCATGGAGCAAACCAAGGCGGCGACATCCCCGGACATGGCGCTCACGCTCAACCGACCCAAGGCGTCCCGTTGGAAGCAATCCAGCAACGACTTCAATCGGTTTGCGTTGTTTGCCCAAGCGTACCGTGAAATGATCCATTGGGTCCCGTCCACGTACTGCCGATCGACCAATTTGTACGTGGTGACATTTTTGGGCGAAAACTCGATCGATGCTGGCGGTCCATACCGTGAGACTCTAAGCCAGTATTGTGTGGAGCTGCAAAGCTCGCAGCTACCGCTGCTCTTGCCAGCTCCCAACGGTCAGCACAATGTCGGCAGTCATCGCGATGCGTGGGTGTTACATCCAAACGCGCATCAGCACCATTCCGGCATGTTGATCTTCCTTGGCAAGTTGCTCGGCGTGGCGATTCGCACCAAGTACTGCATGTCGCTGACGTTGTCCCAAGTTGTGTGGAAGTTGCTCGTGCAGGACCCGATTACGTTGGACGACCTAGAAGCCATCGACACGCTCGTGGTGAGCTCGATGCGATCGCTGCGGACCATCGAGCAGAGCGGAGTGACGGAAGAAATGTTTGCCGACATTATCCATGAAACCATGACGACGCTGTCGACAGACAATCGTCAAGTCGACCTCGTCGAAGGTGGCGATGCTATCCCCGTGACATTTGCCACACGACACAAGTTTGCCGACTTGGTGGAATCGTACCGCATGCACGAATTTGACGCTGCCGCGGCGTACTTGCGGCAAGGACTTGGCATGGTTGTGTCGCTTCGGTTGCTACGTCTGTTTACGTGGATGGAGCTCGAGGCGTTGGTTTGTGGCACCCCCGACGTTGACATTGACTTGCTCGAAAAGTGTACCGAATACAGCAGCTGCAGCCCCACGAACCAGCATGTCGTGTGGTTTTGGGAAGTCTTGCGCGAGTACAACCAAGAAGCACGTCAAGCGTTCCTTCGGTTTGTCTGGGGGCGGTCTCGGCTCCCGCGGTCCGTGCAAGAATTTCAAGCAGGCCAACAATTCAAGCTCCAAGCGTTTGAGCGGCACCCGGCCGACATGTACATGCCTGTGTCGCACACGTGCTTCTTTTCGCTCGAGCTGCCACGGTATACATCGCGCGACGTGCTTTCGTCGCGGTTGACCTACGCCATCTACAACTGCATTGCCATCGATGGCGATACCAACACGATGCAAGCAAATCAATTGGGGTGGGAAGACTGACGTAGCCATCGCTAGTGTTGTCAGCATCGAGCACAATAGAAATGATTCGAGGTATACAGTGTGTTTGTGTTTATGGCGGCCGCATGGCTTGTACACGACGCTGCACGGGACCGACCCCCTCGCAACACCCCCCTCGGAATCGCCTAGCGACCATGCTCGCGATGCGACTCGAATGCCGAGCGCAATGACCACAAGGGGTCAATGTCGCAAAGCCTCGTCGGATGTGTATGGAGGACAGACACGTTCGCCTAATGCCTACAATTGCCTGAACGACATTTGCTGCTGGTACGCTTTTTCGAGCTGAATGTCGTCCATTTCATCCAGCGCCGCCGTTCCTCGGGGCTCAAGTCGTCGCCAACGGGCTTGCACGAACGACCCGAGCAATGCCAAAGCGATCCACGCACCGATGTAATAGTAAAACTGCAGCGTGAGCTCCGTGAGGATGGTCGGACGCGCTCATCGCGCATGCATCCATACCACGACGGGAACAAATACCGGCGCGTCCTGTGGAAATGGGTAAAATGTTGGCGGAAAGCTATCACGCCAAGCGCATGACGATGGATTGCCCACAGAGCAAAGGCGACCACATGAGAGAGGTTCCCGTACTTGCCCACGACGGTTCCAATCGCTTGGACGACCCAGTACGCACCAACCCACGCAGTCAATGGAATGCGGCTTTTCCTACACGTGATGATGAATCACAAGTGCAAGGCGCCGCGGGGGTACGTACTTGCCAGTGAAGAGGGCGCCGAGACCAAGGACCAGTCCAAGCAGTGCCATGACGACGTAGCCAAGCACGTTGGGGTTGGCTCGGTTGAGTGGGGAGTCCATCGCTAGGTTGAGGCCGTTAGTCCATCCGTCACTAAACCGTCGCGTACTGTGCAGCCATAGCACGTTGAGAACAGAGCCAACTTGCACGCCCAACGCGAGTCCTGTTGCGGCGCATGCGGTCAGCGCGACGTCCACACGAGGATCGGTACCAAACAGGAACTGCATGCAGTGGTGCAGCACGCACGTGAAAAATGCACAGAAGATCGTGAAACCAATGGCTGTAACGAGGGCCACCACAGGCGTGTGCTTGTCGATCGAGTCAGCAATGGCGTTTCCAACGTACCAGCCCTAAGTGGACGAGATCGATGACGAACGACGTCGAGAGGCGTGAACTCGACGAACCACAACACCACCGAGGATCCCACCTTGAACGACAAGAGACATTGTAAAGAACTTGTTGCCGAGAAAGACCTGTCAAACCCACCATCATGAAATGGTGTACCACCACGATGTCCATGTGCAATTCTTACCACGAACAAATTCAACACCAGCAACAACACGCTACAGGCCACCACCATGGCATGTAGCGTCGTAGCATCCACAACGATAGCATTTGTGCTCGATAGCACGACATCGAGGGCTTCCCGCATCGTCAACTGAGCGCCTCGTCCGTCGCGTCCGTCGGTGTGGCGATCCTGAACGGTTGTTCAAGATTTTGTGATCTTTCCCAGTCATCCTACTAGTCCATGCATACTATTTATGACTAGTACTACTACGAGAGTGACGAGGTGGCGGTTAGTATTATTATTATCCTTCGCATGTAGTATTACTACATGCACGGTTGGGAGCATGTCCTGTGGGGTATCGATGAGCACTTGGCCGATCGGAACTCACACGGAGACGTCCTGCACGTTTGTGTACGGGGTCTTGCTCTTGTGCATGTCCTTTGCGAGGTAGGTGTCGTCGTCGTCGGCTGCATCAGCGTCGATGAGGTCGTGGTAGTTGCTGTCGAACGTGGTCAGGTGGACCTGCGTCGTGATGCCGCCGAGGGCCAACACCACCCACGCCCCCATGTAAATGTAATACTAATACACACGACACACAGCAATGTCAACGACAGTAGCGTACACGTCAAACATGCAGGCGTACCGACATGGACACAGTCGCAGTACGCGCATCGCGGGGAAAAGGATAGAAAAGCGATGGAAAGCTAGAGAGGCAAGCGTGTCGCAATCACGGCGCGATGAAAGGATCGATCGGACAGCACACGCACTTGCCAACAAAGTTGCCCACCGACTGAATGATCCAGTACGCTCCGACCCACGCCGTCAGCACGATGTGGCCCTTTCTACACGGGTGCCATGCACGACAGCATGGGATTCAGCGAACGGAACCGTGCCAGACGAAGAGAGACTGGAGATGTGGTGCACGTCGACACTAACCTGCCAGAGGCAAACGCGAGCGCTCCGAGCACAACTCCGGCAGCCGACATGACAACGTAGCCGAGGTTATTTGGGTTGGACTCGTTCATGCCAAGCGGTAAGGCTACAGCAACGAGCTAAGATCGCTGGAGACCGACAAGAGTGGACTAGGTCAGACGTACCATGCAGCCAAACGATGTTCGCGACCGACCCGAGCTGGACGCCCAGCGCAAACCCTGACGAATTTGCAGTGACATGGTGGAGTGCAGTGGGTGGGGCTTACCAAAGAGGAATCGCATCACTCCCTTCATGCAGCACGTAAACACAGAGAGGAAGAACGCCAACGCCACCGCGACGGACAAGTTGACCATGACGTGTTTCGATTCCGCCGATTCGGTGAACGCCCCTCCGATGTACCATCCCTGTGGACCACAGTCAAAGTCGCCGTGGACGCAATGGGACGTACCATGTAGCCGCCAAGGATGGCACTTTGAAGAACCAGTGCCGTCGAAAAGTGCTTGTATCCGAGGAAAGTCTATGCTCGATCATGAGTCGTGCGGAACAAAACGTGCCCACGCACGATGAACGTGGCAACCACGAGAAGGGCAATGCTGCCCAGGATGATGACTGCGCGGAAGGCAACGTTGTCCAGGGCGTCCGCCTCAAGGAGGTTGGTCATCGAGACCGATGCCCACAGACCCGCCAGGAACGTCGGTGGCGGCGACATACGCCGTCCAATGCTTGGAATGCCGACCCTGCAATATGATCTGGGGGGTATTATGGAACTGACGGTTTCAAAACCGACTTGGACTTATGCAAAAGCTGGTGACGGAGGACGCGAGAGGCGGTGTGTCGGCGGTGGCGACGCTTGTGCGGCAGGTCTCCCGCCGAGAGGCCATTTCCCCATGGCTGGGAAGGTGGTTGAGGGCGCACCGCTCGGGCGAGCAGCATCTGTGTGAAGCAGATATGCACAAACCGCAGCAGATGGCGGCGCACCGTGGACCACCGGCATGCAAACACAAGAAAGGAATATATTATACAACTCGACACACGAGGTCGACTACAGCCAGGGGAACCACGTCGGGACTATCTGCGATAAGTTGTCCGTGCTGGTCGCGGTCGCGATGAGGTCTTGGATGGCAGAGGGTGGCGACGCCGTCTCTTGCATCGCAGGTTTGACGGCGAGCGCCGTGACGCGGTCCATGACGGCCTTTACGTTTGCCTCGACTCGCTGCTTCACGTGGTGCTCGGCCATGAGTCGCCGATGCGTTTCGCTGTTGGTGTGTTCCAGCCGCGCCTTTGTCTTGGACGTGTGCCATGACAGAAGGTCGTCGCGGAAGAAGAGGCTCAGTTGGTTGATCATGATCGATTCGTGGTGGTCGCACGTCAGCGCCTGGGCCACAGCCGTCATTGCAATCGTGAACGGACCCTCCACGCCCGTGTTGGTCATAAACGTGTGCATATTCCTCGTCAGGCGGAATGGCATCGTGCACGACGACTCGACGATCCCGCTGGTGGCATACCCCGGTCGGATCTCGCAGCTCACAACTTGACCAGTCTGCTTGGAGAAAACAATCTTGTGCGGCGTCCGATCGCCGACATGCAGCGCATACGACAACAACGAGTTCAGCGCGAGGTGGGCCGTCATGGCCGTGCGAAAGTGAAATAGATCGTCAAAGTGCGGCAGCATGCGGTGCAAATACTTTGTCAAGACGTACTCGGACACGTGATGGTCACAAATGTCGTTGTAAATCGCGAGTTTCAACTACAACACGCGCATGCGCTTGGGTGGGCCGCCCACAAAAGACAAAATATCGAGAGAGGGGACGACTTACGCTGGCCGGGGCGTCGACAATGTCGCTCATCTTGTGGCGATACAGCTCGACGGGGTAGTTTGGGTCCTGGTTGAGCGCCTGGCAGTCGAGCTCAAAGATCTAACGATGACATCCATCATTTCACGAAACGGGCATGGAAAATCGCGACCAACCTCGCCCAGGGACACATTGTTCGCGTTGTCTTCGAGAAGGCGGACGCGCGGCGTCAACGGAATCACTTTGGGCGCGTGGCACATAATGTGTCGCTTCTTGGTCTCTTTGTGGCGGGCAAGCAACCGATTCATGAGCAAATGCATTTGCATCACGCGCTCGTCGCAGCGGGTGATGTACGTCATCGCGTATTGCACCAAGAACGAGTACGTGTCGCCGTTGTTCCCGCCAAGCGTGATGCGGCGCTGGGTGTACCCGTTGCGTAGTAGCACGTCGGTCGTGCTGTGAAAGTACTGCAGCCGCGCGTGCAGCTCCTTGATCGGTTCACTGTTGGTCAAGTATTGTCCTGGCACTTCCAAACTCGTGCTGTTCAATTCGACCAAGTGGCGGCTGCTATGTTCCAAAAACACCTTGTCCGCGTTGCGCTGGCCGTATCTTCGAACGCGGCATTGCAGCACGTTTTTCCACGCCTTGAGACGGTTCATCACGTCACTCAAGAGTGGTTCCGGCGCGGCGTCGGCCGCTCCCTCCGCTGGCCTAGACAAGATCGTCAGAATGCTCTCGACGAGTGCTTGACGGCATCTCGACCGACGTACCGATCGGCCAAAACAAAGTGCGCTTCAAAAGGGCCTTTGAACTCGTCTACGAACGCCACGTGCTTTTCGCTCTTTTGGTGCTGCTGCAAAACGAAAAACTTGTTGCACACTCGGTGGAGGGTTTCCTTGAGCATCTTCGGCACCGGTTCCGTCTTTGCAAAACTCGGCAGCTGGTAGCACTTGAGCAGCAACGAGTGGACAGCCGTGAGCAACTCTTCCTCGGGTTCTGGCCGAAACCGGACAATCATTTCTTCGAGCATGCATTCCATTTCAAACGCCAACGCGTCGTGCGATCGGCGCAGAAAGTTGAGCAAATCCTCGGCATACTGCACGGGACTCACGTCTGTCTTTTGTAATTCGCCCGCCGCCACCTTTTCCATCCACGCTTCCAGCGTCAAGACGGTCGCCGACCCAAAAAACGACGGATTGCTTCGACTGGCGCCGACCAGACCTGGAATGTCCGTGATGTGCTCGTGGGACATTGGCACGGCAATCACATGCCCCGTGCGGGTCCGAAAGTACATCATGTCGCTGGTCGTCATCGCAGTGCCGTGCTTTGGCGTGTGGGATGCAAGTGGCGTCGGGGGGGCCGACGACAGACCGCGGTTCGTCATCGAGTCCTTGTCCATCGAAAAGAGTTCGCGGTTTTCCAAAAAGAACGCTCGCATCGTGTAGTACAACGCCTGTGGAAACTTGGCCGACAAGCCACGAAGGAGTCCTCGAATCTACAACGAACGATACCAGTAAGAGGCCCGTCAACAGGACGTGCAATTTACGCACTTGCGGCGCTTCCGGACGGCACAGCGACATGAGCAGCTGAGGAATCCAGACGATCCAAATCCAAATAGGCAATTGCTTTCCATGCGTCTCGAACGCTTGAATCAACACACATTTGTCGTTGTCCATGCTGAGCAACCACAAGACTCGAGCCAGCATCAATCGGGCAAATGACGACCGATGATGCACGGCTTGAAGGTAACAAGCAATCGTTTGAGCAGCAAACTCGACGTCCATTCGTTCGGCAAAGAGCTTGTCGCAGTACTGGCCCCAGCTCAACCACCCCTTGCCGTAGCTATCGCAAATCTGCAAACAGCGGGAGAACGCTTGGTTCGCTTCGTGGGTGTCGCCCAGCGCATCCATAAACAGGCCCTTCATGCGGAACAATTCGGCTTTTTGCCGCGTGTCAAAGTATTCCAAGTTGGTTTGGTTGAGGATCGTGACCCCGCCCTGGTAGTCCTTGGAAGTCTCGTAGCAAATGCTGACTTGTTCACGCAGTTTTGAAAAGGCATCTTGGACATCCATCGCAGGAATCGAGTACAACTGGGCCAGAGAGTGCAAACAAACGTCGGGAAGTTGCTGCTTGCGCGCCGTGTGGGCCACCTTCAGAATCGACCACGGAATGTCGTGCATGCATGCCAACAGCTGCGCGTCACTCCAGCTGAATGTGCCCTTGACGACGGCAAACATGTGCGATCGCCACGTCAAAATGTCGTCCCACATCAAGATGGGCTCATATTTGTTTGGCAAGCGCTCGCGCCACGTGTTAATGGACGGCTTCAGGTTGGGCAAGTTGTGTTGTTGAGTTGCTTGCTTGATGTCGGCCATGATTTGAAGCGACTCTTTGGCTTCGACAAACTGGTGAAACAAGTGGAGGAGCGGAACGTGGGCTCGAGACAAAATCCGCGGCAGTCCCTGCCATTGATGGAGCGCAAGGTCGACTATCTGCGAAACTAATGACTCGACCTGGGGTTTCTTGTCGCCGTCCAAGATGGAGATGTACAGCTTCTTGAGGCGAATCGACGGACATCCGGCTTCCGAGGCTGCTTGGATCGACGATGCATGCAGCAACTGCTTTGCCGACCCCCAGTCGCCACGCTTCCAGCAACAGTCGAGCATGAGCTCTTGGTTTTGCGTCGTTTTGGCAAAGTCGTTCATGAGCGACCACTGACACAAATCCTTGACGCACCCGACCCACCGCGACTCGAGCACTTTCATCTCAAACTTGGTCGACTCGATCTTGACGGCTGTGGATGTCTGGGACAACGCGTTGAAGAAAATGTCCTGCGCTTCGTTCACGTATCCCTGCGCTTGCAAGTACAGCCCTTCCTTCGTCTCAGGCTTTTGACAGACTTGGACGTTGAGACCAACTTGCCAGTCGCTTTCGTTCAGCTCTTGGTAAATTACATTGAGAGCATCCGCCCACCGCTCGCGGTCTTCCACAAGCGTCAGCGGACTCAAGACTTGGTACTCACAAATCCGCACGACGTCCTGCCACACATTGTATGTGTTTGCCAGGTATAACAGGAGCTCGGCGGTAAAGATGGGCGTGGGCTGGGCGTTGATGATGCCAGCCATGAACGTCTGGACCACGTTGTGGCGAGAAGCGTTGGCCTGTGGCAACTTCAATTCGCGGCGGTGGTACTTTTGTGACAGCAGACGCATTAAATTTTGCGTCGGGCTCATGTACTCGGGATGCAGGTTGGCCCACGCGTACGGAAACAAGCAACTCCACAGATGGTTCGCCATTTCCAAGTCGATATGGATCAATTCACAGAGCGGACGCAGCAAGTGAGTTGCGTCAACGTTGCTCCACGCTTTGAGGGCTTGGATGTGGGGCTTCAACCATGCGCTCTGGATGTTGTCCGCGCCAGACGAGGTTGCGACAGGAGGAAATGTCGCGATCGAGTGCTTGGGCACAGTGTCCGAGAAAAATGACTTCAAGAGCAACTCAATCGCAATTACCGGCCAAAACCGCGTGCCACACGCTTGCCAATCTTGTTCGAGGACGAACTTGAGCCGCTTCGTGGGCGACTGGCCGGCATGCTGTTCAAACTTTGTGAAAAACACGTTCCGAATGGCTGATTCACTCGACATCAGCCCGACGAGGAACGGCCCAGACATGTTGAGACCGATGGTGGTCGATCCCAGAGCATCCGACGGACTGCAAATCTTCAGAATCAACTGGTGGTATTCGTTCATGAGCGGTTGGGTCGATATTTCATGGAGACGGTCAAACGTGGCCATTTTCGACAGCAACAGCGCCTTCTCTTTGATCGTAAAGCCGGGTGTTGTCTCGTCCTTGATCATGCCCGACACAATCTTTGTAATTTCCAGCAGCAATGGCACGTGCACGGAATGCTCCAGGCAGTGCGACAGGAGCTGGACAAACAATCGACTGTACTCGGGAGACTCGAACGTGCACTGCGCGAGGAGTTTGAAGCATGAAATGAGCATGTCCATCGATGCCTTGCGGATAAAATTCGACGGAAACGCACGCTTCTTCGCGACAACTGCAGCTTTGTTTGTGGTAGTTGGGTCCTTCGGCCCACCAGTTGCCGCAGTCTTCTTCTTCTTCTCTTCTTTCATACCCCCGTTTGTCGACGTCCCGCCGCCGGTCCCACTCGAGTTGCCCCCTTTCTTCGTCCGCACGACATTGTTCACAGTCAAGTTCGACCGGCCGAGTTTCAATTGCGAATATTCGTGGACAATCGCAAGGGCTGGCGTTGCCATGACACGGTCTTTGCTCTGAGCGCCCGCACTCACGCCGACATCGATGCCTCCGACGGATCCTTCTAGCGACGCGGTCGTTTTCGGGACAACATGCTGCAAATGCTCCTTCGTGAACCGTTGCGCGAGCTTTAGCAGTGCAGGGACGAACAAGTCGATGAATTTCGGGCACTCTTTGCCCAAATCCATCAAAATTTTCAACGTGTACGACCCTGGAGAGCTGACACGGGAGGAAAGTGCCGCACTTGCGTTTGGAGAGTGCGCAAACAACAAGCGCATGCGAGCAGCTTCTTGATTGATCATCGGGTTCAGCGCACTCATGTCCCGACGTGGAGCATTCGCATGAGGACTCGGAACGGACGGTTTGCTCCCTTCCGGTTTCATCGCAGGGGGTTTGGGCTTGGGACTGTTGATCAAAGCAGTCGCATCCGTCGGAGAAGCGGTTGGGTCGTTCGGAACGGCGGCGGCTTTCAGCAGGCGTTCGTTCAGGATGTCGCGAAGCCAACTGTAAAATTTGCAACCGACGAGTTGTTGCGGAGCCGCGTCTGGAGGGTACAGCTACACGTCCGTATGGGTAACAACTCGCTTCAACGAGTGGATATGGAGTGTACCTTGATCATGTGCTCCAGATATGATGCCAAGTGCATTTGAACTTCGTTGTTTTGGCGGTCAAAACACGGTTCGAGCAGCTTCATGATGCGTGGCGCGTACTGGACGACGTACGGCACCGGTCGGTTCGAGTGCTGAATGACCTGGGGGGAGATGAGCGTGTTGAGAATCCCGAGGACAGCGTTTAGAATTGCCAACGATGCCAATGGCGCGCCCTTCGGAACACTCAAAAACGACGGCATGGACGCGTTTGTTTCCGGTGGCTGCGTCGGCTTCGCTTGCATGATGATCACTTCCGCCGTCACGGCGATCAACTTGTCAAAGTACGAAAACCGAATCGACGCGGACGGCCACAAATGCAGCGCGCGATGAAACAATTCACCGCAAGTCTTGGAAAGCCGATTCGTTTCCTGCTTGTCCGCACACGCCAGGGCAAACCGAAACGCAAAGTTTACGATCAAGTCTGTCATGGCCCCAGTCAGTTCAAAGTCATCTTCGTGGCCATTTGGGGCGGCCGTGTCGTCATCGTGGGGAGAAGCCGACGGGGCGGTGGCGAGTTCAGTTGGCGTTGCGGACACAGGTGCGCCACTCGGCGCAGACGCAGCAAATGAACCGTCCCCATCGAGTTTTTGACGCTTGTCCGCCGCCCCTTCGTCGGATTCCACGGCCGTCGTGGCGGCAGTCGGAGCAGGACGCTTCAACGACGCCTTGTCTAAACCTTTGTCTGACACGCGTTGCCGCCGCGCCGTCTCCCACGCAATGACGAGGTCCACGATACTGACGGCAAGCCGCCGGTTGTCTTGGGTGCTGCTAGGTGGAATGGCTAACCGGTTCAACGAATTGACCATCAACGGAATGAACTGGCCTCGAAACGGGTAAAACAGCGACGGCTGGCGAACAATAAGGTACCAAATGTGGACAAGTTGCTGGAGAACATGACCTTCTTCAAACGCAATCTTCTTGGTCCACTTGATGGCTTTGATGAATTCGTGTGCCGGTAGTCGCGTCGGCAGCGCCGGCAGCAAAATATCAAACGCTTTGCGCACCAAGAATCGCGAGTCCATCTCGTACGTCCGAAGGAGGGCAACGTACACCTGCAAGACAATCTTCGGGGGCGTGTCGTAGACCGATATGAATCGGCACACGTTGACGTATGCCCAGAGCTTGGAGGTCAAGTCGGGGGCTTTCAGATGGTTCCAAGCAAACTTGATGACTTCCTTGCGATGGTCAGTCACGTACCGACTCATGTGTTGAATGAGGAGCGTCCCCAGCTTCAAGAGTTCGATTCGAAGCGCTTGGTACGAGTCTTGCGGGTATTCTTTGCTGGCCAAGATTTCCCGAAGCATCATCATGACTGCGTCCGGGTCCATCACGTCCGCGTTGTTGGTGTGCGGGTCCTCAAACGACGTATTGAGGAGAGGCATGACGAGCAGCTGAATCGCATGCACCTTGAGATCCTCCGACGCCGTCGTGTCGCGCAGCATGCGCAGGAAGAGGTGAATGATGTTCCGCTTGTTCGTGGTCGAATACCCACACGCCACTTCGTCGCGGTAGAACGCACGAAGAAAGCTAAAGTCGAACGAGGTGTGGTGCATGAAAACTGTGAGCATTTCGAGCAGCACTTGGACGTCTTCGGGGTTGGCGCGGCAGTACTGAATCAAGCACTTGATCAAGAGCTTCGATTCCAAGTGGTATCGAATCGGCAAGCGGTCCTGGGTCAGCAATCGTTGAACACGACTGGGCGACCGCCACAACTTTCGAATGCAGTCGATCATGCCGTTGCTGCTGTTTGCAAGCCACTTGGGTTCTAACTTGGACAGTGACCGGACCAGCCGAATCCCTTGAAAATGAAGCTCCAGGGCTTCTTGCTGCGATTTCGTCGCCAAATTCGACGCCGCCATGGGCGACTGAATTTGCTGTCGCGCCATCTTGGCTTGCGCTTGGGCCTTGGCAATTTGAATGTACTGAGTTTGCGCTTGCTTGGCCTTGTCCTGGGCATCGGCGAGCTTCAGCCCCGACGCTTTCGCCGTCGCGAGCGCTTGAGCGTGAACTTTTTGTGCGTTGACTTGAATCTGCGCTTGGAATTGGGCTTGCTGCTGCGACACGAGCGCTGCATTTGGAGATGGCAGTTGAGGCGACGCCATTTGCAAGTGCTTCGACATGTAATCCTTCATCACTTGTTGCGCCCGCGCTTGGGCTTGGACGAGAGACAACCCTTGCGCCTGGGCAGCGGTCAAGGTTTGGGCATGGAGCTTTTGGGCATGCGCCTGGATTTGGACTTGCGTTAGCGGTGTCAATTGGCTACTGGTACCAAAACTGCCCGTCGCATTTTGAAGGTATGCTGCCCGAGCCAGCTTTCCCTTTTGCTCTGCTATCGATGCAGTCAATCCTTGAGCCTGGGCAGTCGCGATCGCTTGCGAAGCAGCTTTCTGCGCGCCAATTTGAATCATCTCGTCGTCCGGCGCTTTCGGGGTGGTGACTGTTGCCGCTGCGTTGGGTGGGGAGGTTTTCGACACTTGGGGGGTCAACGTGGCGTTGATGATCGACTCAGTACCAGAGTCCGATGTCAGCACGTGGCGCAGTTCCGTGGCCTCGGGATGCTTGACGAGCTGCTGAAACAACAGCGAGTACGTGCTGTCGATCAAGTGTTCCCGTTTTAGAAAGAACGACACGGCTTGGTTAGCATATCGATTCAAGAAGCGGACCAGCGGCAGGCGGTATGGCGAGCTGAGTTTGCCAAAGCTGCCATACTTGGGTAGCACAGCTTCCAGTTCCACAACGCACAAGATCAATGGGTCCAAAAAGGTGTCAGACGGCGGGAGTAAGTGAAACAAATCGACGATGGCAGCGGCGACGTTGGGTTCTTCGCCGCGCTTCCAGATAGCGGCCTTGATGATGCGCTCCGGGTCTCGCCATTGCTTCAAGTGCTCCAAGAGCTTTTCGCCCAACGTCACGTTGAAGCAATTGCTCAAGAGCCCCAGCAACCGGGACAGACCTTCCAGCAACGGGATGGTCAGTTTTCGGTAGTCGGCCAAATTCAGCAAGACGGGGCGAAGGCATTGCTGCAGCAATTCCTTTGGCAGCGACCGTTCTTGGTTTCGCTTGTTCATGATCACAACGTCTGTGAGCGCCTTTTGGGCGCAGTCGACCAACTCCTTTGGTTGGCCCGTCAGGAACCTGAAAAACACGCCGACAAAGCGATTCCGAGAGTCTTGGTGTTGATTCAACGTGTCGTCGTTCACAAATGCCGCGCGCAGCAATTGAATGGCGGCGATGCGCAGCTGGCATACTTGATTCAGTCCAAACGGGTACTCGTGGCCACTAAAAGTCTCCGAGAGTGTTGGGTGGCTACCTCGCGGCGACGAGCTCGATGTTGCCGATGTATCTTCAGAGACGAGGGTCCATACTTCTTGCAAAAACACGAGCAGTTCCTTGTTCAGCGTAAACACAGGTGGCTCCAGTGTTAATGTATATGCCATCGCATCGATGTACCCCGTGCGAGTGCCCAGGGGCAAGAGTCGCAAGCTAGTGCCCATGATCTGCTTGGCCAGCGCTTGTTGGTACGGCAGCAAGAGCGATGTCACGGAGCAGCCTGCGAAATCTGCAAAGATCGCAATCGCTTGCTTGGCATACGACCGGACGGGTGTACTCGCACTCAGCAATTCGACAACCAGCAGCTGCAGGAGTTCCGAGTTGTAGTCGGTCAGCACGGGTGACGACGAGGTTGGCATAGTCGCGTCTGGAAACGCGATGCCCAAGTTGTTTAATGACTCTGATGGCTTCGTCTCTTCGATGAGATGCATCATCATTTCGTCCAGTTTCGTCGGCTCAGGGGGGTGGTGGCATTTTCGTAATAGGGTCAAATACGCTTCCCCGGCTTCTTCGGTAATTCCAGCACTCACTTCCGGCGGATGGTCCGACAAGACAAACAGGAGACTTCGCACCATCGACATTTCGTTCTCGCGACACCAGTCCACATGCATGCGGTCGATGAGGACTTGAAGGCCCCGCGTGCCGCCCAACTTGTGTCGCCACGAACTCTTGTTGTGGCAAGCATGGCTGCAAATCTCACAAATTGTGTTGAACAGCGCGCCGCCTTGCTTGGCCGCCTGCTCTGCGTTTTCGTCGTACATCGCGACGGCGGTGTCAACCACAACTTGAAGTCCCAGGCGGCCGACATCCACGACCTTTTCGTCCGGGTCGGACAAGATGTCGACGAGAACTTCAAATACAACGAACGGATCCATCCTGTTGGGCATTTCGTGAAAATACGTCAAACCGTGGTAGGCTTCACGGTAGACTTCGATGCGCGCAGACGTTCCGAGCATTCGGCCCGGAGACAGTCCGCGAGGACCTGGTAAGATCGTCGGCTTAACCAGTGACGCTAACACATTCAGGTTGGGAGGTTTTCGCTTCGAATACGACAGCACGACAACGGTAAAGTGCACCGCAACACATCGCAGGAGCGCTGTGGCGTCGCCAGTCAAGTCGACATCGGCCACACACTCGAACAAGGACTGGAGCATTGTGCGGATGCAACTCTCGTGCGCGGCAATCTTGTCCTTCGAAATACCGGCGTACTCGGACGTCGACGAGAAGAATTGCTTGAGCTCGTCGGTGACGGTGTGGTGGTCTTCCGCTCCGGCAAACGATTTGTTCAAAGCAGACGAGTACATCGGAACGATCTCTGGCAACCGTAACGAAATCGCGAGTTGATGCTTCAAGAACGCAAACGCGTGTCGCTTTTGATGTAAGATCGTGGCTTTAATCTTGTCAACTGTGTCACTTTCCAGCGCGAGAGTCTTGTCGTCCTTCTCGAGCATCCCGACGTTCGACTCGACCTCGTCCTCGTCGTGGGGATGGACACTCGATCCTGCCGACGATGACCCGTCGGGGCGTATGTGGTGCGAATCCGACGACGGTGGCTCGTGGCGTTTCGCAAATTGCGCGAGCAACTTGCACACGTGTTGAATGGGAATGTCCATGGGAATTGGCAACGAGCTGGGCAATGCATCGCAGCCAAACTCGAGCACAATCCCGTCGAAGCTATGGGACGACGGCTTCAATTTTAACGAGTCCGTGATGAACTGGCGATTTCGGCCACCGATTTTGCCCAAAATACGCATCGTGAGCTCTCCGTACGGGTACGGCGGTGGGTGCAAGTGCGTGTTGAGGGCTTCGATGATTTCCGTGAGCAACCGTTCTTGGGAAGTCATGATCGGGTACAAGAAGTCCGGATTCAAGTTGTCCACCCAGTACTCGAGTGTCCGCAGCCCCAGGTTGGCTAACTCGCCCTTGGACAAGATGGCCTGGACGACGGACTTCATGAGGGACGGCAGGTACTGGAGCAACGAGCTGAGTCGGGCTGGAATGGTCAAGCACAGCTCAAGTAGAACTTCTTGCATCGAAGGCTTTTGAATATGTTTTTGCAGTCGCATAAGGGCCGACAAGAGCCCGGGGAGCAGCGGAAGGACCTCTTTGTAAAAGTTTTCGAACTTGACACCCGAGATCGACCGAAACAGCGCGCGGAGAAGCAGGAGATAGTTATCTGGGCACTTGGTATTCGTCGCATTGCTCAGGCACGACACGATGATAGTTTTCAAGTGGGGGAAGAGGGCGACTTCGTTTGCTTTAAAAAGCGTCACCGACCCAAACACAATCTTGAATAAACGCAGCACGATCGACGCTTTCTGCGCTTGTTGCACGGGCCGCATGTGTTCAAACGTAAGGCTTGTGATTTGGCAAATCTTTTCCGCGCGATCCATGTCGGGGACGTCCCCATCGACGTCGACCCCCAACACGTCCAACTGGGTGACGAGGAAGTTGAGCAAAATCTCGGCAAACCAGCAACTCACGTTCGCATTCGCGAGAAAGTGCTGGGGCACGGTCAGTATCGCGTGGTCCTGCAAGATGCACTGGTAGAGAAGCTCAATGTTGGCGAGAAAGAGGTCCCGAAAATCCGCCGCATCCAACACCGTGCACGCGCCCGCAAAGTGGTCGAGCATTTGCTTTTCCTCGGCGATCGAGCTGTCCGACAACGTGTACAAGATGAAGCAACGCAAACCGTTTTGAAGCACCTTGGCAATCAGCGCACGCTCGTCGTCTGTGAGCGGGTACATGTGAGTGTCCGAGTATGTAGCACCTGCCGCGTCGTGCCCCAACGCAGCCATGGACGAGCTGTGATGGAGTGTTGTGGCCTCCATCGACGTCAAGTCCTTGGCATGGGGATTTCGGTAGTTGGCCGTGCACCAGATGACAGCACGAATGCCCAGGATCATGGTTCGGAGGAGAGATTTCACGTCTCGCAGGGTGGGCTCCTCCTCTGGGAGCCCCACGTACGATCGCTGCATCGTTTCGTACGGGGCCAGGAGTTTCTTTAGCGCCGCGTCGACGACAGACAACTTTTCGTCCGGCTGGGGGACCAACTTGCTTTGTTTGATCTTGTCCATGGCGCCGCCTTCCAACGGGTCGACTGCACGATCCGTCGTGGACGACATGGACAGCACGACCGGCAAGCTCTTCAACGTCGTGCCGAACTTTGTAGCAATCGTGAGCAGAATGCGCGACAGGATGTTGCGGCCGCGCCACCCATCGGCGTCTTCGTTCTTGGCACTGATATCGACGAGGTTCAAGAGGAGTCGAATCGCCGTGGTTTGGATCGGGACTGGAAGGGTTGGGTCGTGAATGCGTTTGCCGTAAAACGACACAATCTTGCTCACTTGACCGAGCGTGAGCATGTCCCGAACGTGGTGCACCATGTCGGCGAGTGTCGAGTATGCGAGGGGGCGAATCTGGTAGTAGCTGCACCGCCCCTTTCCGATCAAGATGTCGTCGTCCATGAGGGTTTCCAACTGCGCGTAGAACCCACGGCGGAAATCCGTCGACAAGATATGGCGCGCCGCAACAAAGATGTCCTTGCGCAGCACAAACGCGTCCTTGGGACATGCCATCAAGAGCTTGACCGTGTTGTCACAAATGGTGTCCTGGAAGGGGCGCATGAGGTTGGCAAACCCGCGCAGCAAGTAAGTGACGAACGACAGCGTCTTGACCTGGCAGTCGAGAAAATCCACGTATTTTGTCGGATACAACTTGGGGGCGTGCTCCGGACACCGCAACGACAAGGTCGACATCATGAGCGGCACCAAGATCGGGATGTAGTTTTCGATGTAGTTGGGGTAGCACTGGAAAAGCAGCATGATGATGAGCGGGAATTCCGACATCGTCTTGAATGACTCCACGCCGGAACACAGCGGCACCTCCACCGACAAGATCGTTGTTGGGACCGTTGCCGAAGAAGCGGTCTCCTCGGACAAGCCGCTGTCTGGTGCAACAGTTGTCGGAGCGTCTGCGGGAACCTGAGCAGCGGGAATTGTCACAGGACCTTGTGACGACATTCGTTCCGACGAAGGCACGGCAATGGCTCGAGTGGAGGGAGGAATTGCAGGGACTACCTGCACGGCGTCGCTCGGGTCGATCGAAATGTCCGTCGACTTGGTTGGATTTGCATCAGAAGCGGACGATGCGCTTGGCGTGACCTCTAGTGCGGGGGGCATCGAAGATGTCGCAAGGTCCTCTGATGACATCATAGGATCGTCTGTGATTTCGTTTGCGTCGACTTCTGCGGCAGGCACAGTCTGTGTGGCATCCTGTGTAGCCGTCGCGGGTGCTTCCTGGGATGGTGGTGTCGTCAATGCCATTGTCATCGCCGTCGTAGTTGCAGTCGGTTGTGTGTTTGCGGTGGGTTGCACGATGGAAGCGGGGATCGCAGGTGCTGGTGGTTGGCCGACCGTAGCGAGCGGCGGTTCCGGCGGTCCCGAGAACTGCTTCTTCATAATGGTCTGAATGTTCTTGTACATCTTTTGACTTTGTTCGAGGAAGGGTTGCACTTCGTTCTTGAGCCCGGGGCGATAATTGCGGTGCAAGTCGAAGATAGTCTTGAGCGCAATGAGGCAGTTGTCCACATTGTCCACAGTGAGGACTTCCATGAGCAAGTGGAGGAGGCGACTGGCATACGGTTTCAGCGCTTCGTTGTATGGTAGTCGATTCAGGATCTGCAATGTGAGTTTTCGGCATCGGTTCTTGTCGTTGTGGACGAACTGCGGCGGGATTTGCGTCCGCATGATCATTGTGAAGACCGGGAAGAGCACATCGAGGATGCGTGGAAGCTGTGGAGTCAAGAACACGTCCGCGTGCTTGTACAAGTCTGAGAGCTCCTTTAACCTCACACCCACATCGAGGCTGAGCAGCCCCCTGCGGATGTTCTCGAGGTTGTTCATCTGCCGTTGACGAACTTGGGCCTCAACTTATTGCTCTGTTCAACGCAATGCGCGCATCCGGATAATTGCCATAAAAAATCGAGCGTGAAAATCCAACAATTCAATGGAATCACATGGATTTAGTATTGGATCGTTCAATTCGGATTTTACGACGTCGAAAGAATTCAAATGTCCGGATAACAGTGGACCTTGATCCATTTGAAGCCCTATCGCAATGGCGGCGACAGCAGCGCTGGGTCGACTGGCCTGCCAGAAGAACTCGTTCCTGAAGGAACTGTCTGCGAAGGTCGTGTCGTGCGCGCGTCTGCCCAAGAGCAATGAGTTTGATGTTGTCTTTGACGACAGTGTACTGTTTCCAGAAGGTGGGGGCCAGCCAGGCGACATCGGAACGTTGTACCGTTCAAGTGACGACATCTCGATTCCTGTCACCAAGACGTTTACGCAAGACGGAAAGTGCGTGCTTCGCACAAACCGCGAACTCCAGGCTGGAGACGAGGTACTAATGCGCGTGGATTGGCCTCGCCGCCTGGACCACATGCAGCAGCATTCCGCGCAGCACTTGATTTCAGCCATCGCGAAGGAAACACTCAACCTCAACACGACGACATGGTCTCTCGGAATCACGCGGTGCAACGTCGAGTTTGACTCTCCCAATGTCACCCCTCCACAGATCGGCGCGTTGGAGTCTGCGGTCAACGACGCCATCGCCGCTGCCCGACCCGTGACAGTTCACTACGCGAATGAGTCCTCTGATATTCGTGTCATCGTGATCGACGGCATGGACCAGAATCCATGCTGCGGAACACACGTTGAGCACTTGGGGCAGCTTCAGGTTTGACTGTCTTTCCTCGACCCCATGTTCTCATCGTTCAATGAAGGCCGTGAAGTTTCTCCACACGGAAGTCGCTCGCGGCGGCACTCGCGTTTGGTTTCTTGCAGGTCATCGAGTCTTGTCTGAATTTGGAGTCATGTACGCAATCTCCTGCACTCTTCGCCATGCTTTTGTATGATTGCGGAACCAACTCCCGTAGGTTGGAACGCGAACGTGCTGCGACGAAGCTATGGAGTTGTCCTCCGGAAGAGCACATCGATCGACTTCAAAAGTTGCTACAACAGCAGTCCGTCGCGGCCAAGGAGCTTAAAACAACTCGTTTGGAACTAGCGGGACTCGTGGCATCTCAACTCGTCGTGGCCGCCCATGCCGCTGTACTCCATCGCGACGACGCGGACGCGGCATTCTTGACCGCCATCTCGGCAGCATTCCACGCGATCGAGGCGAATAAGGACAAGGTCCTGTTCCTGACAGGAGGGTCGTCCACATCGGAAGGGTGCTTTCTTCTAAGCGGGCCTCCCGCCTTCGTGACGTCGCGCGGAAAAGCGGTGGCGGCGCTGCTGGACGGAAAGGGCGGAGGTCGACCTGGAATGTATCAAGGCAAAGGGAAGAACATGGCGAACGTCGCCGCAGCGCAGTCGCTTGTTCTGGACACCGTCTAGCGTGTCACGGCGGAAACCAAATGAAGTCGTCGAGTCGAAGAGTCCCAGAACAAAAACGCTGAAATGAAACTCGAGGGCCTCGTCCTTTTTTTTCACGGAGGCGTCGCTCCTGCGACAATAATTGCAACTTGCATCGCAGGTTGAATCGGCGGGAGAAAAGATGTGGCGACAAGTGGCATGCCGGACACAGACCGCGATAGATCCGAACACATATGCAATACAGGCGATTATCATGCAAAGCAGGGGGTCGCCGTCGAAACAACTCATGCCAACGCTGCAGCGCCTCGGAGCTGCGCGCTGGGCTACGGAGCGCCGCGGTTGGTTTATTCGCACGCGAGCTTCGAGTCAAAGCTGCTCAGCGTGATCGCAAACGCTTGGAACGGGCACAGAGGCGCGCGAAAGTCCATCGTGAACAGGTCTTTCCCGACGCGACCAAATTGAAGAATCACCTGGTACATTAAGTCAGAGCCCGGCCACGCATGCGAGCGTACCGTTTCCTGGTCCTCGGGGGTCACGAGCTGAAAGTTCTTGACCGATGCCATCGTGACGCGCCCGTTAAAGTTGAGCACGTACGCGCCGACTTGGTCGTTCCACCGAGGTGGTTTATTGATGAGGTACGTCAGGTTTGTGTGGTCCTGCTCCTTGCACTTGTTGACCATCTCGTCCTCCTTGGTCGTAGGGCGCCACACCACGCGCGTCCCGTCTTCTCGGACGCGGGGCACGCACACCTTCATCTTGCGCGGGCCCTTGTACCCCAGGACGTTTTTTGCGTACACGGCGATCCCGAGCTCCTGTCGGATCGTGACTGGGTTCACGGTCAGCGTGTGCTGGTCGGCGCCTTTCGGGTTCACGCCGTTGTCGTAAACGACAAACTCGGTCCCGATGAAGTTGGAGCGGAGTTTCCCGAGAAAGTTGTCGCTGCCCTTGCGCGACAAGTCGCCGCGCTGCATCGAGATCAGGTAGTTGCTCGTGCGGTTGTTTGGGCGCTTCTTGGCCGTCAAGAGGAACCGATCGCCGTCCTTCATGTACAAACAGTACTCTGGAAATAACTTATTCGCGCCGGCGCAGTTGCGCTCGATGTAGCACTCGACGACGTCGTAAGCTTTGGGCACAGGGCTACGCACGATTTCGTGAGGGAGTGGATTGGGGTCGTTGCCATGGTCGATGTCGTACCGCATCAGGAACGCCTTCATGTCAGTGAGATCGAGCTTTCCCTTCTTCGCCGTCGACTTTTGTGACGAGCCCTTTTTGTCGTCGATCATGGACACAACCCCTCCTTCGTTCCCCTCTTCTTCTGACGACAGATCTGGCGAACTTGACCTGTCCCGCGCGGCTCCCTACCGTCGTCGACGCGTTAGCGGCTGCAGCACAGACGACGAACATGAACCTTTTCTTTGCGCGTCAACTCGCGACTGTTGTGGCCCTTCTTTGGCTCAACCCACGAATCGTTGGCGTCTTGTCTCGAAAACGATCGGTCCTTGTCTCGAGAAGGTGGCGCACTGCAACATCGTGAACAGTGAGTTGCGACCGCAAATCCAGCCACTCACTCGCGCCGACGGGAAGGCCGTTCGTCGTCCTCGTTGTCATCTTCGTCATCATCGTCATCCTTGGGCCGGCGACTGTTGCGGGACGGAAGTGGGTCGTCGCGACGCGATCGACTGCCGCTGTCTTCCGGACTGTCGTCGCGCCATTGCCGACCACTCTTCTTGGGAGTCGTGCCTCGCCGGCGCCCAATGTCATCGTCATCATCGTCGTCGTCGTGGAATCGTCGGGACGATGACGGAGCCTTCTTTGACGCTGCCTTGCGGTCGTCAATAAAGTCATCGTCGCGGCCAAACCGTCTGGATGCAAGTTAGAACGTGTTCGATGCTGACTAGAGAAGCGTACGATGGCTTGTCATCGACATCGACCGACCGTGGCGAAGAGAACTGGCGCGCTCCGGCGGACCGGACGACCCCTGGGTGCACGAGTGTGTCATGAGGCACGGGTGCTGGACTTGTGTCGTTACCTCCGTTCATGCGCTCCTGCATCTTCTTCTTGTGGAAGTCCCGTTGTTGTTGAATAACGTTGGACCGACTCCCGGCAGGTCCTCCGATCTCTTCAATGTCGTCGTCGTCGAGCATGTTGGGATGCGCTTCTCGACGCTTGTCACCGATCGACATGCGATCATCCACGTCCTTGGCGAGATCGCGGTCGCCCCGACCCTTCCGGCCGTCGTCGTCGAACGAGTTCTCTGGCATGAACATAGTCGCACTTGCTGTTCTTGGCGTTGCTCGCCCTTTGAACAAATAAAAAACCGTTTCGACCGCGTCGTTTCACCTTCTCAGGGGTAATTTTATACGCCAAACTTTCGACCCCAATCAAACGCCGCCCGCTAGAAAGGATGTCCGAACATGGCAGTCCGGCTGCACCCCTGGACATGCCCGGAGCCATCGCAGCACTGGTCATGGTAGTCATAGCGTCATTCCCGCTGGTCAAGGCCATGGCCGCGGCATTCCACGGTTTGAAACGTCACATGTAGCGCGACCTCTCCCGTCGCCATGCCTCCCACACATGCGCACGTCTGCGTACGTGGCGCACACAGCGCTTCCTCGACGTGCCTGGATCCACAGGTCACCGTGACGCATCCTAATCGTCGGCGTGAATCAAGCCACGACGCGTCGGTTTCATCCACACTTGGCTCATGAAACGGATGCTCTCCAAACATCGGTGGCGCCGTGGAGAACGGCATGTGCACATCTCACATGGACACGAGTGTTCCGGGTGTGGAATGAGCCGCGGTTCGTGGAAACTACGACTGCAGCCAGGGCCAGGGAGGGTTGACCACTGTGACTTCTGCGACAGTGCACATGGGTTGGCCCACGAGAAGGTCAGCATGATAATGGAACGATGCCATGGCATATACTACAGTCAGCTTTATTGGGCGACGAACCCGCCGTCGACAGAGTGCAAGCTGCCCGTGATGAAGGACGCCTCGTCGCTTGCCAAGAACGCCACCAAGTTGGCGACTTCCACCGGCAACCCGACACGGTTCAACGGTTGAAACGACCCCATGCTCTCGTGAATGTCCTCGACGGGGGTACCCGATGTTTCTGCCCACAGGTTGATCTCGCGGCGGTACAATGGCGTGTCGATCGTGCCAGGGCACACTGCGTTCGCGCGGATGTTGAAGCTCGCATAGTCCAGCGCTGTCGTGCGGGTCATCGACGCCAATGCACACTTGGACATGTTGTACGCAAACGAGGTTTTCTTGCCCACAAACGCTTGGTCCGATGACATCAATATGATGCTGCCCTTCTTTTGCTCCTTCATGCTTGGAAGCACTGCTCGGACTGCAGCATACGCGCCCTTGATATTGATCGAGATGATTCTGTCGAGGGCTTCCTCGGTCGTGTCTTCAATGTTCGCGCTCAAGTACACACCGGCGTTGGCAACCAAGACATCAATGCGACCAGTTTGGGCTGCAATCGTAGCAATCGCAGCTTCCACGTCAGCCACGCGGCCAACGTCGACTTCGACGAAATTTCCGATCTTGGACGGTGCAATGTCGAGGTTGTACACGTCATACCCCTTCGAGAGGAGCTTCTCGACGCAAGCTTCGCCAATTCCCTTGGACCCTCCGGTCACAATGGCGACGGGGGTGATGGCATCGTTGTTGGACTTGACGCGCTTCAGTGGTTGTGTCATCTTTTGGAGCAGGGAAATTGACAATGATCCTGTGGGTCATGTGTGTGATGAAGTGAAAAAATGGCCAATCAGTTGGAATCAAACACAAATCGCTTCATTGGATTGGACAAAACAATTCCATTTGGACCAATCCAATCCGGCTATTCCATTCCGTCACCTCGTAAAATTCGGCGACCACGTCAGAGCACCCACGGATGATCCAAGGCGTCTTCTACAGCGAGTTCGACAACATCGCGGGGCCGCAGATCGTGTACCAAGCTCCGCAAAAGTAGTCTCCGTTCACGAGATACCTGCTGAATGGTTGACGTCGTCATGCGCGTCGTAGTGCGTTGAGCAATGAAGTCTTTGACAGCGTTTCGGGGTACATTATCATTGACAAGGCGCTGTGCGGCAAGATTATCACAGGTATGACCGATTCATGGTTGGAAGCTCCAACGCGTGTCCCTCCCTCTGCTCATCGCCCAAACGGACGCAGTGTGTCCGCAAGACATCAAGATCGTCGGGTACCCAGTTTGCATCGAAGACGACAAGTACCATCGCAACGCGTTGCTCTTCAACATCGGTAAGAGCGGCGAACGGCGCAGCAGCGTGGGCAATGCCTTGCTGTTGTATGCTCAAGTGATCGGTAGGTTTTGTATTTGACAAGGACGCGGATGCAGCGCCGTACAAACCGATCCTTCGCAAACTGGGCGCGTTGATGGAAAGCATGGAGAAAGAGATGGGGTTTCTCTCAAAGGAATCGACCAAAGTATTGTTGTATTCCATCTGCATTCATTTGCTCGTCGCCTCATGCACGTTGCTCGACGGCAGGCCACTCTCTCGACGATCCTTCCGTCCATCTTGCACGACCTGACCATGTACGGCGAAAGTACGACCACGATCGACCCGGCCAACATCATCAACCTCAAAGTATTCCAAAAGCTGCCGCCGCCTCCTGACGTGTTCGAACACCAAGTTCCCGTCGCGATTCGAGACCTCCACGATTTGCTCAAAAACAGTGGTATGTCGCTGGAATACCTCCGTCGTCGCCATGCTCACAAGCTGCAGTGGAATGGGACCTGGCACTGCAGAAGATCGTCCCACACATTGACGGCGTCAACTACGTCAAGCGCATCGCGATTGCTGCCGAAGTCGACGTTGCTATCGGTACCAACCCTCACCGTGAACTGGCCGAGCCTCCCTTCATGCTGCATGATTTTTTCGTAGTCAAAAACTGCATGCGCCAGCTGCTCTTCTACGGATGCATCACGATGATCGACATCTTCATGCATTCCAACATCTACGCCACGACCAGCGCAGTGCACTCGCTCGTGAACGACTTAGTCCTTCAAGTAAGATTTTCCACGCGCGACGACTTCGAGTCATCATCACGCACGTTCCCTATGGTCGCAGCAAGAGTGCATTGCGTACATTGGCTATGCGAATGAACCTGCGCCGTCTTTTTCGGCGGTGTTCTCGCTATACTGCGCTCTTCAGCCCAACACCCCTGTTGCTCATGTTTGGAAGTCGTACGTGCTCTTCTCTATGCTGTACGCGTGGTGCTCATGTGCGGCTGTAGGCATCACAAGCTGCTCGCGCATATCGATGTGCGCCGACTGATAACGTTTGGCCTAATCCATGGCATCCTGCGGCGTATTCACCGGTACCCTGTGATCATCGATCGGCTGTCATCAAGGCCGCCGCAGATGCTGTCATCGTCGCCGTCTACAGTGAGCCTACAATCGGCGACACTGACCAACGGCAGCAATGCAGTCATGGCCATCCGAAAAGCAGCGACCCCACATCATGGTATGGATGTTTTGACAGGACTTGTGACATCGCTTACAACGTGGAGGAAACAATGGCGCTCGATCGCCGCTAATCGACCGGGAAGCCGTGAAGAAAATGATGGACGGCGAGCACCACACGGACGAGATCTGTTGCGTCCACATGATCCGGTACTCGGACTTGGAAAGACTGCTTGAGGGCGAATCATGCTGCTATGTACTGAAGTAAGCCGAGACTTCCCCAGCACGACTCGGTGTGCAAATGGACTGTCCGTGTTCATTGACTCGGGGTCGTCTGTCTTCCGAGTCCAGTCTTCCGAACCAACGTGAGGTCTGCGGCAGGAGCGGCATGGCAAACCGTTTCGATTTGGCGTTGGCACATTTAAATATACTCCAAAAAGAGGATTTATCTACATATTTGTAAGCTCATTGATTTCGTTGAAATTAATATTTCGCTGTACCCTTGATTGGACGAATTTTGAAATTCGTGACAAGGACAATGGCGGCGGCAGAAGCGTCGACCAAGGCGGCACTCCGGGGCTGGTGCCGCGATGCTGAGGTGAAATGGCGAATAAGTGATGGAACAAGTGTAAAGGAAGGAGACGTTGTCGCAGACCTCATTGCCCTGGACAAATCGAAGTCCACACCTGTGTGGTCCCCAGAATTTGGTGTCGTACACATACATGCCACACCAACGAATGAAGCGTCCGACGGGTCACAGGAAATTGGATGGGTGGACATCTGCCAACATGACGTCCTTACAGCGAATCGTTCGATGTGCCAAATTTGTCTACGACGCTTCGAGGATGGAAGCGCCAACCAGACCGTCAAAGTTATTATGAACGACGGCATGGCGATGCAAGTGAGCCACAGTCAAGCCAGTACGTCCGCAATGCCGCCGATGGCGAGAGCATCCGAGAACGGGCTCAATTGGCACGTCCTTGGTAGAGAAACTCGACAGTGACAACATTACGCGAATGTTAAAGTCCGCAAAGCTGACACTCGTCCTGGATCTTGACCACACGTTATTGCATGCCGTGCGACTTGAAGACGTCGTCGACTCCATCGACTCCTATGGTACACATGACTCCAGGAACTCCGCCAATGACGTGCTCACTGCAAACAGATGACGTCTTGCACTTTGAGATCCCGGGCATCCCAACTCCGCATGTGCTCAAGTTGCGCCCAGGGCTGGCAACGTTCCTCGCAAATTTGTCCGCGATGTACGAACTGTGCATTTACACGCACGGGACGCGAAAATACGCCGAGAAGATTGCCGACATCATCGACCCGACTCGGAAGCTCTTCAATGGACGCATCATCTCCCGGTCTGACACGCCGGACATTGGACACAAAGATCTCAAGTTTCTTTTTCCTTCCTGCGATGACTCCATGATAATTATCCTGGACGACCGCGTCGACGTGTGGAGGGTATAGAATCGTCCCTGGCATTGATTCATGACAAGGCGTCGTGTATAGAAAAACTACGAAAATGTGTTCATCATAGAAGCTTTCCACTTTTTCAACACCCGCGCCGAACTCAACAATGCGTCGGGGGGAAAGGACAGCGCGGGCGGCATCCGCATCCTGCCCAAGGGCGACACGCATCTCGAGAAAACGTTTCGTGTTCTGCAGGCACGACACTTCTACGATCGTGGGTTTTCGTCATAACTTTTGCATACCGCATTTCCCAGGCGGCCCACGCGCGTTTTTACCAAGCCGGAGCCGACGAAGAGGCGCAACTTCGAAACCAAGGGCGTAGCGTCAAAAGGATTCTGTATGAGGTGCGTGAACGGGAATTGTACGATTTTTTGGAATGGATTTCACGTTGGACTTGTAGCTCCGCCACGAAGTTCTGAGAGGCGTCAATATTGTGTTTAGCGGAGTTATCCGCTTGGACAAGCCGCCGGAAGTAGACTACTTGTGGAAGCTCGCGCTGTCGTTCGGAGCAAAACCGAGCATGACGATGGATAATTTTCCCATCACTCACTTGATCATCGACCCTCGCCGACTCGGATCAAAGAAACACGTCGAAGTACGTGACTCTATGTCCTTGCATGCATCGACGCAAGATAATATGTGGCCACGATGGATCTGGGTCGCCTGACTTAATCGATGGTACTTCTAGGCGGTTGAAATGAAAAATGTCGTCGTGGTAAATCCGCAATGGCTGGTGGACTCGGCGTCCGAGTGGTCGAAGCAAGACGAAGCAAAATATGCAGTCAAATTTATTCTGACGTCGGCGCAACAAGACCGAGAGGCAGCTGAAGGCGCTTCCAAAGCAGGAGACGACGGTGTAGGAAACGAAGAAGCAGGTCAAGACGCGGAGGCTACGACTTCGAGTCGCAAGGGTGGAGAAGTAGTGGTACCATCGAGTTCAGATCGGCCAGAAGGCACGGAGGACCCTGCTGCGACACAGGAATCCGACAAAGGTGGCGCTTCTAGTGAAATCGCTACGTTTTACGATGAGATCGACCACAATATCGAAGATGCAGAGGCGCTCAAGTCACAGAATACAGAAGCTACGATTCCTTCACCAGAAGATGTTTCACCCCAGCCCCAGTCCGTGGTATTTTCATGTTGCCAAAAGAGCTCAACGTTGAGTAAGAGACTGTTGTAGGTCAAAGGCATCTTGTCTGCACCGGAAACAATCGGTCAAAAGCCGAAAAAGAGCGTTCGATTCACTCCAGACGTCAAGGAACCCACGGTGCAGTTCCAAAACCTTCCAATGAGGCACCGAGTGATGCATCGAAAGGGGCCGCTTCCGGCGAGGGTGACACCTGCAGGTGTTGTCGAAAGTGGCGGGTCGTTTGAGTTTGTCCAAAGAATTGCAAAGCTCAAAGCCAAGGCGTCGCCGGCCGCTGCACTGCCCAAGTTTAATCGTGTGGCCATTCCAGCCCAAGTACCGATTGCTGCTCGCACAAAAAAGGAAGAGAGCGTCGATGACATCATGGACAAATGGGCCAACATGGAAGATGAAGAAGAAGTCCAACAACCGAAGCGAAAATCTGCACTCTTCCAAGAAAAACATGCAGAAGCTGCTAAGAGAGCCAAGAGGCAGCTCAAGGAGGAGGCCGCCCCACCCCCTGCAGCGGACGACGCAGACGATGACGAGGGCGTGGTGAGTGGACTCATCCTGTGGATCGAACCTGATGGACAGTCCCCCTCTGTAGGATGACTTGGATGATGAGCTTTTCAACGATGATACGAAGTAGGTTAGATCCGTCGATGTCAACGAGTGTGACTAGAAAATTCGAAAGCCATTTTCCGTTGCAGACTGTGCGTTGTCGTGAATGCAGCGGCCAACAGTTTTGGTACTTTGTGTATTTTTAGCGCTGGAATGTGCCAGTGGTGTCAGCGAAGCGGGGCCGGTCCATCGCCGTCGTCTTGAATCTCATGGGCAAGGCCAAGTTCAAGAAGGGCCGAGTCCATGACGAGGACTCGGATACGGCAAAGTTGACGGGTGTGGATCTCTTGGAGGATTCGTCTCCTCGACCGTCCATCGTTGAAGTCGGTTCAGTCAGTTGCGATGATGCCACCGTCCCTCTAGACGAATGCGAGGAAATTCCTTCGTCAATGGTGGCTCCCATGCCGAGCACTGCTCAAGACAATGACGTTGTTGTGTCGTTGTCGATACACCAACCGAGGATATCTCCCCGAGGTGCATCGCCCGCAGTGTCCAACGTCCCCGTTGACTTGGTCGAGTGCGACGATACCATCGACGAAGACGATTACAACTTCCGCATCAAATATCGCACAGAAATGACGTGGCAACTCGTCTACGTTCTCATTTGGAACCTCCTGGCACGGCACGCATGGGCCATGTGGATCGAATTTGCCGGCGTCGTCCTCGCTTACTCGGTCATTGGGCTCTTTGGGTCGCTCAATCCAACGCGGTACCCCGCGTCGTGGTGCCTCTGGTCTGTGCGATGCTACCTCTGGCTAAATCCCGTCATGCAAGTGTACAACGCTCTCTGGCTCGGCCGCCTCTTCTTTCTCGACAACGTCTTTTGGTTCACGTACGTCACGATGCTGCTCAACTTTGGCGTGCTCTACTGCGGCTACGTCAGCGCCAGCGAATACTACGACAACGACCTCGTCCACTTTATGCGACGGCACTTTGCTGCGTCGGCTGGAGACGCCGCCGGTAGAGTCGACGCGAATAGCATAGCTGTCGATATTGCGGACGGCGTCCAGCCAAGGGCACCAACGCGAGTGTAACTGCTGTAACCGAGTAAAGTGAAATGGCCGCGATGGCTCGTGACCACGTACCAGCGACGCCAGTCGACGACGCCGTTCGCGCGGCAAAGCTCACGGAATTGTTCGAGTTGCTGGATCATGACCACTCAGGTGATGTAACCTGGAAGGTGTTGGTGCGCGTGGAGGTCATGTGGAGTCGTTGGAATGTCTAGGTGAAATCGTACGTTCCATACGTCCGATCACGTCCTTTCCTCCGAGTGAACCGCCTGGCGGCAACGTAGCTAACGCCGCTGTCATTAGGATGCACATGAAATGCAGCTCTTGGGTGTCGCGGTCACTGGCGCGACAGATCTACCCAGTCTCGACGAATCCAGGTGCGCCATCTCACTCGTAGTCGACTGACGAATGCAATCTCGATTGTGCACCCGAAGAGACCAAATCCGGCGCGCCGATTGCGACCACAACACTCGTGTGGAGTACCGTCGACGGGATGGAATTCCCACGACCGGCTCACGGTGGAATTTTGTGTAGTCTTGCCGAATGGGTCGCGTTTGGCATGTCGACGTCGTTGTACGACTTGAACTTGGACGACTTTATCGCGTTGATGGACACGTACGCGGAGCGAGTCCATCGCCATTACGACGACGGCGGGCATTTGAAAATCGCAGATGCGTCGCAAGCCTCGTCAAGGTGGACTAGAAGCGCCCTTCCCCCACTCTTGAGTGCCAAGAGCAAGCGAATGACGCTTCCACCTGAACCGAACGCTCGCCCTCCACTACCTTCGCCTGCACCAGCCCCGATGTCCACCTGGTTCTGGGGACGATGTGCAGAATGCTCGACTCCCGGTCGCATTTCGTGCAACGACTGCCATGTACGTATTGCGCATGCTGCAACTTAAAAACTGGTTGAGCACAGCCCGACCACGAGTTTGCGCAAAGGGTTTACTTGCCATGTCCATGGTAGGTGCTGCTGTGTTTGGACCATGGGACATCTCACGCTGTCATGCATTTGGATGCGCCCGTGCACACCAACAACCAAGATGAGGTCATAAATACCTTTGGCCATTCAGTGAGTGAGAATGGTTCAACGTCAGGTCGGCTGGGTAGCGCGATGCAACCGCTGCTGGCACATCCTGATGCGTTCATGGAGTAGGGCTGCGCCTCAAGTCGGCCTCTGTCCAGCATCCAAGAGTCAAGAGGAATCGCAAAGCGGAGTCATGTCGAATCATGTGACAGGGTTCGCAGTAACAGTTCAAGCATTTCGCACAACGAGGGCTGACTTCAATGAAATCGACGGTCGAGGAGCGGTCGCATTGTGGGTTATGTACACCTTCCACGATATTTTATGGGCGTCAAATGTACAGAGAGCGCCGTGCGAACAGCACCATGGCGCCATGCATCACACAGTTTGGCGTGGGGTTGGCCGATGCTTCTTGGCTTGAATCACGCGATTAACAGCGGCGAACTGACCTCGACGAGACAGGGACGTCGCAGGTGCATCGTATCTCCATTTAACCATGTCCATCAACTTGTGCTCCAAGTCGTCACCAGACCACTGCATCCACGGGACATTATTTGATTTCGTTGTCGATTCAACGGGACTACCATGGACAAGCGCTTGTGTCGCAATCGCCATGGAAATAAGGTTGGTCGAGTACCTGTCAACATCATGGCGTCGCCGTTTTTGATCTGGCACGATCCGGCGGGGCATGTACCCTGGTTACATCATTAGATGTGGACGTACAGTGCCCACGAGCTGTACCCTCAGGCGGCGGCGGGGGGCGCTTCATTACAGCCACGCATTCGATGTTGTCAGGATCGACGCCGTAGAGCGAGCTCCACTTGCCTAGGATGATCTTGCTTCGTTGTTTCTGAGGAGTTGCATGGACTGGAGTCAACGCGACCGATCGTTTGTGTTGAATGGGCGTTGTATTGTCGGCGCTGTGAAGAAGCATCTCTTGGCGTATCTTGAGTTTGTTCGCGATGCTGTTGAGCTTGTTCACTTTGCCGAGACGGGGGCTGGCGGAATACGGAGTAGATACACTGCGGTTCGTCCCGTCCAAGGACGACGGCGGCGGTGGGGTGGCTCTTCCCAATATTCCAGGGAACTGTCGACAGCCCTGGGCACTTCGAAACGTCTGTGACCCTGTAGGAGTTTTTACGGCAGAATCCGTGGTGGCACTTTTCTTGATGACTGCCAGGGCCTTGGTGAAGTCGAAGTTGCCGGAGTACCCACTGATTGCTTTCTTTGGCGTGTCGATGGCCGCGGAGCTGCCCATTTGCTTCCACCTACGAGGAAGGAACGGCTAAACGAGGACGACCATTGACCATGTGCATGCCGTTCATGGCATTGACGGCCGCTCTTGTGCGTAAAGTGCGCCGCGATTTCATTCCAATTTTTTGTCCCAAACTCATACACCAACGACCGGATTTTCATGTCATCCTGCGTCGGTAGTCGAGGTCAGAGACGAGCGGAGCATCGCGGATGTAGACGGTCCGTACCTCTGAAGTCCAACCTCCCTTTACGTTGCAAGGTGTTGACACCTAAATGAAAATTTGTTGGAGTTTGCGTGCTTTCGACGTGTCGGCAGGCAAAAACGTACAACTTTCTCTAGGCTGGAGGCAACGACCCTGTTCAAATCGTTATAGCGTTGCATGAGGCACTCGACTAGATGTATCATACTGCGCTCGAGGCGAGGTCAACACACCTGTAGTTCGCTTTCATCGTGGCGCTTGCCACGTTTGTGCAGGGTGCGACGTTTTCTTTGTCTAGTCGACTCCAGCCGTGATGGCCTCACCAGGACACGACAGGTTATTACCTGAATCGACACTTTGCATCTTGGGCGGCGCCTTGGACAGAAGCGAGGAAGACGCCATGATCACAGCGTCCACAGCACTCGCCCTTCCTGGCAGCTTGCCTCTTCTGTACAACTGAAGCATCTCATCGACACGCATGACGATTATCCGGACAGTTTCTTGCTTTCATGAATAATGAGACTGAAAAAATCGCAATCCAATTCAAAACTGAAGAATACTAACAATAAAATGATCTGAAACCTTGCCAAATTATTCGTCAAGCCATGTTATCCGTACAGTGGCGGGAAGTTTGAACTGTCCGCCAGCGTTGTCACACTGCAGGGCGCCATCACACCAAGTTGCCGCCAGAAAGTTGCGTGATGGCGAGGATCGTTGTCGCTTAAGGTTGTCGTATGTGTGTTCTTTAGCATGCTGCCGGTACAACCGGACTCGTCGGGCGTATATCTTGGACCATGAATCACAAGGCCTTTCGCTTCCCAGCGAATTCGCGCCAGCCAAGACGCACTTCTCCATGTTCGTCTCATTAGTTGCAACGAAAAGTGTGCCACTACAGAAGTGCCGCTCAACAGTCGCTTGCGCCGGAGATAACGACACACATATAAAGACGCAAGCTCCGTTGTCCCCCAGCGAATCCTGTTGCACTCTTGGTGCTGCGGGCAGGTTATCTTCGTCGATGGCGTGCATCATGTTGCTGTTTTCCTGTCGTGCTCGGAAGTTTCATGTCCGAATATTTTAATATTTCTGAATTGAGGTATTGAGAATTCATATACAAACACACCTAATAAAATTGAAGCTCCACAGATCGTTTTTATTATTGCACAAAAACCGTTTCAACATTAGTTCAACACCCCATTGCCGAGGCAGGATGGACCGCGGCGCCGACCAAGTCGCCGCGCAAGGCCGTGCGGTCGACGAGCACGACTTGGACCAAGAGATCCAAGCCATGAAGCGTCACGTGTTGGAAATGGAAGCGCAGCTCCACCACTTCCCGATAAACGTTCAATGGCCCCATGGCCCCAGGCAACACCAGCCCCGAGCAGCGACTGCTGTAGCCATCGACGACAATTCCATCTACATCGGCCAAGTCGACTACTCAACCACAGCGGAAGATCTTGTCGCATTGTTTCACCGGTGTGGGCCTATCATGCGCGTGACCGTCGTTTGCGATAAAGCCACCGGTCAGCCCAAAGGGTACGCTTACATCGAATTTGCCACGCCCGACGCTGCGCAAAGTGCATTGGCTCTCAATGAAACGCCATTTCGCGGGCGGCAGATCAAGGTCACGACCAAGCGAGTCAATGAACGCGGGTTCAACGGCGCAGGGCGAGGTCGCGGGGATCGGAGTGAACACCCCAGCGGGCGAGGGGGTGGACGACGTGGTGGGTGCAATGTAGGCTCACCACGAGGACCAAGTGGACGAGGTGGCGGACGTGGTGGAGGGCGCAGTCCTCCACCGAGCCGTGGGGGCAGAGGAATCAGTCACGACGGAGACCTATCTCTAAGCGCAGACGCAGCGGGAAGCGGGTCAACTGGAAATCCACCGCTTGGTCCCGGTGGCCGTGTTGTTTACCTTTAGACAACGTCATGCTCCCTGCCGCTCAAGATGCGACGTCGTGGTGGACTCGCCGTCCTTCAGCAATCGCGCCTGTGGAAGATTCGTCAACTTGGCATCTGATTGAAGTTGGTCGCACTATTTTATTATTCCATTTTAACTAGTCTTTTGTATCTGTGTTTAAACTATGGATGCCCCTCAGGGCCAAACGTTACCCAGCACATGAAAATTTTGGCACTCCCTTGGCAACGATGGCAACATCGTTCGACAACGTGCGAGTGCTGGGGCCTCTCACGGAAGAGTACGCCGAGATCTTGACGCCGGATTCACTTCGCTTCCTTGCCTACCTCCACGACACCTTTGAATCCCGCCGCCAGGAATTGCTCCGCGCCCGCATCGCCCGTCAGGCTGACCTCGATGCTGGTGTCCTACCTACCTTTCTTCCCCACACCAAGTACATCCGTGAGGGGGATTGGCGTGTTGCATCGATTCCCATGGACCTGGAAGACCGACGTGTGGAAATCACGGGGCCAGTCGACCGCAAGATGGTGATCAATGGCCTCAACTCTGGAGCCAAGTGCTACATGGCGGACTTGGAGGATTCGAGCTCGCCGACGTGGGTCACTCTTGTATCCGGCCAAGTCAACCTCCGAGATGCCGTCCGCCGTACAATCACGTTCGAGCAGCCAGGAACTGGCAAAAAGTACGCGTTGAACGAGACCACAGCGACTTTGCTCGTGCGACCTCGTGGTTGGCATCTTGACGAAGCACACGTAACCGTGCGAGGTGAAATCATGTCGGGCAGTTTGTTTGACTTTGGCCTGTACTTCTTCCACAATGTGCACGAACTCCGACTCCGAGGGTCGGCGCCGTATTTTTACCTGCCCAAACTCGAGGGCCACTTGGAAGCGCGGCTCTGGAACGACGTGTTTATCGCCGCGCAAAAGTACCTGGGCGTCCCTGTGGGCACGATTCGCGCCACGGTCTTGATCGAAACGCTCTTGGCTGGGTACGAAATGGACGAGATCCTGTTTGAGCTCAAGGAGCACTCGAGTGGGCTCAACTGTGGCCGGTGGGATTATATCTTTTCGTTCATCAAGAAGCTGCGCGCACATGCGGCGTACGTACTCCCCGACCGATCCGCGGTAGGGATGACGGCTCCGTTCATGGCCGCCTATGTGAAGCTTCTCATCGAGACGTGCCACCGCCGTGGCGCGCATGCCATGGGCGGGATGGCGGCTCAAATTCCTGTGAAGAACAACGCAGAGCTCAACGACCAGGTCATGGCGGCGGTGCGAGAGGACAAGTTGCGCGAAGTCCGTGCTGGTCACGACGGCACATGGGTGGCACATCCAGGGCTCGTGGGCATTGCTATGGACGTGTTCAATTCGAATATGCCATCTCCTCATCAAATCGGAAAGCCGACCAACTGCGAGACCAAGATTCAAGCGGCAGAGTTGCTGCAAGTGCCGCGCGGTGGTCGAATCACCGTGAAGGGTCTGGAAGAAAACATCGATGTCGCGCTCGTGTACACGGAGGCGTGGCTACGTGGCGTTGGGTGCATCCCGCTGCACAACAAGATGGAAGATGCTGCAACCGCCGAGATTTCACGAAGTCAGGTGTGGCAATGGATTCGGCATGATCAATCGGCCGTCAAGGACAACGGCGACGCCACACGCATCACCAAGACGTGGGTGGCACAGATCCTGGACGCGTGTGTTGCACAACACGTTGGAGCGTCTTCGGCGCTGCATAAATTTGACCTCGCCGGGCAAATTGTGCTGCACACCCTCACGAGCGACACCTTCGTCGACTTCATCACTTTGCCGTGCTACCCCTACGTGATCTCTCTTGCCTAGTTCATGGAATTCATCGCCATTTTCGTTTGGATTCCTTTTAAGCGCCTCACGAAGCGATCCCAACTGCTACGTATGCGTACAAAGAAGGAATTCCATCGGTGGCATGTCCACCGTTGTGCTTTTTCTCATTGGAGCATCGTACGCTCCTTCATCTGTATGCTGCTCGAAGCACAGCGAGTACCGTGGGATCGTTTCTGGAGCTGGTCAACTTGGTCATGAGCGAATCGTGATGCAGCGTCCACAAAATGAAACAAAAAGCAACGACAATTAGTCGGTTGCCACCTCCATCGCACGCCATTGTGTACCTCTAGGCATCGAGACTCGAATCCAGTTCTCTTGGCTGTCGTGCGTACCAAGTCGGGCAATAGGCAAAGCATCAGTTGGTGACTTCCAAACGGTGCAATTGCACCCACGTCCGTCGTCAATATGCAGGTTGTGGCAATGGTGTCGGGTCACATACCTTGCGGTCTCTCTCCTAGATACAAGGTCATCGTAAAGCCCTGCGAACTCAGCACTAACAACATGTGCCTAATCGCATCACTGGCGACAGCTTTATTCATCTCTCCTCCATTCTATTGTTCGGTTCTTCAATTCGTCGCAGTGTCGACGACGTCTTGGGCCTGGATGCGAGCGTTTCGCAGAGCCTCCGCGATACGGAACCGCGCGACCGACCCCTTCTTGCCAAGCTCGGCCTCAGACGTAATGCCCATGAGATAGTTGTCCAAACCGCCAGCCTTGTCAACGCATCGCAGGGTGTGCGTCGTCACGTGCAACGAAATCTTTTCATCCAAAGCTTCGCTGTACAACGCCTTGTGGTGGGCGTTGACCTTCCAGGCACGGCGGGTCTTGCGTTGTGAGAAAGACACATTGTTACCAAAATGCTTGTCGCGACCTGCAAACAGACCACGGAGAGCACGCCCAGACACGTGTTGGGGTTGCGCCGCCCGCGCGAACTGCTGCATCACGAACGAGATCGAGGTCATCGCTATCGAATATTGCGCTCCAGTAATTTCGAGGTCCGATGAAACCTCTCACATCCTATTTTGCAACATATCCATTTCTACGTTTTATCCGGAACACTCCGGTTATCCGGTTCTGAATCTCGACAAGAGTTGCGAATGAGCCGTGTTGTCGCGGCAAGGGCCGGCTCCCCGTGGAGCGGCTAGTCGTAGCCAAGAGCACAATCATCTTGTTTGGCGTGCAATGCGATCAAAGTACGAAGCATTGAGTATACGTGCAGAATGGCGAGATAACTGACGCTATGGCTTGTTCAACGTCTTGGGCTCACGCTGGACATGCTCGTGGTGTCGTGACTGAAAATACTGCGTTCGAGCACCTCGCCAAAGCCACACGACCGTAAACACATTTATGACGACACAGCAGCAGTCACAGCACGATCAAAACGTGGGATGTAAGTGGCAGTGCTGTGTTCACAGCAACGTCTTAGCTCCCTCCGGTGTCATAGGAGATATTTGACCTTCGCCCCGAAACTGCTCTAAGATGTTTCTAAACCTTGTTAGCCCACGCGCCAGCCAGCATGAACCACGAACTGTCGGTCGACTAACGGGGTGGCTGGCGGTAAGGCAAGGCACCCCGTGTCATCGCTGAATCTTTCCCACGATCACAGTTTTGGCGGTCAAGCGGTTTGATGTGGCTTACTCGAGAAGAATGAGTCAATTGAACGAACTATTACGCGACCGGGCATTCTCGTGCAACATGCTGTTTGGGCTCAGTCTTCGTCCACAGAAATGGATAGTCACACGCACATTGTGTTCGACTGACGTCCCTTCAACAAGTCGGCCTTGGAACGCTCTCTTCAATTGAGTTTGAGGTGACCACGGGGTGGGAAAAGACTGGCGGGTATCCGCACGCAAATATGTCATGTTGGGTTGAAGTGGTGGGTGTTTCGTCCCCAAGCTCACGGTATGAGTGCTCGGCGTGTCTTGGCTGACCGCATATGCCGTGGAAGTCCCGCAGAAACTCGCGCATCGATGTGAAGTGATAAACTGCTTTCATTGAATGGCACTTCCACACGCCTCGCTCGGATGCATCAGAAGGAGATTCGAATTCGGCAATGACTACACAATTGCGTACAATGCCGACGTGTGATGGAATTGCATTCATGATGGACAACTGGCACGATCGTTGACTACCATCTCCGCTAACCACCAAAGCAGCTTGAACTTTAGCGGATGGGCCATTTACGTGGACTGGTGCCGCCTTCCGACAATTTCCATCGACAAGTGTGCAGCTCGGACGCCCTGACTGTGCATTGCTCAGCTCATGGGGAGTAGGCTTGCATTCGAGGGGCTAGTGCTTTTGTACAAGAGGAGCCGAACTAAGAGTAAGCAGCAGTGGCATCTTCAAGGCAATCGCAGACAAAGCACACGAACCTACCGAGAGGCGGCCACGGAATGGTTTGCATGCAGATCCACGCCAAATTCCCCTGTTCGCTTGCGCCAATTCACTGATCTTTCGCTAATTAAAGGCACGTTCTAATGCATGTTCATCTTGGAATCAGCATCTTGTCGGCCTCCGTAGCACAACGATGTCATCATGCTGTCGAAGGAAAGTCGAGATGTGGAGTCAAGACCCATTGATCACACGCATCATCGGCATGTCACAGGCGAAACACACTGGAAGGTTGGTTCAAAGCAGCGTCGGCGACTCAAGCGCCCGACGACATACCTTCGATGCACAGCTCGACTCTGGCTCACAAACTCCACCGTCCGCACGTTGCGTCGTTCAAACCACTGCCTCCGTCGGTTGGTGGCGCCGTCGAGTGCCTCCTCGCGCACCAAGTTGCAACCATGAGACGGTGGATAGCCACCGGTATTGTCGAATGATTGGCTAAAAAAGACTGACACGGGGGCGTCATCGCCAAATTGCTATGTTGTAGCCAATCCCAACGCTCCATGGAGAGTGACTTGGCGCTGTGTGTCAGAGACGATTCGCTTGGCATCCACGAAGACATTTTGCAGGAAAAAAGAAACGCACATCGATCGAGCACGAAATATCTTGCGGGTCCACGGACACCGACGACGCCGCGATGGAGCTCTCTGCATCAATAGGGTGGTTTCATAAGAGGTTTCGTCACTGCCACACTGGAGGGGCATGCATCGTCCCCGCAGGAGTCACCCAACACGTGATGGTCGAGGCATCCCACAAAAGAATGAAAAAAAACACCTCGGCCTGCCGCGGCCATAAAATTTCCTTGGATAGTATTGTCGACAACGACAGACATGCTTAAGTCGGGGTTCGTTGCCGCCAGGTGGAAAGATATAAGAGAATCCCTCGCGAGGGAAGCCCCATGCCGGTCATTCTCGAATTTGCTCCCAAGGAAGAACCCCTCCACAGCAAAGGATGCCGATCCAATCCATCAAAGCGCGCCAAATCTTCGACTCCCGCGGCAACCCCACTGTGGAAGTTGACCTTGTCACTGAACACGGTCTCTTCCGCGCCGCCGTGCCTTCGGGTGCGTCCACGGGTGAGTTTGAAGCGTTGGAACTCCGCGACGGAGGCAAGGCCTACCTCGGCAAGGGTGTGACCAAGGCCGTGAACAACGTGAACTCGATCATTGCGCCTGCCCTCATCGGTAAGGACGAAAAGAACCAAAAGGAACTCGACGTGTACATGGTGGAAACCCTTGATGGCACGCAAAACGAATGGGGCTGGTGCAAGAAGAAGCTCGGTGCTAACGCCATCTTGGCTGTCTCGCTTGCCGTGTGCAAGGCCGGTGCCGCGGCCAAGGGCGTACCCCTCTGGCAGCACATTGCTGACTTGGCCGGCAACCCCACTCCTTGCCTCCCTGTGCCTTCGTTCAACATCATCAACGGTGGTTCCCATGCCGGCAACAAGTTGGCCATGCAAGAATTCATGATCTTGCCCACTGGTGCCACCAGCTTCACTGAATCCATGCAAATCGGAACGGAAGTGTACCACACCTTGAAGAAAGTCATTAACAAGCGCTACGGCTTGGACGCCACCGCCGTCGGTGACGAAGGTGGTTTCGCGCCCAACATTCAAGAAAACGGAGAAGCCCTTCGCTTGATCCAAGAAGCCATCGAGTTGGCTGGCTACACCAACAAGGTGAAGATTGGCATGGACGTTGCTGCGTCGGAATTCTACACTGGCAAAGAAGATGCTCGCTACAACTTGGACTTCAAGAACGAAAATGCCGCCGAGTCGGACAAGATCTCGGCCGATGCTTTGATCGGTGTGTACCAGTCGTTCATTGAGCAATGCAAGGACCACAGCCCCATTGTGTCGATTGAAGACCCCTTTGACCAAGATGACTGGGCTTCGTGGAAGAAGCTCACCGGCGCGGTCGGCGGCCATGTCCAAATTGTTGGTGACGACTTGACCGTGACCAATCCCACCCGCGTCAAGAAGGCGATTGAAGAAAAGGCGTGCAATGCCTTGTTGCTCAAGGTCAACCAAATCGGGTCGATTTGGGAATCGATTGAAGCTGTCACCATGTCGAAGAAGGCGGGCTGGGGCATCATGGCGTCCCACCGCAGTGGTGAAACGGAAGACTCTTTCATTGCCGACTTGGCTGTTGGTTTGAGCGCCGGCCAGATCAAGACTGGTGCTCCGTGCCGCTCGGAACGCCTCGCCAAGTACAACCAATTGCTCCGTATTGAAGAAGAAATGGGCGCCAAGGCCGTGTACGCCGGCAACGACTTCCGAAACGTCGAAAAGTTGGGCAAGTACTCGACCTTTTAAATATACGTGACCCATGTTGTTCATTTGAACTGCGCTCGCCGTGCGCAATGCGCGCGCATCTCGGACGTCTTTGTCGCGAGAGCCACTTGCGTCATCACAACGTACATGACAACACATATACGCACAGCACGCTTCTGTTCGCGCGTAGCTACTTAGTGATGCGACCTTTTTTCATTGTCGTGGACTGCGTCTTGAACGCCGAGTAGTGCTCCGTTCCACCGTACACCTTGGGGTTCGCGGAGAAGCATGTGAGGATGCCACTCGACACGGGCTTCGGTGTGCCGTACGTGGACAGCCATTGCTTGAGGCTTTGGATCTCGGACTCGCGGCCACTTGCTGTCGTCGTAGCATTTGCTCTCGCGTTGTTCGTGATCTCTGCGTCAACTAGATCGATCTTTTGCTGGATCTGAACGATGGCTGTCTGCAACTTGCGCAATTCGCCGTTCTTCACCACAGCCTTGACGACGTCGGGTTGCTCGAAGTACATAAAGTACCCTGGTTTCTTGGACGCCGTGATCGCAGCCTCGAGGTTCTTGCATACCTTTCGGCTAGTCTCGTTGAGACCACCAGGGCCCGATAGGAGAGCGTTGAACCTGTCCGCCTTCTCCCGCTGCGCATGCAGAAGCTCTTCCTTCTTCTTCTGCAGGTCTTCCATCCCCCCAATTGCCATTTCCACTTGGTTGAAGTCGATGGTATTTTTAGGTGTAGATTCAGCCAATCCAACTTCGTTATGAGAATGATTTCAACCAATCAAAATGATTTGATAATGTGACGGTTCACAGTCAAAACAATTGTTGTGGACGATGGAGACAAAAATGCCGATGGTGGCGGGAATCACGGCAACGGCCTTTCGCCAGTTCATGGAAAGAGTCCCTACGTCACATCGCAGTCCGCGAATGGCAATCGCACTATCTGGTGGCGCGGACAGCACCGCATTGCTCATGCTGATGCGAGAATACTGCGCCAACCCTGACGATCTCCTCGCAATTACGGTGGACCATGGACTGCGACTTGAGAGCGCAGACGAAGCGCAGCTTGTGGCATCGTTTGCTAGGAAACACAATATCCCACACCAGATCCATCGTGTGTGCTGGGACGATCTACCCGGATCACTGCTACGTAGTCAGCTTCAGATTCAGGCACGCCTTCGACGGTATACCGCGCTGGGCGACGTGTGTACCCGCGAAGGCATCCGTGCTCTGTACGTGGGGCATCACCTTGGCGACCAGCTCGAAACGTTGTTGTTTCGGATTGGGCGAGGCAGCGGGTGGAGCGGCCTCGCCGGCATGCCAGTGTTGTCTCCGTTCTCCGTGGCACATCCTTCGTTCTTGCCTGACCTCCAAGTCGTGCGGCCATTGCTGTCCGTGTCAAAGCTTCAACTAAAAGCAACGTGCGACCGCTTTGGCCAAGAATGGGTCGAAGATCCATCAAACAACTCGGAAGACTTTGATCGCATTCGTATTCGGAAGGTGCGGTCACGATGAATTCTCCTTCAGTTTGCAAGAATGCATGATCTTATCTCGATGTGCATAGCAACTGGACGCATTTACAGACTTTCACGGACCACAAGCAACTACTCGTTTGGCTCAGCTACAGTTGCATGCTCGGGAGGTACCGCGTCATCGACGACCGACAGTTCGACATGTAGTCGATGAGCGAAATCGTGGTGTGGTAGGCAAATGACGACCTCCAACGCGCAGGTGCAGCGCGTTCTCTTTCCTAGGCTGCATTATCCGTACGATAAAGTGTGCTCCATTAGAGCACAGTCTTCGCGAGAAACATGTCGAGGGCACGCCGGCATGCATGCGGCTTTCCGATGGCTTCGCCGACGACCCCTTGGCGTTTGACGAGCTAGCAATTCGAGGTTTGTGGCAGTGTGTTGCGCGCGTGATGAGAGAGTCTGTGACAAAACGAACGCCTAGTGCTGACTGGCATCGTGCGCCAAGTGGGCGGCAAGGCGTACCCGCCCCGCGTGTCGTCCGTGTCGCTGCTGCTCGCATCGTTGCGGCAGAAATCGCTCAAGCGCAGCACGACCCTTGGCGGGTGTTTGGTACGTTTTACTGTCGTTGTCAAGTGCAATAGGTCACGTTGTTCAGGTTCGCAAACAACGCGGGTGTGTTGTATTTGAGCCCGAGGCGCGTCCACACGGCAACGCCGATTCAGAGCGGACAGATTGATTTGTTGGACAGCTAAAAGAAGATGAACGCGTCGCGAGTGCCCAAGAAGTCGCCACCCAGCATGGTTTCGAGCTCTTCCCGCCGTCGCAACTTGTATTGCGCCAAGGAATCGTCTTCTCTCGGCGCGGACGGCTGGGGAGACTGAATCGGTGGCGAACGTTGGTCGAGCTTGGGCAGCGCCATCGCGCGAGGCGTTGACATGACCATGACGGAGCTGCTGTCGCCCCGCCATTCTTTTTTGTGAGTTCGGCTGTGCCTGATCCGGGTGGTGTGACTCGATTTGCTACGATGCACTTGCCCACCTGGTTGCGCTGGGTGCGTGCGGGGGTCGTGACGGTTGCTTGCAGTCGATGCTTGGTAGGAGGGACGTGGCTTTTGTCGACGCCGCTGATCTTCCCGATGACGACGCCTTGGACGACGTGTTGTTGTCTACGCACAATGGATATGATTGCGCTGAGGGTGGAGCAATGAGTACGGAGAGGAGGATCATGGCGAGGTCTTGGAGGCGATGGCGCAAGGTCGGATGGTGTCGGTGTCGTTTGGTTGTAGGTAGTTGTTGATGGTGCAGCAGGCCGCCGCGACTCCTGCAAGCGCAGGGGCAGAGGTACTTGAACGAGCTTTTTCAACAAGTCTGGGGACAAGCTTGTTTCTAATCGACAACATGGACGGTTCATGATGGCATGGTCGTGTGAGGGGTCAGTGTCTGCTCCAATGCACCTGGAACGCGCGCTGTCGACACTTTAGCCGGCGACAGGCGCGGCAGGAGGGTGAGCTTGTCTGACGACTCGTCGACGCGTTTCGGCGGGTCCGAGGACGAAGAAGGCTCTCTGGCAGACTGCCTGTCTCGCTGGTCAAACAGACGTACGGCATCAGCGTCATCGTTGGTGATTTGGAGAAGCGTACTTTTGTTTTGGTTGTCTTGATCGGAAGCTCCACATCGTTTGAAGCAGAGTCCACAATGACGAGAGGACTTGGAGTCGGCGAATCGGTTTGTTTGGGACTGGGCTCATGCAAGAACCTCAGACAACAACCAGCGCCTGAACGTTCACGTACACACTGCGCGACGCGTCGAGGTGGGCCCGAAGCTGCTGGTTCTCCATCAACAACGCCTGGTCGTGTCGCCGAGCGGCTTCATGTTTGCATGTCACGCGGGCCAATGCATCTCGCAGTCGATTCATTTCGAGCTGCCATGGCAAAACATCACAGAATTTTCGACAAAAGACAAAGGCGTCATGGGAAAACGGAAACGGAGGGGTACCTGCATGGCATGGAGCTCTTCGATCGGAGTTGGAGCGGTGTTTGGAACGAGTGGCTGGCGAGTCGGCTTGCATGAAATGGACCGCAAGCGCTCGGCGAACCGGAGCGTGGCGCGGGTGTCGTCGATCGCTTCCGCGGCCGGACTCAGCGTAACCACAAACGTCGTGCCACTGGAGCCAAGAAGGAATGGTTGCAGCAGCCTCGTCAAGACCGACTCCCGGAAAGGAACGCACGAAACGCTGCCAGGGTGGTGCTGGGACTTGGACACCACGTGCATGCAATACGTCAACGCGGCGATGCTCTTGTTGTTGTGGCTCCCGTTTTCAAACCCCCTGCCATCGCATGACAACATGAGCCCCACACGATGGAAAAAGCGAGGCACACGGACGCAAGATCGACCAAGACGAGGCGGCTCACTCGTGTCCCAGCCACGGTTTGGCGGGTCATGGAGATTTCAAATATGGTGTGGCCAACAGGTACGTCGGTACTGCGATGTACAAAAGCCTACCATCATCCGTCCTGAAGCAGCCAAGGAAGACTAGAGGTGTAGCCTAGCCGTACCTTGTGGTGAAGCTCCAACGCGTCTTGCCCGCACGAGATGCTGCATTGCTTCAGACCCTGGACAAACACATGACCGAGGGGATGTTGGCGTAGGGGTAGCCCGAGCGATTCCCGCGCCGCTCGATGGCTATTCCACAAACTTCGGGGGGTGTTTTGTAGGGAATTGTGTGGTGATGATGGCGCTGCTTTTGGAGGCGACTGCGACAGTCTTGATGGTGAAGATGATGATGACGGGGAAGAGGGTGGGTCTGCACGTGGTCGAGGCGGAGAGGCCGCGGGGGGGATGGCCAGGAGATCATAGACCCTTTCGTTGACAATCTAATGCATTGAAGTCGTGGTTTAGAACTCGAAGACAGGTGAAAGAACGTCCGACGCACTTCCATGTACGAGCATGAAAGGTGCACCACGTCGTCGGCGTTCTCGATGATGTCGCACGCATCGAAAATCTGCTGCAAGCACCGCGGGATGATGCCGGACCCGTTGTCCACGGTAATTTTGTTCGCAGTAGTCTACCAAGTGCTTCGTTTGAAGATCCGTCGGTGTGGTGGCACATTGGTGCATGGAGCGGGCGGCGTGGTACCTTTTCCAGTGCAGCCCGATCTCCGACCATCGCTACACGACGTCGTCAAATCCAGAGCATGCCCCAGGGACAAACACGTACTGAATGTCTTTCCCGACCCCGTGTGCCCGCTACAAACAATCAAGGGATCGTTGGGTCGCTGAATGCATCAAGTGTACGAGCCGCGTACTAAGCAAGGATGGCGCAGTCGTAACCCTTGATGAAGTGGTCCACATGATCTAAACAACGCTCTTTCGTGACTATGGTATCGCCCAGCCGCTTCACGCACTTTGCACTGCCTCGAAAACATCGCTTTGCGTGGATGTTTCGCACAAGACCGTGTCGACATTCAACGCCTTCGTCAAGCCTTTCTTGGACCACACGATGCCGCCACCCTACATGTGGCATGACGCTCCATGAACCTCTGAACACGTTGATCCCATCGTACTTGGATGCTGAGCACTTCCGGTGGGCATGCCGTTTCCGTCGACAGCAGCGGGCGCACCCGGGCAACGACGTGGAGGGCGGTGGTCGCCGCCTCCTGCACTCCATCCGACGCCATGGCCGCCAAGCTCACGAGGTCAGCGCGCCGTCGTCGGGAGAACGATCAACGACGACGCGTGTGAATGGCACGTTGTTTCTATAATTAGGTTTATCGTGGTCGAAGTACACATTGTCAGTGCTTTTTCCAGTCGTACGGAATCGTGATGGTGGCTCGATCCAGCACGCCCGCGTCCGGCACCGACACGGGGGAGTCCGTCCCCGCTTCCACGACGACATACTGGACATGGAACGCCGTGCGAGTGCTGGCGTCATCGGCAGCAGCAGCCGGGAGGATAAGGCGGATCGCCGTCGACGTCATCGAACCCTACATGACACGCGCTACCGACGTCATTTCGATTATTCCCATCGCGACACGACTGCACGCACCGGCTTGAGGCGGAAGGCGCACCCCTTGCGCTGCTGGGTGTCCCCTGGAATGGCCACAAGGGATTTTCCCAGGACTTGCAAGGACTCGTACACAATGACGTAGACGACGAGGTGGTGGACGAGCGACACGTTGTTCAAAAAAAGGTTGGCCGAGGCGAACTCGACGAGGTCGTTGGGGCGCAACGGTGGTCGGTTGTTCTCGTCCGCCGAGGGGGACGCCGCGAGTGGGGCTTGTTTGAAGTGCAGCACCTCGGGCGTCACGCGCAGGAGCAGGTCCGGCAGCTTGGACACGACGGCGGCGTCGGGCGCGACGTCGACACTCGCAAAAGACTCGCATTCACTACAAACGACATCGTTTCGGTGACGTTCCAGACGATGTTGTGGGGCCGCGATTTCTGACGACAATCTATTCTCGCTGCCCATGCATGCACGTACAACGACGAGCGCAGGGGCCTCCGTGACGGCGACTGCGACCGCTTGGGTGGTTTGTGCAGGAAAAACTTGTCGGCAAAGTATTCTGGTAGCTCGCCGACGCGATGGAGATGGCTGCATCAGCGAAGGGAGATCACATTCCATATTCACACGAACTTGCATGGCCGACGTACCTCATGAGCTCGGAATATTCCCACAGATCGAGCTGGGCTGCCACGTCGTCCCACGGATGAATATTCGTCTTGATGTTGAGCACCTAACGAACGAAACGACACAGGGTCAACATCGCGGGCTCGAATACGTTGAGGTTCAAGGCATGGCGAGTCAAAAGGTCCTCCTACAGCTACTCACCCGCCACTCCACGCGCTCGGTTGAGTGAATATCGTGGCTAAAGGGAAAACCGACGTAGATCTTGACCACGTCATGGCGCACAGCGTTGTAGTTCTCGATGTAGTTGCAAACGAGTTCGCTGAGGCTCTACCAAGTGAAACCATTCGAGTGTGTTAGGACAAACGACAAACGGGAGTTGGTCAAACGCGCCTTGAATTTTAGGTCCTTGTTCATGAGACCAGGGCTTCGGCTGAGACCAAGAGCGCCCCACAAGTGCTGAGGTCATCGTAGAAGTGGAGCATGAGTCGATGGCGTCCATTCTTAACGATGTCAACCTGATACTTGATGGCGAGGACGATATGCCGGAATATAGTGCCACCGGACAGCGTCTTGAAACTGATGGGAATCCGATCGATCTGGTGGTTGAACGTCGCGCCTTCGTACTCGGGCCCTCCTGCAGTAAGGTAAGCTGCGACGAACACTGCTTCCAGGCACTGAATCGGCAATGCGTCGTGAATGATGTCCTTGGCCGTGCCGTAGATGCTCTTGTGGCTGCGGTTCTTGCTCACATCAAAGTACAGCTTGCCAGTGTAGTTGTACTCAAGCGCATTCATGTATGCTTGAATCGCGGCCATCTTAGTCCGAACGTTAGTGTTGGCTTTTCCCGTGCGTTTGGGCGGTTCTGGGATCGGCGGCTGTCACACACATCCATCAGTCGAACAAGCACCTGCACTACCCTCAAGGATGTGGCGCAGCTACGTACCACGGGGAGATCTGGCGTCATCTGGACGATCTTGGTGACTTCGCGCAGCTTGGCGGCCACGCTCTCGTTCATGCTTGGCGTCTGGTGGAGTTTCACCCACGTCGTTTCCTGTGATGTCTATCCGGATATTTGTATATCCGGATATCACCGTGCGATCTTTCCAACTTCAAACGCCGCGCGGCAACGTCCATTATGCTCAAGAACGAACTGGGAAGGAAGTGGCGCGACATTCCGTGGGCAGATGTGCTTGAGAAGAGCGCTCATGCTGGTACGCCTATCTACACCACCCAAGGCTTGATGTGATACCTTGGATCGATGTGCAGACAAGTACTTCATGCGAAGTGGATTGATTCGAAAAGACCTCCTTCCACTCTACGCTGCCGAGTATATGCCAAAGACGTTTGTCGTCAAGTCGATGGACAGCATCAACGAGATTATTCCCTTGATGGAGGAAGAGGACAAACATGCATCAAACGACGTGTGGGTATTAAAGCTCAGCGATTCCAGCAATGCGTACGGCATTCACTTCTTTCACCGAAAAGATGCGTCCTCCCTAGCATACATCGTCCAAGACGGGTACATCCTCTTCCTCAATATGTGAATCTTACGTTTGTTCAGCCAAACGCGTGTCGTGCAAAAGAACGTGCAGTCGGCCTTGTTCAACGGGAGGAAGTTCCACGTTCGAGTCCTCGTTCTCGCGGTACGCTCACCCTGCGACTTCATCGAAGCAGAACAGATCCCATATCACCGATGTCTGTAGGTGGGGCATCTAGACGTCTACGTGTACGATCGCAGCCGCGTGTTGGTGGCATCCGCGCCATACTCTCCCACCGCTTCCTTGACCGATGCACTCGTTCATATCACAAACATGGGAGTGAACCAAGCGCGGAACGATCTGTATGACAGCGCCGTGCAGAACATGGCGCTGTCCGACGTGTTTTCCCCTGACTTGGTCGCGACGGCGATGGACCAAGTCCACGCGATCTGTCGCGACACGTTTCGTCGGGTATCGACGAACCGGCGGCACTTTTTCAGTCTCCCCAATTGCTACGAGCTGTTTGGGCTCGACTTTATGGTATAGTTCCGCGGATGCAGCCCACTGTATTGCGAAAGCGCCACTGAATTACGTACCAGATTGACGACGGCGGGCGTGTGCTGCTGCTCGAGGTGAATCCAGATCCGTCCCTCGGGATGTTTTACAGGCAAGGCGAAGTGGAGACGCCCATCCTTCCGCGAGACGTCTTGGTCGACGGAGCGCCTCCGTCGTTTGTGCAAGTGTACTCTCGGTCCCAGGACGAAGCGTTTGCCCTTCTTAAAGCGCGCTGGTCGGCTGAATGTCGTGGCGAAGAAGCCCAGGCGTAACAAAAGTTTTGTGAAAAACGACTACGGGTTGATGACGTTTATGCCGCTTCCACATATCCAAATTGGTTGGACCCCGTGCGCACCATGCCTAGATACAGCGTCAAGAGTCGACTTCGAAAGACTTTGCTGGATTCTACATACATCGACGGGTGAATATTGTATGGAGGACACCGAGGCCAAGCACGGTTGCCGAGACTGCGAGCGCGGCAGTCGTGGCGCCGCTCAGGTGCCGAATTGCCGTGATGGATGGACCCGGAAATACGTGTTGGATGACAAGTAAGTTGAGGTATACAGCGCCGCCCATCGTGCCAAGGGCAAAGAGGCCCCAGATGACTCCCCAACACCGTGACGACGTATGGGTCATTTTTGCAAACACCGACGCGTCGCTTGGTGTCGAGTCAGCGGGCGAAGAAGTCGGTGGGGAAGGCTACCTGTCGTTGATGCGGCGAGCAATTAAGTCATCCCAGATGTCGTAGATCGAGAACAGGCAGCTCATAACGCCCATGAACAGGATGACGAAGCGAAGAGCGTGGACGCCGCCGTCGACGAGTCGGTCGAGCGCAATGAGCCCGCCCAGGATGACAATGAATCCGGCGTTGAGCCACCGCATGTACGCGTTCTTGGCGTAGTAGATGAAAAGAACGAGAAAGAAAATGAGGACCCCTGCAGCGATTTCGGACGCCAGGCGTTCCGGGCTACCGAGGAGCGAATGGACGGTGCAGGACAGGGCAAGTCGAGACGTACCTGGCAATCACAAGTGCCATGCCCCATACAGCCGACCCCAAGTAGCCCTAAACGAACATGACGAAGCGACATGATCTCGGAGTTCCTACTGCAGGAACAATGATCAGCGCGACCCCACCGGCATAGCTCGTGACGCCTCCTTCGTTCGGGTGCACTTCCATCGAAGTGACCTTGCCGCAGGTCATCCATACAGCTAGCGCATGACCCAGTTCATGCAAAAACACCGTCCTAGAAGATGGAGAACATGACGTTGCATCGTCGGACGGTGGAAGGCAGTACAGGATCTTGAATGGATGCAAAAGCGGGAAGCGCCACCTATTGCACGTGTGACGAACACGAGACTTCGAGCGGGTCATGTGTACAGCTTGAAGATCAGGACGGTGTATCCACAAATGACGAAGATCGACTGGAGTTGGTTGTCACTGCAGCACTGGAGCTGCCACCACGACCCGCCGCTCGCGTCCATCGCCGTCCTCTGAACTCGCGAATGAATTGCCGGGGAGCAGGGGACTTACATTCCTGGTTTTATCGTAGATAAAACCTACATTCATGGCTCTTGATTGCCATTCGACCAATCCCCGTTTCGCAGGTTGAAACCGCCGCCGCGGTTTCGACACTGCACTCTCCGCCGTCGATGGAGCCTCCCGACGACGATGACCCGACGGGGGTTCCCATACCTGTAGGACATGAGCGTACTAGATGAGATTTCCTCAGCCTTGCACGAATGCTTCTAGGTTTACGTGTACAAATGTGACAATGTGCGTGCTGGCCCGTCGTCAGGTACGGTATCCGTCTGCTTGACACGATTCGTCTCGAGACATGGGGCAGCCTGAACATCCATACGTGTTGGCTTTCCCCAGACAATGGAACGGTCAGCGTTGACGGTCTTCGTGTGGCGATATCGCAGCAGGGCAACAACAGCGAGGTAGTCCCATTTGTTCCAGCCACCACAACTCCCTCTTGGGTGTTGTTGTAGACCGTGACTGTCGACCAAGTGTTCCAGAACGCGGACGAACTCGATGTCGTCGAGCACGCGCTGATTCCACTCCTAACGTCGTGTGTGAATGGGATCAATTCGTGCTTGCTTTGCGGCGGCTCGTCCAGCACGATTCGCAGCACGTTCTTTCATGGCACTGACAACGGACCCACCCATGCGGGCGTCGCCGCGACGTTGCTACAGAACCTCTTGCTTCTGCTTGCCGACAAGCACGGTAGCGGCAACCAGCCACCACAGACGCCTCGCTTCTTTGTCCGACTTTCGTTCGTCGAGTTGTACGAAGAGACGATTGTGGTATGTGAACTCCCGTCTTCACTCAAACACCATTTTGTCGCCATCATAGGATCTCTTGGCACCCAAGCCATCGTCTTCCGGGCCCGTTGTTGCAGTGGCACTTCGGCAAGACAAGTTTGCTGGCGTCGATTTCAAGAACGCTACCAAAGTCGGCCCGATACAATCGTCCACGGACGTTGTTGCAACGATCCAAGCGGCAATTCAGGACGGACGCCGTCGGCGGCGCACCGGCATGACGTCGCTTGGCCCAGTCACGGACTTTACCAGCGCCATTTTGCGTGTAGGCGGACCCTCCGCAGCATAAACAGCATCATCATGCGAGTGGTCCTAGGTGTATGTCAAGCAAGTGCCGACTGCCGGTCCAGTAGTGCAGTCGACGTTGGATGTTGTGGACCTCCCGTCGTTCGATCGCCTGACCAAGGCATGTCGGTTGTTGCGATGGGGCTTTTTCTAACGGACAGTCGATGGATGACCACGTAGATTCCAGCGGCGGTGCGGTTGACAGAAGGCCCGCTGGTGAACAAGGCACTGTACGCTTTCGAGTCGGTGTGCAAAGCGTGCGAGTCCGCCGCATCTTTCCCGCCCTACGACAGCTCCATCTTGACTCAAGTGCTGCATCATGCATTGGGCGGCGATGCGCTGACCCATGTTCGTCCGCTTCTCCTCGACCATCCCTTGCATGCATGGATTGGTTCATTGGAGACTTTTTCTTTTCATCGAACCACCATCTTCACCGACGATTCGATGGCGTAGGCACTGCTGTTTGTCGCTCCCAGCGACCACGACGGCGCCAAGGCCACGTGGCGGGTTGCAGCGATGCTTCAACACATGCGAACATTTCCACTGGCGCACTCGGACGTGGTGCAAGGGTTGGTGCGTGTGAACCCATGCCACTGGCTGCGATCTCCAAGCGTCGCTAACCCTCGGCACTCTACCTATAGCGCCGCCGCCACAACGCCGAGCGATTGTTCTGGCAAACTCAACGGCCCCATGACACCAACGTCATAGATGGGACGACAGCGTCCTTGTCGACGATGGCGCTTGTGCAAAAAACACACGATTTGGAGGGCAAACTCATGCAAGACAGCATCGAAAAGTCAAAGCTAAAGGACGTGATCGACGCCCACGTCAAGAGCCTTGCCGAGTACCGCACCAAAGTCGCTGGCCTCGTCGAGATCGAAGTCGGCCTGCGAAAGCAATTGCTCGATCGAGAACGCGAGAAGCTCAGTCTGAGTAAAGCCCTCGTCGACTGCCAACTCGAGCACAGCACGGTGTTGGAAGCCCTGGAAAAGGACAAGTTTGACGTCACGACCAAGCTGCTCAACGCCGAAAACGACCTCCTCGAACTCCAGATGCGGGAAGAGCATCATGACACCCAACTACGCGCAGCGCAAGACGCGGCAACCGCTGCGGTGGCGGACAAGAAGGAGCTTGCGATCGAGTTCGTGGCGCTCAAGGCAAACTTTGTCGCAGTCAACAAGTCGTTGCAGGCCCAGTCGGCCAAGGCTCAACAGCTTAGCGTCGAGTTGCTCACGTTGGTCAACCAAAAAGCCAAGCTCGCTGCGGTACGATCAGACAGCTCCGCATGGAGTGACATGAGGGATCGGTAGAGTGTGGAGGACTTGGAAAAGGCCAAGGCCGATGGTTTGGAGCGCGAGAGAAAGCTCGGGGTAGCTTTGGACAAGGCATCAGCGCAAGAGCAAGCGTTGATGAATATAATTGCTGCTGAAAAAACCAAAAGCAACGCCTTGTACGAGGAGAAGGTGAGTACCTATAAACGTGGAGAGGGTCGAGTCCTTGTAAGTTTCAGACGGTGCCTTTGGTAGGTGGCGCTGGATTTCCAGCTCAAGAGCATCTTGCTCGACGTGGAAGCGCACCAGGTCCAGTTTGAAAAGACAGCTCAACAGCAGGCACAGGCCCAGCATGCTCAGGTGCTGGCATTCAAGCAGGAGGCGGAGGAAGAAATGGCTCGACGCCAGGTGCAGCAACTGTCCAATACGTTGGATTGACGACGTGTTGGTAGGCGAGATGTACAGAGCTCGAGGAGCGTGGTCGCGAGATGGAATCGATGGTATCTCGCTTTGACAAATTTGTTTTTCTGTCCGTGTCAGCGCCAATTTTCATGTAGACGCGCCAACTGCGTCGGGAAATCGACGAGCTCGAGCGGGCATTAGCGCTACGAACGAACGAAGTGTCGGACCTCCGCAGGGAAATGTACGCAAAGGGGTCTCAACTTTGCTTGCGTTTGGGTCACTGAGAAGTGAGTTTTGCATGGGCTGGAGAGCTAACTTGTTTCGGGGGCAGGACCCGGGCCGCGCTGGAAATGGATGACCAAACGGCATCGTATCGCGCAAAGTTGGTCGAGTTGTTTGGGGACAAGGCGGTTTGGTCCACTGACGGCGGCGCCGTCGCAGATGACGCGCTGGTTGCGGCGGCAAGATCGGCGTGGACTGCGTCCTATGAATCGAGGGAACGCGATTTAGTGCAACGCCTTGCAGCGTTCGAGGAGCGGCACACTGCATGGAGCGGACGCTACGATGCGCTCTACCGAGTGACGATGAAAATGCGCGGCATCATCCAAGACCATGGCGTGGTGTGCATATCTGACGTCGTCGTCGTTGAACTGGTCTTTGTGACGCATGAACGTAGACATGCAGCGACTTGCCGGAAGACTTGGACGCATGGAGTCGGGAAGCTGCCGCGGAGAGCCACGCAAGTGACGTGGAGCGCCGTCGAGTCGCGGCAAAGGTCGATGCGTGCACGCAAGAGCTCCGCTTGCAGGTTGAAAAGAACCTTCAAGCAGCGGAAACGTTCAAGGGAATCCTGAGCGGAAAGGAGCGAGATTTGGCCGCAGTGCGGTCGCAACTGGATGCAGCTCTCGCAGCGCGTGATCAATTGCAGCAGCAAAACGACCGCCTGGTCCAGGACAAGTCCAACGACAAGACCAAAGACGAGATGAAGCGAATGCAGGACGTCCTCGTGGCACAGCTCCAGGAGCTCAAAATGCAACTGCAGCCGCTCAAGCAGGACGGCAAGGCCACACCGACTGGCATGGACGACGCCCACGAGTTGCGGGCGCAAGTGCGTAAACTCGAGGACAAGCTTCGCAGCGCCCAGACAACGCACATGCAGGCCGTGGAGGCGACGGAACGGCGGTGTGCAGAGCTCACGACCAAGGCAATCATGCTCGAGGAAGAAGTCGTGGGACTCAAGAACCTCTTAAAGGTACATCCGTCCTGCAGCCATGGACCCATGCTTACATGACAGATAGACGACGACAAAGAAGCACCGAGAGCGCGTATTGGAACTGACGCGAGAGTAACATAGCCCCATGAGCAACTTGTACATTGAGCAGGTTAAAACTTAAAGACAGTCTCGGACGTGTAGTGGAGGTCCTTGAGGATGCCTTCGACTTGACCTTGGGAGTAGTCCTTAGCCTTGCCGCCCGACACAGCGTGCATGAAGCCAGGCGGGCCGCAGACGAGGACCAAGTTGTCCGTGGAGGGTCCAGGGAGGTGCTTTTCCAAGATGTCCTTGGTGACGTAGCCGGTGTAGCCCGTCCATGACGCGGAGGGCTTGCTCAGGACGTTGATGACCTTCAACCCAGGGTAGATTTGCTCGTACGACGCCAGCTCGTCGCGGAGAATGATGTCTTCTTCCGTGTCGTTGGCGAAAATCAACGTCACATCCGTGTTGTCCTCGGGGTTACGCAGAATCTCCAAAGCCACTTGCAGCATTGGCGTGATGCCGCTGCCTCCCGCGACCATGGCAATGTGCTTGCGTGAGTTCGGCTTGTACGTAAACTTGATGTTCGGGCCCTTGACGTCGATGTGGTCGCCTGCCTTCAAGTTCACGAGATGCTTGCTCATCGTACCCGTGGGGTATCCCTTCACGATGAGCTCCAGGTGGCCCTTTTGAGAGTTTGCGGACGTTGGCGTGTATGGACGGATGACAGTCTTGCCGTTGAGATGCGCCTTCGTGAGAAGGAACGACGCAACAGTGAGGCCGCTGGTTTGGTCCTCCTCGGGGAATTCCAGGCGCAACTTGTGCGTGTTGTGGTTCAGCCGTTCATTGCTGTACACACGGAACGATCGCCACTCGTTGGGGTTCAACGCGTGGTCATTGGACGCGGCCGTCGAGAAAGATGCCAACATCAACGCCGACGCACCGACAAGGACACCCATGGAGGCAGATGAGGCCTTGGCATGAGGTTCCACGGCCAGCGCCACCAAGGACGCTTGTTGCTTGCGCACTGCGCGTTGGGTCAACCGAACTAGCATCATCATGTGCCAACCAAGGAAGGAAAAATTCAGCAGTCACTCGATAATTCTGTGGTGTCAAATGCAGCGTTTGAATTTCAACCAATCCGATGCGATTCAGAATGAATTTGACCAGTCAAATCGTTCCATTCGAATAATAGGGCCAGAGGGATGATGATAGAACAATGCTCGGTGTGCCTCGCGAAGGGGCAGGAAGGTAGCGGCCGAATGCGGAGGATAGAGATCATGGCGGTGGCGACGACTTGAGCCAGTTGGTGGATTCTTAAAATACGCCGCATGTGCTGCCAATGTGGACTCATGCTTCGCAACCTACTGCGCTAGAATGCGTGTGAGTCACGACGTCTAAATCGCCCACCACACTGTGCCCAGGTCAGAGTGATAGAGTGACAAAGGCGATCAACTTTGTCGCAATGATTCGGCATGTACTTCATGAACAGTCGGTCGTGGTGGAGTACGTGGTGATGTCGAGATGATTGCATTGCGATGAAGAAGCATCGAGGTCGAAGAAGACCTTCGCATAGGCTCGACGACAACGAGCATGGATTGGGATATTTGTGTATTACGCAGTTTTGGCCTTGAACAGATTCACCACGCCGTGAAATATGTCGCTGTTGTACACGTTGGCGGCGACACGGTCCATTTCGAGCTGGGTTTCACGCAGGAGTTTATCAACGTCCGTCTCGTTGGGCTTGACGAATGGCACGAGGAAATGTGTATAGAAGGACGTGGCACGCTTCGTGGACGGAACGATTAGTGCAAGGATAGCACACAGCTTGAGGATGTGGTAGTATGGCACCCACGACGCCAACGCTTTGTCCGCAAACACTTCGGCAAACTTGAAGCATGCAAACACGATCCAGAACATGAGCCACAAACGAACCTCGCCTGGTCGGACGACGGCGGGCTTTTGCAGGACGCGGAACGAAGCGTACCCAGGGTAGGCGAAGCTTACAGTCGTGCAAACAACGCCAGCGCCGACCCCTCCAACAATCACCATGCTCCACAACACGATGACCAGTACGACCAGCACGATCTTGTCGACACCAGTTTTCTCTTCCAACATATCCAGCAGTGGGATGTTTAACCTGTCCAGTTCTGCTCGCAGGCGTGCATGGGTCTCCTCCACGATCTTTGTCGGCGGCCGCGCTGACATGGGTCGATGTGTGATATACGGCGGTTTAACAACTTACAGGCACAAACATTCCGCGTCTTACATTCATTCCAAGTGCACATGCGCTTGTGGTCGCTGCCCCAATGGTTTGAATTTCCGCTTCATGAAAGCGAACTCTCTCCGCTGCATGACAGCTCTACAGCCATGGGGGTTACCACTTGCCTCTGCGTCCTTTGCAGAATCGTCACGACGTTTACATCTGACCGACGTGCATGAAGCGTCGAGGTTTATGGAGTCTCTTCATGTCCAGCGAAGTTGTATACAAAGAAAGATGACCGACAGGCATCGAGCTAGCAGAACGAGTGGAGTTCTCGCTTTAGTAGGGCTGTCAAGTGAGGTTGTGGAGGGTACCACACCGACGACGGCACTAGCCTTCGCGAAGAATGAGTGACGAGGGTATGACCGTGGGCGACAAGAAGAGACGCCTCACACAAACTGATTTGTTGAAGCCTCTCTGGAATGGGACGGAAATTGTCTTTTTTGACGCGTTGTGCTTTAAAATTGTCAAGCATGGACGACAGACGAACCGAGTCACGTACGAGAATAGCAAGCAAATCAAGGCCACAACGCACTCGATAAGTCGTCACGAGCTCACATTCGTCTTGTTCAACGAAATCAGGCACTCTGCCTCAAGCCTAACGACCATGGACATGCGAGGCACTCTTGACGCAATCGACGAGAGATAACGCATCACGAACAGCGCGGCTTCAACTGCTCGCGACCGCTTGTTCGTTTAGTACAGCCATCGTCTGATCCATCATGCACCGCCTGCAATTGTCGGCCATGGCTGCGCTGTCGATCGCTCAAATATCAGCGCATTTGAACTTGACGCCCAATCCAACTCATCCACCTGATCCCCCCGCAATGGAAACGACTAACACTCTTGTTTCCTAGGTACCTTCCGAATTAGGACAATTCCCTTTTTTAAAGCGCAACAAAGTTTGTAAAAATACTCCACGAGGGAATTAGACACATCTGATTGGTTCATTACAATTAAATCGTGATTTTAGCCAATGGGAACGCGTCATGGGCATGCGGCGACTGGTCAGATGGACATTGCAGGCTCCTGTCCAAACCATATCTTATCGTTTGTCCATTGGTACATTGCGCCGTGCACCTGCTCTTGCAGGAGCCGACACGTTCGTACGCCCCATTGGTTGATCGTATGTGTCGTTGGGTTGGTTTAGGCAAGTCCTGGAAGTCCCGTTCTGTAAACGGCTTTTTTCAAAATTTGGGACGACTCGACCATTCATTCTGATTGATTCGTCGACGTATCCGGAAAATCTGGCCCTCTTTTCGTACACGTATCCGGATGTTGAACGTGGGCGGGTGGAGGGATTGTATTCTTGAATTAAATTATCTAGGGAATTCTAGATGAATGAATTAAAATACGTGTCGGCCAACGAGAGTTGGGGGATTGTCTCCCGTGTGCGGTCAGTGTGGAATTCTCGATCTCGACGACAAGCATCATCATGGAACAAGTCCAAGCGTACGCGGACAAGATCAAAGCGGAATTGAATAAAGTGCCCCTCCTCGTTGAAGCGGAGAAGCAAACGGGAATGGACAAGTTGTACCTTGCCGCTGGCGGGTCGGTTGTCCTTCTCCTCGTCGTGTTGCTCGGGTTCGGTGCTGGCCTCTTGTGTAACTTGGTCGGGTTTGTTTACCCTGCCTACGAATCGTTCAAGGCGATTGAAAGTGACAGCTCCCACGACGACACCCAGTGGCTGACATACTGGGTCGTGTACAGCATGTTCCAAATCGTCGAAGTGTTTGTCGACTTTTTGCTGTACTTCATCCCGTTCTACTACGCGTTTAAGTTGGGCTTCCTCGTCTGGCTGTTCTTGCCGTCCACTCAAGGCGCGACCTTCCTCTTCACCCACTTTCTTCAACCATTCTTGAAGCGCCACGAATCCACCATTGACGGCGCTATTGACAACATCAAGAACAACAGCGGCAAGGTTGTCGGCGACCTTTCTGGCCTCGCCGCCGATGTCACCAAGGACGTTACATCCGCCGTGTTGCAAAAAGTTGCGGACAACCAGCTCAAGACCCCTTCGTCTCCCAAGAAGACGGCGTAAATGCGTTAGTCCTCGCCCCAGGAATCCCTCCGTGGATGTGCGTGAATGCGCACCATGAAACGGAACCAAGAGTGGCAGAATAATATCTAACTTGAAAGATTCATGTCCAAATGACATTCCTGCGCGCATCGCCCTCGGCAGCGTTCCACCTTTGTGATCCGTGGGATCGATGGGCTGTTAGTAGAACGACACTTGGCCAACGTTCTTGGATGCACTCTCTTCTTCCTGGCAGCGGCGACGGAACAGCGCCAATTGCTTGCGCAGGCGCTTGATCGTGTGCTCCTTCTTCTCCAGGATCTACACACTCCATGGGCATTCGTCATCCAGGCGACTCCGCACCTCATCGAGTCTCAACGCGTACAAGTCAATGTCGTAGTCGACAACAGCGTCACCTTGGACTTCCGAGAGAAGCATTCCTTCCTCTGTCAAGAGCTCGGCGTTTTCCTATACAAGTCCCTGACCTAACGGGAAGACTCAACTTGGACGTCACTACCTGTATGGCGCTCATGTGGCAATTCAGCAAGTTTTCTTGCTCTTCGTACAGGGTTTGCACCTACTATGAACCGTCAATTTCGATCCTTCCTTTCCTTTTGGCTTCGAGAGAAGCCCCACCACTCCATGCAGCTCTTCCAGCGAGTGATCTCCTCCTACGAGATACACTGGCCATCCAATTTCAGTTCGCCCTTGCCAACGACACACGTACGTACGCGATTGACGACGCAACGAGCTGTGGAGCAACTTGATGTCATCTTGGCTCGAGCACGAGTCCTTTCGCACGCGCATCTCGCCATCTACATCGTCGTCGTTTTCGTTCAACGCAGCCAGCTGTGGTGTTGCTTCCTCGACGGGTTTGATCGTCATGTCGGCTATGTTGCGCCACACGGCCTGCGACATCAAATCCGCCAGAGAATTCCCCGTGCTTGGACCAAGGGGCGCCGGCTTGTCCGGACTCGAGCCGGGTCTGTACGATTCTGCCAGCGCACATTTCGTCGCGTCAGCCACCGAATGCAGTACGGACGCCTGTACCGAGGGGCCGAAACTTGACCTGGGCAGGGTCAGCCACGTCATCCGACACCTGCTTCTCTTTGACGCGATCGGCATATCGGAGCGTGTTGATCGTGTGGTCCGCCGATGATACACACGGCGACACTGCAGCAATCATGACCGTTCTATGTCGAGCCAGCCATTGCTTGGAAGATAGCCCCCTCCCACCTTTGCGTGTCGTACCTAGCTTTCGTGTTCACAAACGAGTCCTTCAAGACTTGCGTGAGCTTGCTCGCTCGAAATGGAATATGGGCGCCTCTTCCCCCGCTGTCCAGTGCCCTGCATCGCAGGTCAGTGTGTGGCCATCATGTACAACGACCAGCGTATCGCCCACCTGAAGCACTCTTTCAGCGCCAACAGACTCTTGTTGATCTCGGACGATTCCATGCGGCGCTGGCGGTTGTGGCTCTTGGTGTCGGCGCCTCGCTCGCTGCCAGCCAAATCAATTAGGGACAGCTTGCCTACGCCAGCGATGAGCTCGAGTTCTCCAACGGGGCCGTCTCTACCATGCAGTTTCAAGCTTCCTTTTTCACGGATGTTCAACTGGCAAATGCTGTGGGAGCGAGACGACTGGTCGTTCATCTCGGTGGCGTGCGTGGTGCGCAGAGCATTGCCTGTTGGGCAACCAGTTACGTCGCGCACGACACCATGCCTCGAACCTCGCTGCATCACTTGGAGGAGCTCTGCTTCGCTCGCGATGATCACTTCGTCCAAGTCGACGATCTGAACCTCGCCGTTGCCGTCTTCGCGAATCGTGAGGCGCTTCTGTCGCAGCAAATCTTGGCACTGCCCGCCATAAATCTCGAAAAAACTCAGCCACACTTCAAGCGCCCGGTCGCTATACATGATCAGTTGGCTATCCATGGCCAAGCGCACTCACTTGGTTTGAAATTTGGCAAGCTCAACAAAGATGTCAGCTGCCACCTGCCGCTGAATTCCTTCCATCGTGTGCGTTTTACCGCTGCCGGTTTGGCCATACCTACAAGCCGGACAAGTTGAAATGGGCGCGGCTGGTCCATGCCGTACGCAAACACAGTCGCGCGACCGCACTCGTTGAAGATGAATTGAATCAATGGCTGTGCCGTATACTTGTACACCGTTTCGTTCGACGTGAACTCATCAAAGCTGTGGTCGAACTCGAAGGCGTTGCTGTCCAAGTACTTTGTGATGCCGTCGACCTTGAGCTTACAGTCGTGGATAATGACCTAAAGCGCCGTGAACCACACGAGGACATACGATCAGCACCTTTGGATGCCAGCAAGTGACGCAGTCGTAGTCTCGGCCCTTTACTTCGCGCTTGTTGACAGGTCGCTTGCGCACGCATATCGTGATTTGCATGTCGGCCTTCGTCACAAACGGTTGCTCTTGGTGCTCCTGGTCGCGGAACTGTTTGATCATGCGCTGAAAATCCACATCACCGGGGTTTCCATTTTGTTCGTTCAGCATGTTTTCGTAATCGCGCTCTTTCTTGACCTGCGCCATGGCTTTTCGCCGATCTTCGCGCTTTTGTTCAATCTACACCGAGCATCATGACGACAAGTCCACCTCCTGCCATGCATCTCCTCAAGTCGTTGAGTTCGCATACCTCGGCAATGGCTTGCGTTGTCGGCGCTTTGAGCTTGCTTGCTGGCTTTCCAGGGAGTTTGGACGGGGTCACGCGCGGATGGCTTCCTCGACGGGCAATCGAGGCACTTGACGACACGTTAGCTCCACTCAGCGCCACGGACGACGACGAGCTTGACACATTTGTACTCGCGGCAGCCGCAAGTTTATCTCGATTTGCTTTCCACATGAGTTGCTCGGCCTTGGGCGCCCTGGAGCAGTTCGTTTCGCCAACGGTCCCAAGATGTTCCGTAAGATCGATGCCGTATCCGGATATACCCAGACTAGACATCAGCAATCCCGAAACGCGATGGTGTGCTGCACTGTGCCTTCATCCACATTGATATCCGGGCATGCATGCAAGCTTATGTTGGCATGGCGTGTGCGTCTGCACAAGTGAGGCTGGCTTGGATGTATCAACTTCGAGCCTGTGAGTGCTGCTGCTGCGTGTTGATGAAGCACAGGACATGCGACTACAGCTTGCCGTGTCTGGATCAGCTTGGTGAGTACGTTGTTTCTCGTCGGGAGTGCGGCGCCGAATGCATTTGGCCGCAGACCATTTTGGACACGCAGCACGATGAAGGAAGGCGATGGCGAAATCTTTGCACGGTGGCTGACATGCTTGTGGCATGTGAGCTGTCGTTCCAGTACACGTAGTATGATTGGTTTAGCTCTGTGCCGGGTTGTAAAATAATCCGACCTGATTGGCGTTTGAGTTTTCGAAGGATTACGAGTGGAAATATAAGGCGGCACGGCGCTCTTGCATTTGACTTCCCCTGCGCTCTGGACGCACACCGCAGAGGGTCTTCGATGTCGAATGAGCAGTCGAGCGCGACGAGTGACCTGCTGAGGCAGAAAGCCATGTGCGACAAGGCCATGGCCGTCGTGAACTCGGCACTGTCGATGCAAAACAGCGGCAACCAGGCCGGCGCCGAAGCCTTGTTCGATGAGGCTGTCGAGATCATGGAGAGTGTGCTATCGATCAAGTACATGACGGCGGAAGACCAAGAAACCGCAAGTCGATTAAACAACAAAATGTCTCGCTACGTTACCATGATCAAGGGGCAGCGAGGGAAAGCGTTGTCTGGCGCGACTCCGAAAAGGTCGACGGGGAAGTGCAACATCCTCGATATGGACAATTTGCCGGCTCGACATCGCGGTATTGCCCAGATGCTGACCTCGTAAGCTTGTCGATTCCACCTTCACGGGTCCTCACCTCGATCTAGCTCGCCCACGTATGGTGACGTGTTTGAAACGTTTCGAACTGCATTTGGCTTCCAAGAAAGCAGCGTCAACTGCCAGCGAGAACACTTGCTGTTGCTCTTGGCCAACTTCAAAGAGTATGCGAACCCGTCGTCCCTCAAGACAGCGGCGGGAACCGACATCAACGAGACTGAATTGCTCCACAAGGCGGTCACCAACTTGCACGATAAGTTGATGGACAATTACACCAAGTGGTGTAAATACCTGTCGCAACCGCCCAAGTTCCTCCCTGACCCGTTGGCCGACTTGGTGCTTTTCTTTCTCATCTGGGGCGAGGCTGGCAACTTCCGGCAAACTCCCGAGCTCCTGTGCTTTTTGTTCCACAACCTGGCGGCCCAAGCAAACGCCGACACGACGAAAGCGCCGGGCCACTTTTTGGCGTCCGTCATCCGGCCCATGTATGACGAAGTCAAGAAGGATAACGACAAGAAAACGCCCATGGGTGCGCGCGCCCCGCACACGGACATTCGCAACTACGACGACTTTAACGAGTTCTTCTGGACGAAACAGTGCCTCCAGTACAATGAACTCACGATCGCCGACGCGTTCACGAGTCGCAACAAGCGCGGCGCGCCAAGCGTGGTCCAGAAAACGTTCCACGAAACGCGGAGCTGGGTCCGCGCGCTCGTGTCGTTCCGGCGCATCTTTGTGTCGAATCTGTTGCTCATGTTTGCCACGATCGCGTTTGCCATCAACATGGTCCTCGTTTGTCCCGACAGCCCGATCATGTACGGCCCCGACATGGGCCCCACCGTCCGCGTCTTTTCCAAGTCGTACTACAACCCCAAGCCAAAGTACGTGGCGACGGACCTGGTCGACGTGATTCCAGGCCCGAACGATGGCTTTACCAACGGCACGTGCAACTACCCAAAGCTGGCAACGTGCTTGGGAGTGGTCAACTTTGACAAAGCCAAAACGTTCAAGTTCCTCCCGGACGACTTCAAGGCGCTCCTTCAGGACGTTCCATTCCAGGAATGTATCGAGCTGTTGTCGGGGAGGTGTGCCTGCTACATTGGGGTGATCGATCGGTGCTTTGGCCAAAAGGGCACGGGCACGTACATCCTGCTGGACGACGACGGACGAAAGAGTTACATGCCCATTCAATACAACCAAGCGACGTGCATGCCAGTGTGGAAGAAGGCCGCGGTCGCTGTGATCAACTCCCCCGGCGACGGCAAGTTGAACTGTGAGGCCTGTCGGCTCGACGTGGCGACGCTCGCGACGTCGCTGCCCAAGTTGCTCTCGTCGTTTTTGGATTTCAGTCGGGCCGACAACGGGCCGCGGATTTTTCTCGGCGGCGGCGCGTGCATTGCCGTCTTGGTCGTGTGGGAGGTCCAAAACAGAATGTTTTCGTGCTGCGGCGTCGGATTTGTCGGCAGATCGCTGCCCGTGCCGATGTCGGCGTATTGCCGATACATGTGCTTTTGGCTCGTGCTGTTTGCATGCAAACTTGTGTTCGACTACCAATTCATGGTCAAAAACTTGGTCGAAACAACCATCTTCATCTGGCTGTCGGACCCGACCAAGTACTTGCAAGTGTCGCAGTTTATGCTTCAGATTTCGTTCCACAATATCTTGTACATTTTTTTCCTGTGGGCGCCCGCGATCATTGTGTTCATGTACGACGCGCAGATCTTTTACGCGCTGGTGTCGGTCATCGTCGGTTCGATCCACGGGTTTGCGCTCGGCATTGGCGAGCTCCGATCGTTCCGCATCCTCCGCCTCTCGTTCAAGAAGATTCCGAAAGCGTTCAACAAGAAGATCGTGCCCAACTTGATCGACGCCGAGAGCGACAAGGCCGGCACGAACCGCCAAAAGCACGACAACGTCGAGGCACCCCCCCAGCGCATCTTTGAAACGATCGAGTACGTCAAAGGAGACCAGCCGCTCACGGTCAGGGCCGAGGTGTACAGCACGCTCCTGGACGGCCCCGACGCGGGCGACAATTACCAGCAGTTTACCACACCCAGTCATGGCGAGGCCGACGCGCCAAAGCCTCCCAACTGGAATGGCGTGTTTGGGGTCACCGGGGCTGAATTCGAACGCACGATTCCGTTTGCCATGGCGTGGAATCGATGCCTCACAAGCATGCGCGATGCTGACGTGATCAGCGATCGAGAACTGAGTGTGCTGAGCTACCTCATCGACGCCAAGGAGTCGCCGGACCGACGGCTGTACCAGCCCGTGTTTCTCACGGCGGGCAAACTCGACGAGTCGCTCGAGATCGTCGCCGACTGCTACCTCGTCTACGACCGACTAGTCCAGGACAAGAAGGACAAGGTGCTGCAAAAGTTTGAACATTCCATGACGGAGCGGCTGCTCAAGGACGACTTGCGCGTGCAAGCGGTAGTCGGGTCGTACAAGTTTTCGTCCCAAGTGATCAAGATTCTCCTGGGGGACCAGCACAAGGAGGTCGACCAGTGCTTTGCCTTTATTGAAGAAATGGCGTACCAGCACCAGACGCTCAAGGGACTGCATTTCGCCGGTCTCGACTCAATCCGCACGCAATGCGCGGAGCTGCTCAAGTCGATCCTGGACGTCCCAGCGTCGGCCACGGATGCAAGTGTCAAGTTTCAACGATCGTTGTACTCTGTCGTGGACAACGTCGAGGTCGTGATCAACTCGTTGAAGAAACTCTTGTCGAAGCAAGAACACTTGGTCAAGCTTCTCAACGACACTCCGCTCAAGCCCAACTCGTTTTTCTTTCCCGCCGACGAACAACGGTACGCGAGCACCCAGCTGCAGAAACTCGTCAACGACAAAGCTGTGATGGACATCGTGTCTCGGGCGTACCAGCTCCTCACGGTGGACAACTACGATGCAGAGCCGCGGTCGGAGGAGGGCCAGCGCCGCCTCCGCTTCTTCTCGAACTCGTTGTTCATGGACATGCCGGATGCTCGACCCGTCCGCCAAATGCACTCGTTTTCGATCTCGACGCCCTACTTTAGCGAAATCGTGCTGTACTCGCTCAAAGACCTCACGACCGAAAACGACGACTCGATCAAGCTGTTGTACTATCTCCAGACGATCAACCCGCATGAATGGGAAAATTTTCTCGAGCGCATCAACGTGCGGGACGCACACGAGGCACTGAAAAAGTTCCCCGAGGAAGTCCAGCTGTGGGCGTCGTACCGCGGTCAAACACTGGCGCGAACGGTGCGCGGCATGATGTACAACGCCGACGCGATTCGTTTTCTCCACTGGCTCGAAATCGGCGAGAACGAAGCGATGCACCTCCACGGGTGCGCGTGCACCCGATGCGCCAAGCTCGACGACATGGTCGCGTTGAAATTCAGCTATATTTGCACGTGCCAGATCTACGGAAAGCAAAAGGACGAACAGAAGCAGCAGGCACTCGACATTGACTACTTGATGGTCAAGCACCCCGGCCTCCGCGTCGCGTACGTCGATGGCCCAAAGCGGATGAAGGATGGCCCACCCAAGTATTTTTCCGTGCTCATTCGAGCGCAGGGCGACAAGATCGTGGAGGTCTACCGCGTGGAGCTACCGGGGGACCCGATCCTTGGCGAAGGCAAGCCCGAGAACCAAAACCACGCCATCATTTTCACGCGCGGGGAGTGGCTGCAGTGCATTGACATGAACCAGGACAATTACCTGGAAGAGTGCTTGAAAATGCCCAACCTCCTCGCGACCGCCGACGACAAGCGCAACTCGAAACAGTACCCGACCACCATCATCGGGTTCCGCGAGTACGTCTTTACAGGGGGCGTCTCCAACTTGGCCGCGTTCATGCAGATCCAAGAGCTGTCGTTCGTGTCGCTCGGGCAGCGCATGCTGGCGCTTTTCCACGTCCGGCAGCACTATGGTCATCCCGACATTTTTGACAAGATGTTTGCCATGGGCACGGGGGGCACCGCCAAGTCGTCGCGAGGGATCAACTTGTCCGAGGACATCTTTGCCGGGTTCAACACGACTCTCCGTGGCGGTCGCGTGACCCATGAGGAATTTATTCAAGTTGGAAAGGGCCGCGACGTCGGGATGCAGCAGCTCGCGCTGTTTGAAGCCAAGTTGTCGTCTGGTGCTGGCGAGTGCGTCACGTCCCGCGATTGCATGCGCATGGCACACCGCCTCGACTACTTTCGCCTGCACTCGTGGTTTTACGGCAACTTGGGGTGGTACTTCACTCAAACGATGACCGTGTACGGCATCTACTTTTTCATCTACGGCAAGATTTACTTTGCACTGAGTGGATTGGATGCGTACTACCTCCAGGCGGGGCGGTTGGGGATCAGCGGCGTCCTGAATACGTCGTGGGCGCTACAGTTTGGGTTTTTGCTGGTCGTGCCCGTCATAGCGGTCGTTGGCGTCGAGCAAGGGTTTCGCCACGGGATCAGTTATCTTCTTTGGAACTGCATGACGCTTGGCCCGCTCTTCTTTACGTTCCAAATGGGCAACCGCATGAACTACTTTGATCGGACGCTGATCCATGGCGGCGCCAAGTACCGCGCAACCGGGCGTGGGTTTACCATCAAGCACGAAAAGTTTGCCGAACTGTTTCGATTTTACGCGTTCAGCCACTTTTACCGCGGCGTCGAGCTGGCCTTCCTCCTCGTGCTCTTCTACGCGTACGGGACGTTTTCGTGGTGCAATTGCTCGTGGACGGTCGAGGCAGACTTTTACAACAACGTGGAGCCGCTCCCGTACGAGTGGAAAACGCGATGTTATGCCAACTTGTACCAGTCGTGCGTGCTGCCGACGAACCAAAACTACGGGATCATGAGCTACTCGCTGTGGATTATCGCGGCGACGTGGATGTGGGCGCCATTCTTCTTCAACCCGAGCGGCCTCGACTGGGACAAGTGCATTGCCGACTACAGCGACTGGCAGCAGTGGCACACGACCAAGAACGACTCATCCGAGAGCTGGCTCGGGTGGTGGGTAAACGAGCTCGAGTTCCTCGAGCACTCGACGCCACGTTCCCGATTTGTCCAGTTCGTCCGAAAGACGCGATTCCTTCTCGTAGCGGTGGGGGTATACCTCCAAATGATGTTTCGCCTCGCGTACACGGAGCAAAACAAGACGGTCGCAGACGACTTTGCGCTCAAGCCGTACATTATCCTGGGCGCTCTTGTTGTCCTCCTCATGCTGCTCGCGTGCGTCGGGTACTCGTCCGGCCGCATTGCGAAGAAGATGACGTTCAAGCAGAAGCGCCTGCGCAAGCTCAAGTTTCACTTGACGTTTGTCGGCGTCGTCGGACTCTTGGTCGCGCTGGTGTACTTTAACCTGCGTACGATAGTCGAAATCACGCTGATCGTGGTTTTGGTCGCGTACTGGGTCATGCAGGTCGCGATCGTTCGCCTCGGATTCCGTCACGCCATGATTGAAACGATGGCGGCGCTCTTCGATCGATGCGTCGGGTGGATCATCTTTGGCCCAGTGCTATTCATTGCAATGTTCATGCCATTCCTGTCGGCGTTCCAGCAGCGCGTCATGTTCAACCAAGCGTTCACGTCTGGCCTCGAAGTGTCCAGGCTGTTCTCGAATGATGCCGTGACCCCGCCGCACAGCACCAAACCGGACACGACCCACAAGAAGAAGAAAAAGCGTGACGAGTGAAATCCATCCATCGATATGCCGTGCGGATCGGTGGGACGAGGTATTGCGTTATGATGCATTCGCGCGAACGTCGTGACTATTCTGGAGGGGTCGACGGAGTTCCGCCGCGACGGTATCTGCCGCGCAACGCTTCAGAACATGCACCAGCACGCACGTTCCCGGGATTGGAAAAAAATCTCCAATGAAAAGAGATTGTGTTTTCGTCGTGCTTTTTCTTCAGCCGGGCCTACAAATATTTCAACAATGCAGTCATTCGGTTCAATTATCTGCCGCGCAACTCTTCAGAATATGCACCAGCACTCACGCTCCTGAGATGGGAAAAAAGTCTCCAATGGAAAAAAAGATTGTGTTTTCGTCGTACTTTTTCTTCAGGCTTCGCAGCCAAATATTTCAACAATGCAGTCATTCGGTTCAATTATCTGCCGCGCAACACTTCAGAATATGCACCAGCACGCACGCTCCTGAGATTGGAAAAAATCTCCAATGGAAAATAAGATTGTGTTTTCGTCGTACTTTTTCTTCAGGCTTCGCAGCCAAATATTTCAACAATTCACTGTCTCCATGCAGGTGACGGTGCGAGTGAGAAAATTTTGCGAGGATGCACATGACGACGCAGATGTCAGTCAATTCGGTTCAATTATCTGTCGGAGAATTGAAAAATCTCAAATATCTGAGCCGAGGGAATCTCCCCATGCAGCAACACTCCATACGATTCCTCTCGGCCACATGGGCGAGCGACGGATGTCGCGCCAAGCAACACCTCCGAAGGTCAGATGCTCTTCGCCATGCACCGTGACCTTTGACCACCGTCGTTTGATATATCATCCTAGCTGCGAAATCCGACTAGAACTGCATACAAACCTGGTCATGTGCAAATTGCGCTTGGATCTCTCACGTTGACGTCGTCCCTTGCATCTTTCGCGTTGATGACTCGGCGGCGTAGTTAGAAGAAAGGTATTCTTCTACACTCGTCGATGGTGCACGTACTTGGTACGTGTGTTGCTGTGGAATCGATTGTGTGCTCGTTTCCAGTGCCACGACGATTTCTGTATGGAGGAATTTCCAATGTCCATTGGTACACATCGAACACTTCTCGTCCGAGAGGAGTCGGCACAGTATTAACGTCATGAAATCAAGCGAGTGCCAGCGGTACAAGTCTCACAACGCAGCATACTCACGTCATTGCTCATGGGAGATCGTCGCCTCGGCAGGGGAGGTTGGGGAGAGTCGCCGCCGGCGTTTCATTCCCAACCGAAATTACTGTAAATTTGGAGAGTTTGACAATCCCGTCGTCGACGGGGGAGGACGCGTCGAAGGATTGTCGCTTGTGGGACGCTGCACATTTGGGACTCAAGTGGTTCGCAAGCCAACGTGGCAGGTCGTGCGTGTATCGCCCCTCTCAATGCGAATTCGGCACTCTCCATGACGAGCCATGCGGGGCTCGCTCGCGCGGTGATGTTCCTGTGTATCCTGGCCCTACCTACTGCGGTGTGTAATGACCATACATTGGCACTTGAGCATATTCCATGTTGAAAGTGTCCCACGAAAATTCAGCACCGAGACTGTGGTGGGTTCACGCGCAGAGGGGACGTACGCACACTGTCACCGGGACCGCGAGCCTTCGCAACAACAGCTCCTCCATTCGACGCTCGAAGTGGGCGCATACCCCCTGCGTCCAGCACGCTGGTGGCGTCGTCGCGTGGATACAGTGCCATGTGGGTACCATAATCGGTGTTCGCTACGCGTTTTATACCCGGCAAGACGTGTTTTTCAGCTCGAAAAATCGATTTTCTGGATGCGATATACTTGACATTTGTAAGAGGTCGTAACCTGGGCATGAAAAAAAAAGTGGCTGCCCCATTACTAACTGCCGCCCCGACCTTTACAAAATGCAAATGCTATTGAAATATCCTCAAGTTTGTATATTGAATGTGAACACGCCATGATTTTTCGATAAAAAACGCCAGAATATCCGGGGCGGTTAGTTTTCGTTTTCGTCCATTCCGCGTGAAGTCGGTTGCCGCCCGCGCGAAGGAACAACTGGCGACGCATCCCCCAAACAGGAACAGGTGATGAGGAAGCAGCAACGTGGAGGTGGAGACGGTGACTACGGATCCAGTCGCGGCCTGGAGCGTCAGAAGCAGCTCTGCGATGAAGGCATGGCGCTGGTGAACGAAAGCGTCGGCATTCAAAACTCGGGGGGAGACACGGACCTGGCTGAGCGCAATTTGAACCGCGCTGTCGAGATATTTGAGACGGCTCTGGCAATTCAATACAGCACACAAGAAGAACAGGAAGCGGCCACTCGTCTGAACAACAAGATGCTTCGCTATGTCAAAATGATCAAGACTCAAAAAGCCAAGAACCCCGCGATCGGCGGCAACAAGCGCACCGCGTCCAAGTATAACATTCTCGAACTCGACAATCTCCCGCAGATTTATCATTCCATTGCGGGCAAACTGTTCAAGTACGTTGGGCTTACTCGCATACCCGCACCTTGCTAATCGTGATGTTACTGTCTACAGCTCGCAAGTTGGTGACGTGTTTGAATCGCTCAAAACGACTTTTGGTTTCCAGGACAACAACGTGCTCAACCAAAAAGAGCATGTCCTCTTGCTCTTGACAAACTACAAAGAGCAGCTGGACGTTCCAGACCCCAAGGCACCGGCGAACCAGCCCGTCCCCGCTCGCGACCAGCAAAGGGAGATGCAGTTGGCAGACAAAGCTGTCACCAAGTTCCATGCCAAATTGTTTGACAATTACAAAAAGTGGTGCAAGTATATTGGCCAAAAGCCCAAATTTACTCGGGACAACTTGACTGATATCGTGCTCTTCTTCCTCATTTGGGGGGAAGCTGGCAACTTTCGACAGACACCGGAATTGCTTTGCTTTTTGTTTCACAATCTCGCTCCGGCGTCGCAATCGGGCGGTTCGAAGGAGTCAGGAGACTTTTTGGCATCGGTGATCCGCCCCATGTACAACGAACTGAAAAAGGACAACGACAAGAAGACTTCCAAGGGCCAGCGCGCCCCGCACAATGAAATTCGCAACTACGACGACTTTAATGAGTTCTTTTGGACGAAAAAGTGCCTCAAGTACAACGCGTACACGATCGGGGAAGCGTTTGCAAGCGCCGACAAGAAGGGCAATCCGAAGGTCGTGAAGAAGACGTTCATCGAGAAGCGAACTTGGTTCCGTGCCCTAACGTCATTCCGCCGTATTTTCCTCTTCAACTTTGCACTGTTTTTGGCCACGGTTGGGTTTGCTATCAACATGATCACGCTGTGCCCGGACAGTCCGATCATGTATGGCCCTGACCTGGGCAAGATTGAAGTGTTCGGGAAAAAGTACTACGACAGCGTCACCTACACCACGCCGTTGACGGACACCGAAACTACCGCCCTGACGGCAGTCGAAGTTGACAGCACTCAAAAACTTTGCAACCCCGCGAAGTTGGCGACTTGCTTGGGAGTTGGAACCTATGTCCGAGGCGAGACGTTTGCGCACTATCCCCGCGACTTCAAGGAATTGATGAGTCAAATTCCTTTTCAGGACTGCATTGAAAGGCAAAGCGGCCGTTGCACGTGCTACATTGATCTGATCGAGAAGTGCTTTTCTCAAACTGGAAATGCAACCGTATACCCTGATGGCGGTTTGAAGAGCATTCCGGTCCAGTACGATCAAAAGTTGTGCGATCTGGTGTACAAGAAGACTGCCTTGGCCATCTTGAACAACAACACAGACGGAAGACTCAACTGCGACATGTGTCGTTTGGAGCCGCAGAGTTTGTTAAAGTCGTTGCCCAAACTGATCGGTTCATTTATCGATTTCAACCGATTCACCAAGAAACGCGACTTTGGTCCGCTGTTTTTCTTGGGTGGGGTGGGGTGTTTGGTCCTGGTGTTTGCGTGCGAGCTCCTCGGTCGAATGATATCGGGTGTCGGCGTCGGATATGTCGGTCGGTCGCTGCCAGTCCCATTTGGCGCGTATTGCCGGTACACGTGCTTTTGGCTCTTTTTGTTTGCTTGCAAACTCACGTTTGACTACCAATTCATGGTCAAGAACTTGGTGGAAACGACCGTGTTCATTTGGTCGACGGACGCAAAGTTGCACCACCCGACGACCCAGTTCCTCATCAGCTTCAGCTTCCACAACATTTTGTACATTGCTTTCTTGTGGATTCCGGCCATCACGGTGTTCCTGTACGACGCCCAGATCTTTTACGCACTCTTGTCGGTCATCTTTGGGTCGGTCCGCGGGTTCAACTTGCGCATTGGCGAGCTCCGATCGTTTCGCATTCTTCGGTTGACGTTTAAGTCGATCCCAAAAGTCTTCAACAAGAAGCTCGTGTCCAACTTGATTGAACGTGGCGGCAAGAAGAAAGGCAAGAAGGACAAATCGAAGAAGGGGTCCAAGGACGATCCTGCTCCGGAACGTCGATTCCAGCGCGTCTCGTACTCGGAAGGGAGCAAGCCATTGACCGGCACGGCCAAAGGTTTCAGTTCACTGTTGGAAAACGACGGATACAACGAGCTGCGAACCCCCGGTGGTGTCGATGCGGACTCGAGTACTGGACGCAATTCCAACATCACGTCCATCACCGGTGTTTCTGGGGCTGAATTTGAGCGCACGATTCCATTCGCCATGGCTTGGAACCGCTGTCTCGCTAGTATGCGCGAAGCGGATGTGTTGAGCGACCGCGAACTGAACGTACTAAGCTACTTGATCGACTCGAAAGACGTGGCGGAGCGACGTCTGTACCCGCCAGCTTTTTTGACGGCTGGCAAGTTAGACGAGTCCATCGACATCATTATTGAAAGCTACACGTTGCACGACAAGCTCAAGTCGGACAAAAAGAAGGACAAGACTCTGCAAAAGGTTGAAGTGTCGATGCGCGAACGATTGACCAAGGACGATCTGCGCGTGGAAGCCATTTTGGGCTCGTACAAGTTTTCGTCACAAGTGATTAAGTTATTGCTTGGCGACGAACACAAAGAGTTGGAAGCGTGTTTCAGCTTCATGGAGGAGATGGCAACCAACAAGACGACGTTGAAAGGTCTCAACTTCAGCAACTTGTACCAGGCTCGTTCGTCGTGTGCGGATTTGATGAAGTCGATTTTGGAAGTGCCCAAAGGCGCCCAGGAAGGCAGCATCAAGTTTTTGCGCTCGTTGTACCACGTTATCGACAACGTCGAAGCTGTCATGGGGTGCCTGAAGAAGGTCCTCTCGAAGCAAGAACACTTGGTCAAAATTTTGAACGACACGCCATTGAAGCCCAACTCATTCTTTTTCCCTGGCGACGCACAACACTATGCGAGTTCGCAACTCCAGCGCATCGTGAACGATCAAACGGCGATTGACATTGTGTCTCGGGCGTACCAGCTCCTTACGGTGGACAACTTCGATGCCGAGCCTCGATCTGAGGAAGGGCAGCGCCGTCTACGCTTTTTCACCAACTCGCTGTTCATGGAAATGCCTGAAGCCAAACCTGTGAGTCAGATGCACTCGTTTTCGATTTCGACGCCGTATTTCAACGAAATCGTGTTGTACTCGGTGAAAGAGCTGACTGCTGAAAATGACGACTCGATCAAGCTGCTGTACTACTTGCAAACAATCGATCCGTTCGAGTGGGAGAACTTTTTGGAACGCATCAACGTCAAGGATATGAACGAAGCCTTGAAAAAGTACCCGGAAGAAGTGCAGCTATGGGCGTCCTACCGCGGCCAAACGCTAGCCCGTACAGTTCGGGGAATGATGTACAACGAAGAAGCCATTCGGTTCTTGTACTGGTTGGAAATCGGCGAAAACGAACCCATGCATTTGCACGGATGCTCATGCAATCGGTGTATCAAGTTGGACGAAATGGTCGCGCTCAAGTTCAACTATATCTGCTCGTGCCAGATCTATGGCAAACACAAGGACGAACAGCGCCAACAAGCGCAAGACATTGACTACCTGCTCATGAAGCATCCTGGTCTTCGTGTTGCATACGTTGATGGCCCCAAGAAGGTCAAGGATGGGCCACCCAAGTACTTTTCCGTGCTCATTCGCGGAATCGGCGACAAGATCGTCGAGGTATACCGCGTCGAGTTACCGGGGGATCCCATCATCGGTGAAGGGAAGCCCGAGAACCAGAATCACGCGATCATTTTCACACGGGGGGAAATGCTCCAGTGTATTGATATGAACCAAGACGGGTACCTAGAAGAGTGTTTGAAGATGCCCAACTTGCTCGCTACGGTGGACCGCAAGGAGCACTCGAAGAACCCGTTGACGATTATTGGTTTTCGGGAATACGTGTTCACTGGTGCCGTGTCCAACTTGGCGAGTTTCATGCAAATCCAAGAACTGTCGTTTGTGTCGCTGGGTCAACGCATGCTCGCCCTGTTCCACGTCCGACAACACTATGGCCATCCAGACGTGTTTGACAAGATGTTTGCCATGACAACGGGGGGAACTGCCAAGCCTTCGAAAGGCATCAACTTGTCGGAAGATATTTTCGCCGGGTTCAACACGACGCTGCGCGGTGGTCGTGTGTCCCACGAAGAGTTCATTCAAGTGGGCAAAGGTCGTGATGTCGGCATGCAACAATTGGCGTTGTTTGAGGCCAAGTTGTCGTCTGGTGCCGGGGAGTGTGTCATTTCTCGCGATGCGTCCCGAATGGGCAGCCGCCTCGACTTTTGGCGCCTCAACTCTTGGTTTTATGGCAACCTGGGGTGGTACTTCACGCAAACGATGACCGTGTTCGGCATTTACGCGTTTATCTACGGCAAGATCTACTTTGCGTTGAGTGGCCTTGACTCATTTTTCCTCAAATCCGGTCGTCTTGGGATCAGTGGAGTCCTCAACACGTCATGGGCATTGCAGTTTGGTTTCCTCCTCGTCGTGCCTGTCATTGCCGTCGTGGGTGTCGAGCGCGGTTTCCGTCACGGGTTCTCGTACTTGGTGTGGAACGTGTTGACGCTTGGCCCGCTCTTCTTTACGTTCCAAATGGGCAACCGCATGAACTATTTTGATCGGACGTTGATCCATGGCGGCGCCAAGTACCGCGCAACCGGGCGTGGGTTTACCATCAAGCACGAAAAGTTTGCCGAACTGTTTCGATTTTACGCGTTCAGCCACTTTTACCGCGGCGTCGAGTTGGTGTTTTTGCTCATCCTGTTTTCAGCATACGGGACGTTTTCATGGTGCAACTGCTCTTGGCGTGTCGACCAGCTCTTTTACAACAACATTGAGCCACTGCAGTATGAATGGGACAAGCGATGTTATGCCAACTTTTACCAGATCTGCGTGTTGCCAACGAACCAAAACTACGGCATTATGAGTTTCTCGCTGTGGATTATTGCTGGCACTTGGCTGTGGGCGCCGTTCTTCTTCAACCCGAGCGGCCTGGATTGGGACAAGTGCATTGACGACTATAACGACTGGCAAAACTGGCTGCAGACCAAGAACGACTCGTCGGAGAGTTGGTTTGGGTGGTGGTCGAACGAACTCGAATACTTGGAGCACTCTAGCGTGAGTGCGCGCGTCGTCCAGTTTTTGCGCAAGTGCCGTTTCTTGTTTGTTGCGGTTGGCATTTATCTGCAGCTCATGTATCGCTTGTTTTACAAGGACCAGAACAAGGTGATCGTGTTCGACTTCCAAAGGAACTTCATTGAGTCCCTCAAGCCATTCATCATTGTCGGTGCATTGGTGGTGGTCATGCTGCTCTTGATTTGCTGTGGGTACTGCGCGAGTCGGTTTTCGAAGCGCAGTCAAATGAAGCAGAAGAAGTTGCGCAAGATCAAGTTCAACGTGAGCTTCTTCATCATGGTGCTCGTGCTGTTCTCGCTGCTGTACTTGACCATTTTGCAGCTCGTCGAGGTGTTTTTGATTGTTGTGCTGGCCGTGTACTGGTTTGTCCAGTTTGCCATCGTGCGCCTCAAGTCGAACCATGTCGTGATCCTTGCAATGGCCAAGAGCTTTGACCGGGCCGTGGGCTGGATCGTGTTTGGTCCAATTTTGTTTATCGCCATGTTTATGCCGTTCATTTCGTCGTTCCAGCAACGCGTGATGTTCAACAGCGCATTTACGTCGGGACTGGAGGTGTCCAAGCTCTTTTCCCACGACGTCATGCCGTCGCACACGGTCAAGACCAAACGCTCCAAGAAGAAGAAGCGCGACGAGTAATTGCGATTTTTGTATACCAAAGAATACATTTATAAATTCGTCGCCATTTTGGCCATTGTTGCCACAGTGGTCATTCGTTTCCAGTGACGAAATTCGGGTTTCATTCGAATTAAAAAAAAAACAAATTCGATTTTTCCCATTCAACGGTGTTTTTTGTGGGGCAACGCTGGCAACAACGGATGAATGTTTGAGCAAACCTGAATTAAATGAATGATGCATGTTTCACGAGGAATTTGTATGATGGTTTGAACGTCGAGAATGAAGGGACCACCCCTTCCGAATCCGGATACATCTGCGTTGTCTGAGTCAAAAGTATCCTGACAACCGGATAATCCACCAGATGAACCCGCAGTAATTATTTGGTCATCCCAACCCCGAGTTGCCGACATGTTCTCGGAACACCTTCGCCCACCGTCGACGCATTACGACGACAGCTTCAGGGACTCGCAACAGCAGTGCCAGATGCACCCTAGTCGAGACAGAACTGTCGCTGTCTTCGATTGGGACGACACGTTGTGTCCAAGTACGTGGCTGCACAGCCAAGGTCTGCTTCCCTCGTATCGAGGACACAGTGTTGCGTTGAGCGCGGTTGATCGCCAAGTACTCGCGGCGCTCGAAGTCCGCATCTGTGCGCTTCTTACGAAAGCCTTGACGTACGGCCCGGTCTTTGTCGTAACTGCTGCCGAAACCGGATGGGTGGAAATTGCGTGTTCGCTGTACATGCCTGCCGTCCACGACTTGTTGAACATGTCGGACGAAATCCACATCGTGTCCGCTCGAAGTTGGTTCGAGCGCACGTTTGGCGGCGGGGGCGACGCGCGTCGATGGAAGCTCGAGACGCTTGGCATGATTGCATCCAAGTGTTTCGGGAATCGACGAGGGTGGGGCAACCACAGCTTGATCTCGGTCGGCGACTCGCTGGCGGAACGCGATGCATGCCACGCCGCCGTGCATGTGATTCCAGAGACGGCACTCCTGGCCAAGACGCTCAAGTTCATCGAGCATCCCGATGTCGGGGATGTCTTGAAGCAAGTGGACTTGGCGTTCCTTAGCTTTGACAACATGTGTGCGTACGACGACCATTTGGACTTGCGGATATCGCCGGACCATTTACATTCCACTCCTTTTTAGCTCTAGGGTCTAATTTATTTTGTTTTCTTCTTGGAGCTAGTGGTCGCTTTCTCCGCCGTGGCGAGCTGGAGCCGCGATGGCTTCATGATGACAAACCGGACTTCCGCCTCAACAGTCTTGGAATGGTTGCGCAAGTAGTATGCATTCTGGGGCGGGACAAAGTACTCGTCGCCGGGGCTCAGGAGAAACCTTTGGGCCGTCTCGTGGTCGAACGAACCTTCTGAAGGATCTGCATATGCCACCTCAAGAGAGCCCGGTTGGCACTGCAGGACAACAAATGTCTGCGTGCAATTGCCGACTGACTCGGGCTGCTTGGCGCCGTTCGGAGGTAGCAACAAGCGCCCAGAGATCCAAGTGGGTAAGGTCGGGCCTCCAGGCAAGTTGAAAGTTTGGCCAGCATAACCGCAAGGTAGGCCTTCAATGCCAGGAAGCGCAAACACTTCGGACGCCTTGCTCCGTCCAATTACGCGCGTTTTCTTGGTGTCGCTATTCAATTCGTCCCAAATGTTACCCGTGTCGGTCGCCAAGTACGAATATTCCGACGGTAAGTCGTCAATGGGAAACGGAGTCGTTTTGGACTTGTGCGATGACTTGTGCGGCTGGCGCTTTGCCGGCGTGTTGGTGCCAGCGCGCTCAATGTGGGAGATTGTTGGCAAAATCAACCCAACGCCGCTTTGGCGGCGTTCGTACACTGGCCTTTCACATTTGTACCACGCTAATGGCTTGATTCTGCGCCGTTTTGATCGACGGACCCCGGATTCTAGCCCAACTCACGGTCAAATCGAATCTCAGGCAGGGAAACTACCGTCGTTGTCCGAGTCGTAGCGAATCGCGTCGGCATTGCTTAGAACCGTGATGTCGTTTTCAGCCTCCGACTCCGAGTCCATTCGCGACTGGTCCGTCAACGCAAACGACGACTCAAAGTCCGACTCAACCTCGGCCGATTTATTGCGCTTCTTGACCTTTGCAACGTTGACTGTTTTTTGTGTCTTGGCAGAGACAGCTTGAGATTTCTTCTTCATTGGCGGACGTTGCTTAGTCTTTGTCGATGGAGGCGTGTGTAGCGTGTGATCTACGGGTCTAACTCATGAGACGGCGAATGAAGCACTTGCGATTGAACCTTCGAAGGGCGAAATTGGTGTCAAGTTGCCCAAGAACGGGTCACCATCTTCTTGGGGAGACGGCATGCCAAATTCAAAGTCTTCTTGCTCCACTGCATCGTTCGGTTAAAGATCCATGCAAAAGGTGATGAAGGCATTTACCTGGGCGTTTCCTGTTATTTTTCAAGGGGGTTTTTGCGGGAATATCGGCTTCTTCATCAGACGATGTGCCTAATTCATCCAGAAACAATCAATAAATTGAAGTCAATGTACACTTCGTTTGGCATCTCACGTCGATTCTTTCTAACAGTCAACTTTTCAGGCGTCGAGAGTTTAGGAACTAGTTTTCGGGTCGGCAGCTTTGGCATAACAGCTGCAGATGTCGTGAAATTTTATCGTTCGAGCTCGTACATGACAAACCTTCATCATCTTCAACGTCATTCTGCTCTGTGAAGGCAATAGGGTAAGATATTTAGCAAGCATGCAGTGTTCTCGTCACCTAGGTAACGTGATGCGTCGAGGTCGTTGGTTTGACTAACGGATTCTGCGGTTGCGGTATGAGCCCACCACGAAATTGCTATGTGACTCATACCCCGATTTGTGGTGGACGCAGGGGATCCTGCAGGGCTGTTAATGCTCGCAACCGATTCTACATCGCACAAACGTTCAACTTGAAATTGAAAACTTGAAACTACCTCGGTGTTCCAGTTGTGATTCCGAAGGCAATCGAGGCATCGCGTCGTTCTGTGCATCATCTAGACGCGACTCGTCTAAAATAAATGGACATGTTACGACTTGACTTGAACTGTTTTGATGCAATCTTGCCTTGTTCCGACGCCACCATGGAGTGGTCCACATCGTTGGCACGACCAGGGGACAGCGGCGTCATCGCTACGTGTTACGATAATTGGCGTTTACGCCAATGGAGCAAAAAAACTGTACCTCGAATCTCTGTTGGTGTTGGCGACGGTGTAGACAGGACATTGCGATGCTCTCGTCGAAGAGCTGAATCGGACCATTTGAGGGTGGAGATTACGATTTGGGAAATGATATCTTACGCGTGAGCGTTGGTGACACCATGAAGCTCGTCTGGGGGGAGTTGGAATCTGTATGCGATGTTGATGCATTCAAGTCAGCTCATCAGGCCAATGACGCACCAGTGCTCTTCACTGTCGATGCAGGAGATGACATGTTGCTGAACGAATACACGTCGCTGTCCTCTCGTTGCCTCAACGGCGTTTGAGCTACTCAATACAGTCATGCGACTCCTGCCATTATTTATATCCTTACGAGATGGTTCGTGCTTAGTTGGAATGCTTTCCATGGGTTGAGTAGTCGAAGTAGGAATGATGACGGAAGCTGTTATGGCTGCAGCTGTGAATATGAGATTTTTGCAATGAGGAAAGTAGAGTTGCACACATGAGCTAGGGAATTTGGGGCGTCTTGCAAATGGTGGGGTGATGGCTGTGCTCGACGGAGGCGGTTGGGAGGCCGCTTTAAGGGCGGGTTATGTACACATACTCGGAAAATAGAGCTGTACTTGACGATGCATTCGTACCTTGTTGTTCTTTGTCGTTGATCCCTTCGTTCGTGGGTTGAGGGGCGCCGTCTAAAGTGTGCCCTGCAATTCGCGTGAGGACTTGAAGCTCCGATGAAAGTGGTGGATACGTCTCTGGCGACGATTGAGATGTTTATGCTTCTTTGCGGACAGCGGAGGGACTGCTTTTGCGGGCTGGAGAGTAATACCGGAGGCGTCTAGATCAGTGCCGCCGAGTTCAACACTGTCATTCGTATGTCCAGCAGTTGGGGATAATTCTAATTAAGGTATCAACACGAGTACTTGCAGCGACCGGACATACCATTAGCAGACGCGCGAGCCTCAGCCCAGAAATCATGGATATCTTCGAATCCGTCGGAATTGCGGTTGACTTTGGGTGTCAGGTCGGCCCCCTTCTTGGGTGTACGAAGGACAGGTTTCGTGCCCGACGATTTCGTCGCACGACTGGAAAACTCGAAAGCATCACGCGAACGTTCAATATCAGTGGTAGAATCTACGAAGAGAAACATGATGTTGGCACTTTCTTTGGTCGGGTTTACCACGCACCGTTCGCAGCCGACGAGGTGTCATCGTCCCAGAAGTCGTCGATGTCCTCGAAGCCGTTGGAATCGCGACGAACGTCGTTGCGCACGACCGTTCCAAAGTGTCTATCGGCGAACACGTCAATGCAAGATCGTTGCAAGTCGCCGTTATCGCGTCGTACCTCCCAATCGCAGGCTTGGCTCGGGCGCCCGACATTTGCGCGGCTGGACTTGGCTTTTGAATTTTGAAATCGACCAGTGACTACTAGTACAAGACGAAGTACTAGTACCTCAAATGATCCAGTTGCGTTGATCAAATATCCATTTTCTATCACTTGAGAATTAAATGCACTATATATTATTCGGCTCCAAAACTTATTCCAAGGACCTAGTAGGATGAAGTTGTAACTAGTAGTAGTCACTCGATAGAAAATAGATGGCGGATAAATGAATTTATACGCCCAATTCTTGGGCATTTTATCCGGAGGGTCCTTTGGCTGGTTGTCGGCCAGTTTTTATTCTTGGCATTGGGATGTCGGACAAACTGACCCGCATCGCTATCGTGAGCGCTGACAAGTGCAAGCCCAAGAAGTGCCGCCAGGAATGCAAGAAGTCGTGTCCTGTTGTGCGCATGGGCAAGGTGTGCATTGAGGCCACGGGAAAGTCCAAGATTGCGTACATTTCGGAAGGGGTACGGTCGATGCCCACCAGAATTAGACGACAGCATCCCCGTGCTCATCATCGAACTAGCTCTGCATCGGGTGCGGCATTTGCGTGAAGAAGTGCCCGTTTGAAGCCATTAACATCATCAACTTGCCCAAGGTAAAGATGACACAACGACTGCTCCTTTCGGCGACTTCGATTTTGAATTGCCATGCTTAGGACTTGGAAAACAACACGACCCATCGCTACGGCGCCAACACGTTCAAGCTCCATCGGTATGGAAAAGTGCTCCAACCCAATGTCATCACGAAATAATTCCTTAGATTGCCCATGCCCCGTCCCGGCCAAGTGTTGGGTCTTGTCGGTACCAACGGTATCGGCAAATCGACCGCGCTTCGCATTCTTGCGGGCAAGTTGAAGCCCAACTTGGGTCGCTACGAGTCACCTCCCGAGTGGCAAGAAATCTTGACGCATTTCCGCGGGTCGGAACTCCAAAACTACTTTACTAAGATTTTGGAGGTGTGCTTGTTTCGCTGCAACCTTGACACTCATCCCCGTTCCAGGACAACTTGAAGGCCATTATCAAGCCTCAGTTTGTGGATCGTATCCCCAAGGCCGTCAAGGGCCAGGTGCGTGCACCTCATCGGTTCGTGAGTCGTTGATGTTCACGAAGGAGTCGCCCGTCTAGGTCATGAACATTATCCGCGAACGATGCGAAAAAGAAGGAAAGCTCGAGTACTACATGAACGAACTGGATTTGCTCCACATTCACGACCGTGATGTATGCAGCGCCACGCTAGTCTCTTTCTACTACTGACCGCGTCTGTCCGCGCTAGTTGGAAGTGCTTTCGGGAGGGGAACTCCAGCGTTTTGCGATCTGCTCCGTGGCCGTCCAGCAAGCCGACATTTACATGTTTGATGAACCGTCGTCGTACTTGGACGTTCGCCAGCGACTGAAAGCAGCCCTTGTCATCCGCTCCATGGTCGAAGGCAACCACTCGTCGTACTGCATTTGCGTCGAGCACGATCTGTGCGTGCTGGACTACTTGTCCGACTTCATCTGCGTTTTGTACGGGTCGCCCAGTGCCTACGGAGTCGTCACGATGCCGTTCAGCGTCCGCGAAGGCATCAACATCTTCTTGGCAGGGTTTGTCCCGACGGAGAACCTTCGGTAGGATCGTGTTTTGCGCCTCGTTGTCTGGCTGACCTGTGCCCTTTGTAGCTTTCGCCAAGAGGAACTCACGTTCAAACTAGCCCAAACTGCTGATGAAATGCAGCTCAAGGACGACACGAGCGCGAACACGTATGTGTACCCGAGCATGACCAAGACGATGGTGTCGATCAAGGACAATGAAAAGACGCAATTCAAGCTCAACGTCGAGGGCGGCGCGTTTGTCAATTCGGAGATCTTGTGTATGTTGGGGGAAAACGGGACGGGGAAAACTACGTTTATCCGCATGTTGGCCAACCAGCTCAAATCGGACGAACTCGAAGCCGCCGAGGCCGCGGACGACCACTACGAAATCGCCAAGGCGTCGCTGCAATACGACGCGAACGTGGTTAGTTACAAGCCGCAAAAGATCGCTCCCAAGTTCCAAGTACGTCCGTGCTGTTCAGTGGGCGCGCCACGAGGGACTGACCATGGAACGTTGTAGGGCAGCGTGCGTGCGCTCTTGCACAAGCGAATCCGTGACTCGTATCAACATCCGCAATTCATGACGGACGTAACCAAGCCGTTGAACTTGGACGATATCATCGACCAGGCTGTCCCCAACTTGTCGGGTGGGGAGCTCCAACGTGTCGCGATCGTGCTGTGCTTGGGCAAGGCCGCCGACATTTACCTGATCGACGAACCGTCGGCGTATTTGGATTCGGAACAACGTATCATTGCGTCCAAGGTGATCAAGCGCTTCATTTTACACTCCAAGAAGACGGCGTTTGTTGTCGAACATGACTTTATCATGGCCACGTACTTGGCCGACCGCGTCATCGTGTACAAGGGTCGACCGGGTGTCGAATGTACGGCGCAGTCGCCGCAAAGTCTCCTCTCGGGCATGAACATGTTTTTGAAGCAATTGGAAATCACGTTCCGACGCGACCCGACCAACTACCGCCCGCGTATCAACAAGCTCAACTCGGTCAAGGACACGGAGCAGAAGAACACAGGCAACTACTTTTTCATGGACGACTAAGTTGCGCCACAACACATTGGCCGTGTCGCGGACCCCGTCTGAATAGGACCTAAACGCCTTCAATTGATGTCATTTTCCTACCTATTCATTCTGGCATCGCGTCGCGTTGGAGGCAAAGAAACGTCCCTCAGTTGTGCGCTCGGTCTCGACTCGAGCAAGTTCACGCCGTCGAACCAAGACGTGTTCAACCAGTCCCGACTCTGAACCACCTCCCAACTCAATCCACTGGCTTCCTACCGTTCCGGTCATGTGCAGCACGGAGGTGGAGGCCATGAACACTCTGCATGCTTCACCTGATCGTCTCGCAACGTCGCCAGGTCGCACGATAAGATGTGCCGCGTTGCGGTTAACCGACAACTTGAAACCGCCGCCTGTCGGAAACCTCTTTAAACTGATACGGGAGTGCGCTGGGACTGGGCTCAGGGACTCACTCCCCTACCCTCCAGAACAATGCACTCCAAAGTGGGAGGACAGTTACGCGACATCCGGATAAACCCGCAGCAAATTATATGGAACTTGCAGTACGAAAGTGTCGTCATTCTCGAATTGCTGCTGATGGACTCCTTCCGCTTCTTGGCGCGGCGCCCGTCGCGCTCAGAAGACAGCAGCACGCTCATGCCGAATGCCATGATGTCTCATCCAGCGTTTGAACGCCCGTCGATCGATGCTTCTCCGTCTGGCGCCCCGCCCGTTCCATATGGTGAGATTGCTCGGACTCCGGTTGGGCCAGCGATTGTCCCGGTCGATTCCGACTTTGCAGACACCGGAGACGAGGTGCGCCGCGTCCGACGCACCCGCAGTAAGTCCGAGTGCCTCTTCCTCGCGAAGAACCACACGAAGAACGAATTACCTAGTCCCTGTCAAGAGTACATTACCCAAATTCAAACCATCATGGCCAAGAATGATCCGAATCGGAACAACGCGCGCGTCGGCTCGATGTCGACTGCTCCCAGTCCCGCGACCTCTCGCGGGACATCACCGACGTCATCCAGTGCTCCAGTGCGACGAAACAGTGTCTCGGGGCTGCCTCCCTCGGGCGACCTTCACATCTAGCTGTCTGGTTTTTGTAATGCTTTTGCACTCCATAAATTATTCGTTTCTTGCTCTTGCTAGTTGGAAAACAGTCGCCGCTGAGAATCACTCCACTCGCGTCCGGTTCGGATCAGCGCCAAACGTTTCGACACGCCGTCTTTTCGAACTGCGCGAGTGATCATCTTGCACATTGTGCATCGAAACACTTGCCACAGCTCGTCCGAGGTCGCCACTTCGTCCGAAGGGGTCTCCGTCGCGTCCCAATGCCCCCATTGCGTTAAATTCACCCGGCGCTCTCGACCACTGCTGTCCATCCATTTCAACGAGGCGAACGGGGCAATCACATCCAGGTTCTTCAAATGCGGCAGACACAGTAAGCACAGCGCACATGGGAGGGACGGGACACAGCACTCGTCTGACAGAGACTCGGACACTTGATACGCATGGGAGCCGCAAATACACTGCGCATTTTGGCGTTAGCATTCACGACGACGCGATCTCAATCCAAGGTGGCACCTGGTAGATGGACGAGTGGTTGCACGAACGATGCTCCACACATCGCTTCTCTTCCCAGCACAAGATAGTCGTGAGCAGCTTCGAGGAAGGGACGAGAATCGATTCATGCGGTTTCCAAAGCTGCTTGACCAGCTCAAAGCATGACGCGCCGAAGAACAGCACGTGGTAGACAAACAGCACTGGCATGAGGGCCCGCATGACTGGTTTGGATGGCACATCGACGAGCACCTAAGGCGTTGGTCAACCAGCAGACGGTCAAGAATGACGTCTTTGTTGCCGTGCGTCCTACCACTCGATCTGCGACGTAGAGCTCCCAGAGCATGGCGCAAATGGCCTGCGCTTGATGAAGGAGGTCGTGGGCATATGCTTCTTCTTGGTCCTCGAATGGCAGGGAGTGGCGAGGTGTGACGATGATGGTGCGATGGGGAATTGCGGAGGAGCTTTTGCATGTACGGCTGACGGGCGTATGAGTGACGACGACCCCATGTTCGCCATCCCACTCGGATTGCCAACCAATGTACAATCGCGGCGAGAGGAGAGTCTTGCCCATTGGGGGAGGGAGGTGGGCATCGAGTAAACGCACTTGGCGAGCCATGGCGTCGAAGGAAGTGAGCTGCGACTTGGGTGGCGTTGGAGGACCGCGCAGTGTCGAACCCGTCAGCTTGAAATCGTGTAGCCTTTGTTGAATTGAGTCGAGAGATGGGCGGTGCTGCGGATCGCGAACTAGAATGTACTCCAGCAGCTCGGCCACTTCTTCGACTTGCCTTTTCGTCGACGCGTCGTCTCTGTTCGGGTTCATGGCGGCTATAGATGCGTGGAGCATCGACCGGTGCTTCTCCATGAGCACCGGCGCTTGGGACTTGGTCAAGTGCGCGAACAAGGTAGGCCATTCCTCTACGGAACCTTGTCAGCACGGTTGGTGGGCGACGCAACCACCGTACCTGAAGCAAAGAGCATGGACCCTGTCACGAGCTCAAAGAGTAAACATCCCACTGACCACACGTCCGCAGCCATCGTAATCGTGCGCTGGAAATTCAACATTTCCGGGCTTTGAATCGCTTCGGTGCCCCGGGCGTAGTGACAGTCAAAGAACGTGGCCGACGACGGGACGAGGAACGACTCGCCAAAGTCTCCGATGCAAACATCAAACAAAGCGTTCAAAGAAGAGTTGCGGACGAGGACGTTCTCGCACTAGGACATGACAACATCCGCACAACTGAAACGTGGTGCGAGCTGTATTGTACCTTGATGTCCAAGTGGGCAACCGAGGCCAGGTGAATTCTGGATAGCGCGCCACACACCTAGAAAACTCGAGGTCAGCCGCCGTCCGTTCCAGCGATGTCGTTGATGAATACCTTGGAGAACACGGCCAGCAACGTGTCAACATCTACCGTGGACGCGTTGGCATCCCGCCACTCCTTGAGGCTCAAGTCGGCGAACTCCATCGCGATATAGTACCCCTCCTTCGACTGCCCGTAGTCATACAGCTGGATCGCCGCCCCGTTCCCGCGAAGGTGTTCCATAATGGCAACCTTGTCAACGCGTCAACCCAACAACGACGAATACGTTTGGTGCTGACCTCGTTGTAGACACAGTATAGAATCGACCGTTCGTGCGGGAACTTTTGCGTCGCAAGGACTTTGAGGGCGATGCTCTCACGCATGGTTTTTGAGTGTACGCGAAAGAGCGGCAAGTCTGAAGTGCACCGGTAGATCGTCCCGAACGCGCCGTGCCGCGGGGAATCGAAGCCTCGAAAAAATATGGCTCGGGCTGACAAGGTCGACGCGGCCAGCTTGAGCAACCGGAGCTTGGATTCGAGACGACGTCGATTCGAGTCTGTCACGCGAAGGGCCAACTGTGGAACCACGTGCTGGCATTTCGGAGCGTCCAGCCGCAGCTGCAGCCAGAATAGGGCGTCAAAGCCTTTGATGGATCCACCAAATCGACCACAGTACGTTGGATGAAGCGACCGATCGTCCGTGGTTGCGACCACCATGTTGAATAAATAGAGGACAAACTCCACATACATGTCAGCCGAACACCAAAACGTCAGGTCGTCCATGGGGTCGACGACGACGTCTTGCGTTTGCACATGCTGCAGGGGCGACACTTTGTCGAGTTGCAAGAGCGGAACAATCGAAGGCTTGTCCATAGCTCCAACGTGACGAATGGCATGTGAAGGGTCGTGCACCACCGGAAGCTGCGGCACCGCGCTGGCCATCGTGTTGAGAAATGAAAAGAGCTGACATAACACAAACTCGTCGACGAGCGCACGTTCCATCCATGTGGACAACGCGGAGATGTTGTCCCATTGGTCGCGCTGCGCCACCGTGTCACGATCTTGAAAGTACATCGCCACAAAGTGAGCAAACTGCCACGTCAGTGTGGATGGAGGGAGCGACGGTGCCGGCATGAATTGCTACGCACAGAGTCCCGTTACCAAACAAAGTTTCCTCAACGAGACCATCACGTACGAGGCAGCTCAAGTACTCTTTCCATCGCACGGCGCCGCCGTTGCCGCGCTTGATGTCGTCCAGGAGGTCGTCCGGCGATGGCAGCAGAGGAAGAAATCGCTGCACTGTCGTGGCATGCATGTCTTCGAACCCCCCTTCTGGAACTGGGCATGCCAACTTGCCCAGCAGAGTGGACCAGACAACATCGACCACCCGCGGGTACAGCATCTTTCCTTCCACATTCGTGCCATGGGATCCCAGGAAGCGGAGGCTCACCGACAGCCAGCTCAAATAATCTGCGTGGAGCGTGCCGCTCCAGTCTCCTTGAGCATAAAATGCTTGCCGTGCCATGCTTGCGATGGAATGCAATGGCGTGTAGTGGACAAAGAGATGGAGCACCGCGAGCTTTGTCGCGTGCCATCCCGTGGACAGCAGCAGAAGTCTCCAAAACTCGAGCACAGCATGCACATACGTTGGTGGGATTGGGGCCTTCCACGTGGCAGCAATCCCAGCCACGATTTCCACCAAGACGGCGACCGCCGCATTGCTTTCATCACTGGACGTGTGTTTTTCGTCCAATAGCCCTGGGAGACTTGCGAGGAGCTGGCAGAAAATTCGCATGTGGACATGTCCGCCTGTCGCAACGGTGGAGACGCGACGGGCGACTGCCGCAAGCCACGACGCGTCCACAACCGTGTGCGTTTCATCGAGTCGTACCCAACTTTCAAACTTGCGAAGCCACTGAGAAAGAAAGAGTCGTCGCCAGCAAGAGTCGACGACCTGGCGCTGCCAGAACACGAGCTACAATTCAGCATTTGGTGAAAACGACGTGTTCGCCACGGCAGTGTTGGGATCACCTCGGACGCGAGCAGGTGCATGCAGGTGGAATCGGCTTTGCCCGCCATGGCGTCACCGGTCTTATCGATAGCGCGCAAGAACTGCAACGCGAGTTGTATCTTCGACGACATGCATGCGCTGCAAGGCACCGTCGGTGGCGGTTGGACGATTGATGTCGACAGCCGAAACAGGAAAAGCTTGGTGGAAACTGGACCATCTTCGCCAGCATCGCACAATTCACTGTGAGGCTGGGGGGAGTGTGGGAAGCGGCGAGCAAACTCGTCACGGACGAACGATATTCCATGGAGAGCAAACTTCACTCCCCCCTGGCAGCCACCAGTATGAAGACGTGCCTTCCATCCCATGGAGCTTGTACCTCGTAGGCAGCGCGATGCTTTGACGCAAGGATGGATGGTGCACGAAATTTCGCCGGCAGGTCAGCACCCTACCAACAACACCGGTCGTCCCATTCAGCGCGGAAAGACGCCTCCATTAGTGGAGTGAATGAACTCGATGCACCTGGGACGTGTCGTTGGGCGGACTTGAATTGAACAGCAGACACGGACTCGTTGGAAGTTCACGGCGCGCTTCGTCGATCTGGATGGTCCACCGACTCCACAACTCCGCCGGGCCGTGGTTCTTCGCAAATGCTGCTTGGAAGGACGGAATGGCTGTGAGAGCGCTGACCAAGGTCAACAAGTACGCGACGTCTGGGTTGACTTGGATGGCTCGACAAATGACTTGGGCGATCTTTTCCGACCCGATCGACCCTACGTCGTACTGGCGGGCCAGATGCACAATGTACTCGGCCGCTCGGTCCGCCGTCGACCGTGAACATCCTCTGGCTGCGTGCAAATTAACGGACTGCAGTTGGACGAGGAATCCCAGGATGTCCAAGCGCAACTCTAACAGCTTGGGAGTCGTCGACTGGTCGGGTTGAAGGCGCAGTAGAATCTGAAGCACGTCCGTGAGAGAGCTCTCCTTGGCGGCGTTCTGATGCAACTGCGTTCGATCAAGGAGCGCTTGAAGCAGTTCTTCCTCGACATGTTCGTCTTCGGTCTCGCGGCACGATGGAATGTACTTGAGCTTCGATCCGCGAGGCATTGCCATCAAGTCAAACGACTTGGACTGGAGTTTCGACGACGCGTTGCCGAGCGCCACGTCTTTGATTGCTGCGAACCTACGACAAGAGTTACGCCACACGAGAAGCCGCTGCACGCACGGAATGTTCCACGGGTATTTGATGCGCCACACGCTGCCGTCGAGCGAGATTTTTCGTCGGTTCAAGTGGACGTCGATGCTGCACCGTTGAAAGTTGAATTGGATCGTAATGGGACGTTCCTGCATGATGTCGACGTGAATGCCGTCTGCGACCGGATACCCCAACACACGGACGGCCGCGGGAATGGACGTCGTCGGGGTCCAGTGCTCGTTCAATTGCGGGTCCTGGCAAATCTCGCTAATCTTCTCGCCGACGAATAGCATGTACTCGGCCCAGAACGCACGCAGGGTCGGGTAGATGGTCGGGTCCACGTACGCCTTGTGCACTTGGGTGGCGTTTTCGCTCCACTCGATGTACGCAGACCGCCGAATGGGCGAAATCCACCTAGACGTTTTGAATCGGATCGGGAGGTGGGCGACTTGTACGCGCGTTCTATACTTCACCATGATGGACAGTGAAAAGTCCGACGGCCGCCACCACGACGACACTTGCAACATGTTGTGCACAAGCAAGTAAGATCCCATGGGCTGTGTCTCCAGGAACGCTTCGGCGGACTTTGCGTCGGGCGCGATAAACGCCGGGAACGAATGGGTGACGTGGGGATCCAGCACTCCGTTCGAAAGCATCGAGATGACACGAAGACGCCCAGGTCGGCGGATGGACTGCTCCGACATGCTGCGTCGGCTCTAATCGAGGGGTGTCGCCGACGTCAGGTCAATCGAGTCCGTGGAGCGCCCGCTGCCGTCGCCCATCAGGGGTCAAATGAAACCGACTGGGGTCATAAAAAACGGGGAACTTAATGTATCTTGATTAATATATACATTGTGGTGACGAATTTTAATTCCCATGTAACTCCTACACAAACCCAGGCGTGATACAGCAGCGGCATGAGTGTTCCGTGGCCTCGGAACCGCTTCAGCTACGACGTGATCTCGCCAGAGGCGCACGCGTTCGTCGACAAGATCTTTGCTTCTCGCAGCGACCAGCCTCTCATGATGAAGTGGGTGAACCAACACAAGAACAAAGCGACTTTTTCCAAGCGGATTCTTGTGCTATCCAACTACCGACTCATGACGCTCAAGCCCCCTGGTCTCGGCACCAAACTCAAAGTGTCCAAGGATTTGTCGTTCTTGGACTTGTTGAAAATACAAGTCGAGCAGTGTGACTCGTCGACCACCATGAAGGTAAGCGCATGGAGGGGCGCATCGATGAATGGCGTTTAGGCCATCTTTACCGGCGGTCGCATTCTGCACGTCGATCCGGGGATGCACTGCGAAGAAGTCGTACGCATGATTCAGCGCCGGATTCATCAGCTCGCGGACGCGTTTCCTTTGACGAGCCGGCCAAAGGTTTCCAAATTCTTTCGTCGTGCTGCCACCAACGGGTTTCCATGTCTAGTTTGGACTTCCAGCGGCCTTACATTGGGACGAGTACAGCATCGATATGAGCGACAAGGACAAGGTGGTCGAAGCATTCCGTGCATGCTGCGATTATCACTTGGTACCATTTCGTGACGACATCGCGGCTAAGCTCAAGACCGCCATGGACTCAAGTCCATGCATCGTGGACTTCGAACTGTGCATTCTTGGCATGGTAGATGCAGCCACCTCGCCTCGCGCCTCCTCGGACACGGCCACGGCTCTCGCCTTGCTGCGAACTCTTCAGCATTCCTGTCATTTCCACAGGTACGTCAGCGACATCTCGCGCTGGAACTTATCCTGGAACGAAGCGTTGTCGTCCAAGGCTTCCATGTGGGCGACGAAGGCGTCGCAATGGCGTTCCAGGCGCTAGAACAACCGCATTCGGTCGTGAGCACGTACGCCTGCGATGCATCTTCAAAATTGTGTTGGACTCGAGAGGGTCGGCTGTAGCCTTCGCCTCTCCAAAGTCCGCATGTCCCACGCCGGCCTCCAAGCGTTGGAATCCGTGGCCAAGGCAAAGGAGCACATGCCAACAGCATGGTCTTTGACCGCTCTCGATTTGTCGGAAAATTCCAAATGGACCAAGGAGAGCGTGACGGCGCTGGTGTCGGCCATGAAATCGTTTCCCTCGCCGCTACAGGTGCCTCGACCGTAAACGACAACGTCTCCAACGACGTGATATGTCTTGTGATGGCAGGCAGTCAACTTAGCGCAGTGCAGCTTGCCAGAGATCGCGCAGATTGTGACAGTGCTCGATCAACCATCGGTGCGAACGGCCTCTGCTGCACTACGATGTCACGCCATCGTAGTGGACGGCAGCGCTGCAGACACTCAATCTATCCTTCAATCCAATCGATTATGACGTACCAAAGGACATCGATGTGGACGTTGGTTCACTTCTACGCAGGCGACGACGGCCTTGACAGGGTGGTTATCACGAGCCAAGGCCCTCCACCATCTCAACTTGGTAGCGATTGCTTGAGCGGCGGCGCATGGACGACATGATAAATTCCATGGTAGGCAGGGACGGGCATCGACACGTTCCAATTAATCAATGCGTTGAAGCGCAACGTATCGCTGCACAGGTCGTCGTTTGTGGCGTTAGATTTGTCGTACAACATGCTCAAAGCCACCACGGCCGCGGCGTTGGGTGAGGTGCGCGGCATTTTTGGTCCATCCAACATGCTACGAGCGGACTGCTTCATAGATGCTGGGCACTACGCACACACTAGCAGTGCTGGTTCTCCGCAACATGAAGCCAGCCATCGCCGCCACGACTCTGTCGACGATCATGGCGCCGTGGTTTCAGAACCCGCACTTTGTCGTGTCCCAACCAAACCACGAAAGCACTCCACCGCCGTTGCTGACGCTAGATCTGAGCGAAAATAACCTGAGTGACGGTGGGGCGCATGTCCTTGCCGACCTCATCGCTCACTCGCCACGCGTTCGCCGAGACGTGCTCAAACTGAACCAGTGCGCATTGCACGATGATTCGGTACAACGACAACGGGCAAGATTTCCATGATGCGATCGAGGGTAACGTAGGTGGAGGCGATTGTGACGGCGCTGGCGCAATGCGATGCGTTGTCGAGCCTCCACTTGGAAGACAACGACGGGAGGCCGCGACCCAAGTCCATTTTTGCACCGGCCGCACGACTGCGTCTCGCCCCTGGCGACGCGTTCGTCAAGTTGCTCACCAAGCAACGGCATCTCAAGGCAGTATATTTGAGCAACTCGACGTGCGCCGCCATGCAGTACTCCATTGCGGTTCTGCGCGGGGTAGTGCACTCGCTCGGCACGGGCACGTCGTCCGTGGAAATCGTCGACATTTCTGGCAATCGTGGAGGCGACGATGTCGCCAAATGCATCGCGGCCGTGCTGCCCAAGACGCAACGTCTCCGCGCTTTGTTTTGGGATGGCAACCACACGACGTTGGCTGGCTTTCGGCTTGTGCAAGATGCATTGCGCCACAACCGTTCCCTGTGTGTGATGCCTGTGCCTCTTCAAGACACGCGTCGCGTACGTGCGCGATAATGAACGACATTCCAGCGTTGGTCGCATCATGCACGACGCTTTGTAGCTCTTGGAACGCCGCGACCCGCAGCGAGAAGCGCTGTTTGCAGTCCTGGGGTCCATGTGTATGCCAACACAATGAAAATAGAGACCAAACTCACGGAGATGTCACAGGCGAAACCATCGAACGAAACCAAGCGTTTGCGAGTGAAAAGGCCGATCTGGGCAGCGTGGCGTCGTCGGTGATCTTCCGCGAAGACGGCTACGACAAAATGGACGGGATGCGACGGTCGTGGCTGCAGGGCAGTCCGCCCGACTTGCGCCAGAGCTGGTCCCGAGGGATCGACGACCTCACGATGGTTACGCCCACCGGCAACAACTCCACAACGACGACCACCCCAAATACACAGTCGACGCATGAAAGTTAACGCTTGAACGCGATAGATGTCTATGCTAGCCTGCACAAGGACGGTGGTTTGTTTTCGTGACCGCGCCATGGGGACGGCACTCTTGAGTCGACCCATTATTCCTTGTGGAGGTTGCCGGCAAGGAATAATTTATTGAAGCTCTTGCCGGCGTATCGATTGATGTTTTCGCAGTACGTATTCATTTGTTTCGTGATGAGGAGCGCCTCCAAGCGACTTGGCTGGCTCAATGTCTTCAACGCAGTGTTCGGGTCTTCTTCGACGATCACGTCCGGCTCGCCGTTATCGCGACGCGCTTTGTTCTCATCCCGCCGCTTCTGGACCAACTGTTGCTGCTGCGCGCGGTGCTTGGCGACCGCACGTTCGTAGCCCTGGAATTTGTAGTGTTCTTGGGCGAGCTCGTCCGCCCATGCGCTCAAGTTTTGCAGACTGCTCTCAAAGTACCCGTTCGTAGCGAGGTCCAACCGGTCAAACTCCGTGTCGGCCAGTTTCTGCTTGTGCAAGTCGGCCAAGTAGACGTGGACGAGGTCCGAGTTGTTGATGTGGATCGGAATTTCTTCCAACAAGTTGGCCGAACGGATGTCGGCCTTGGAAAATCCTTCCTTTGTGAACACTTGCGACTTGTACTGTTCCAAGAAGGCATTCGTCAGTCGGAACGCCTTGATCGCGAGCGACCCCTTCGTCGTTTCGACTGGGTCGTACACGATGCAGATCGCATTTTGACCAAGGTTTTGCTGGTACTGAAATTGGTACTCGATCGTGGCGGTCGTCGAGAACGTGCCGTTCATGGCGCTCTGGTACCACCCGACCTTGTTGTTGTCCATGTTAACTTCGCGCAAGTTCTTCATCATGTCGATTTGATACTCATCGCTGTCAGCCGAGTATTGCAAGTTCTTGTCCTTGGATGAAGGGGACAACGGCATGTTGGATGGGTGCGCTTGGACCACCGGCGATGGGAAGCTGTTGGTGACTTCGAGGGTGTCGTCGGCTTCCAGACCCAAAAGCGATCCGGCCACCGATCGCGGCAAGCTCTCATGGCAATGCTTGATGATTTGAAGGACGACGAGGCCTTCCAGCTGCACCTTGTCGATGCGCGTTTGCACGAAGTCAGCGGCGTCACTCATGGCGATGAATTCCTCGGCGACCGCGAAAATCGCTTGGTTTCGGGAATGAATGGCTGCATTGGGGGGGCATTTTATTTATTTAGGGTACAATGACGTGCCCTATGTAGTGGCATGCCATTGGGTTTGCAGTTCCAATACCCTATTGCGATATCTCAATACCCTAAATAATAGGTCAGAGGTCAAATACAGTGTATTATAATCAAGCGCAATCACCAAAGACCCAATTACCTTGCATTTTGTATGCATGGGTGCATATATTTGAATTCGAGTCGTGGGAATTCAACCCAACGGGTTGGATTGGTTGGTGGGAACGGCAGCCAGCCAGCCAGCCCGTGGCATGCCATGTAGAGTTCAAATTGAAGTACGATGCCAAAATCCAAGCGCGTTCGAACGAAGCCGCTGACACAGACGAACAAGAAGGGCGCGGAGCTCAAGAAGGGTGTGGTAGAGGCGATTCGCCAGGCTGTGGATGAGTTCGAGACGGTGTACGTGTTTTCGTTTGAAAACATGCGCACGAACCACTTCAAGGTCGTGCGCGCCGATTTCAGCGACAGCCGCTTCTTCTTGGGCAAGAATAAGGTGATGAAGGTCGCGTTGGGCCGCACGCGTGAAGAAGAGTACGCTGACAACTTGTCCAAACTGGCGTCCGACATCTCGGGTGGAGTTGGGCTCCTCATGACCAACAAGTCCAAGGACGAAGTCGTCCAGTACTTCAAAGACTTGTCCGTGGAAGACTATGCCAAGTCGGGCTTTGTCGCAACGGAAACTGTCACAATTCCAGCGGGCCCGCAGCCTCAATTTGTCGGCAGCATGGTGGAATCGCTGCGCCAGTTAGGGCTTCCCATCGACCTCAAGCGCGGCGTGATCGTCCTGAACAACGACCACACGATCTGCAAGGAAGGCGCGACGCTGACGCCGGAGCAAGCCAAGCTGCTCGTGCACTTCGATAAGAAGCTTTCCACGTTTAACGTTGAGTTGCTCAGCCGATGGACGTCGGACGGTGGCAAGTACGAGCGACTGGCGCCCACGAAGGCCAAGAAGGTGTCGAAAGTTGCTGCCAATAACGACGATGAAGAAGACGATGACGAAGACATGGAATAATGTAGGCTCCGAACCTTTTAATGTATGATTTCTTAGCAAGTTTCAATACGATCTGGATCGAAAGTCGTCGCCGTTCACTCGAAACACCATGCCCGCGACACCAAATTCGAACGAGGTCGTGCTGTCTTTTGGAAAACCTAATGGCAGCGATGCATGAAATGCAGCAGAGAAGGTGGACAGTACATCGCACGCCGCCTTCGTTATTGAGCACGTGGAATGTGTTGGCATGGTCGTCCAAGACGATGCCGCTGGCTCCGATGAGGGTCGGACTTGACGATCGAACAACTAGAGCAAGGCGAAGTGAGCACCACGTTGCGAGAGCCATCATGGTACCTCGCAGGCAGCATCCACGAAAGTCAGCTTTGAGCAACTTCGGCCCATAGTAGCATGCAGTAAAGGTGCTCGTGGTCGTGCAGGTGCTTGGGGCAATCTCTGCAAGAAACTCTGTCATGTACATGGTCCAGAGGCGGTGGATCTCTTGAGCATCATCCACACTAGGGACGTCGTCAGATCACGTATCGCTTGGCATTGCAATGTACGTAATGGAGGGAGGTGGGGCATGGAAGCCAAGCTTCCGACGCATTTTCATGCTCATTTTATGGGGGAGCTACAGTGTCACAGAATATGTTGGAGGATATTGCGAGGTTGAATGTATATTTACCCGGACGAGTTGACAGGATGTAGCGGCGGATTGTGCCGTGGGCTTTGCCTTGTGCGGGTTGTCGAGCTGCAAGATCTTGTTTTTCACTTTATCGAGCAGGGACTCGTCTTTGGTATTGCCGGGTGGACGCTGTGACGCGAGCGCAAGTGCAAGCAGTTGCTCTTCCAATTCCTTGAGAGGCGGGCGCGACTTGTCGTTGGCCGTCTTGGTCGTGTACAACAGGCCATCGACTTTGGAATAGAGCGGATTGGGGGCGTCTTTTTGTTTGCGATCGCTTTGCTTGACGGCTTCGCGCGCTTTGGCTTGGTGGTTCAACTTGAGATGGAGGGCACTGTTGGTGGACTTGTTGGCCTTGTTCGCTTTCGGTTGCATCGACTTCTTCGGAGCGCTTTTCGAAGTTGCAGGGACAACCTTGGGCTTCTTCGACGCAAAGGCTGCGTCCAACGAGTCAAGCATGAGCTTGCGCTTGTCCATGGCGGCGCGGCCCTGGCGTCGCAAAGTGCAGATCCGGATAAAACGGGCTGGGTTGGCTTATTTTTGTATAAGGGTTTGTATCCTAGTTTTAATTGTCGCGTACCCGCCCATGTTCCGGATAAAGGATCCAATTCCCTCCAACAGAATTCACTGGTTGGCTCTCTTTGCAACTGTTGAAGGCAGCATTATTGGAGTTCAAGTCGCCGCCACCGCCGCTGCTAGCTCGTCAATCTACGTCGCATCATGGCTCGAAAAGGACCACAAAAGCCTGCTTTGAAGCAACAGCAAAAGCAATCCCCGCAGATGAAAAAGGTGGCAGTTGTTGCTGTGTCTCGAGGGAGCGACGGCGACACCGAGGAAAGTGATGACGCAGACGACGATGAAGACGACGATGACGATGAAGAAGACGATGATGATGAAGAAGACGATGATGATGATGAAGACGGTGACGATGAAGGCGATGACGAAGAAGAAGACGAGGATGACGAAGATGATGATGGGTTCGAAGACCAAGGCTCATCATCCGACGACAACCACAGTGACGATGAAGACGTATCCGACGACGAAAAGACCACTCGCCTCTTTGTTGAATCACGCGAGAAGCAGTTGCAGCGCATGCGCGAGGACGGCTCTTTGAAAGTTGCATCCCACCTGCATATCGACGACTTATCTTCGGACGACGAGGAAGCGCACAACACAATCGGCAACGTGCCTCTTCGCTGGTACGAAGAGTACGACCACATCGGGTACACTGTCGATGGCCAAAAGATTATCAAACAGAACAAGTCGGACGGCATCGACGACGCGATTGCGGCCAAGGACGACCCCAACTACAGGTTCATGCACTTGTGAGAGAATTTCTAACCTTGTTGCAGTCGCACTGTCTACGATGCCTACAACGATCGCAAGGTTGTATTGACGGACCGCGAGTTGGAGATCATCCGGCGCATGCAGTCGGGCGCTTTTGCCCACCCCGAGTTCGACGCTCATGCGGTAACATTGCAATGTCACGACATGGGCGCGTCATGGAACCTCTAGGATTTGGTCGAAGTGTTCACGTCGGAGAAGATGATCCACTCGCTCGGGAACGATCAAGAGCCCAAGAGCCGCTTCGTTCCATCCAAGTGGGAAAAGATGAAGGTGCTCAAGATCATGAAGGGCATTCGAGAAGGCCGCATCCAGGTCGACAAGAAACCAGACGACAAGCCGGACGTGTTCCAGATGTGGTTTGACGACGACCAAGAAGCTGTCGCTCGCAAGGGGCCTGCCCATGTTCAGGCGCCCAAGATGATCCTGCCCGGTCACGCCGAGTCGTACAACCCCCCGGAGGAATATTTATTCACGGAGGAAGAGAAGCGAGCATGGCTCGAAATGGATCCGTCCGACCGCGAGCTTAATTTCATTCCGCAAAAGTTCAACTCGCTCCGCGACGTGTGCGGGTACTCGAACTTTGTTCGCGAACGCTTTGAGCGGTGCTTGGACTTGTACGTCGTCTCGTCCACTATCTACCGTTGAACGTGACGTGTGATGGTCGGACTGTCGTAGATATCTCTGCCCGCGTGTCAACAAGCGTCGACTAAACATCGATCCCGAAAGTCTCGTACCACAGCTGCCGAAACCCCGCGACCTCCGGCCCTTCCCCAACACGCTCGCGCTTCTCTTCAATGGCCACACTGGTCGCGTCCGGTCTCTGTCGATGGATCCGTTGGGCCAGTACTTGGTCTCGGGGTCGGAAGATCACACGGTGCGCCTGTGGGAAGTTGAAACGGGCCGGTGTTTGCACACATGGAATGTTGGCGCAGTCGTGATCAAGGTCGAGTGGTGCCCGAACAAGGATCATCACGTTGTCGCGGTCGCGGCCTCCAAGAAGATGCTGCTCCTTGCGACTGGCACTGGAAACGGCGACGAAACGGACATCACCAACGCCTTGTTTGATGGCGACGAATCCAACTCGGACCCGCTTGCAGACGTCGACGTGGAAGAGGAAGATCCTTCCGTGACGGTGGTCGACACCGCCGAAGCCGACATTGACGATGCCGCCCGCAAGGCCCGAATGCCAGTCAAGTGGACGTATCATGCAGGCAAGGGCCGCAACGGTCGCGGCGTGCGCGCGGTGTTGCATCACAGCGGGGCCGTCACGGACGTGGCATGGCACTACAAGGGCGACTACCTCGCGACGGTCGTTCCCGCAGCCGACTCGTCGTCCGTGCTGATCCATCAATTGTCCAAGCGGACATCGCAGAACCCGTTCTCGAAGAAACTCGGTGTCATCCAGGCCGTGTCATTCCATCCGACCAAGCCGTTTTTCTTCCTCGCGACGCAGACGCATGTTCGCGTGTACAACTTGGTCCAGCAAGCAATGGTGAAGAAGCTCAGCAGCGGCGTGAAGTGGATCTCGTGCCTGCATGTCCACCCAACGGGCGACCACGTCGTCGTGGGCAGCTACGATCGTCGTCTGTGCTGGTTTGACTTGGATCTGAGCTCGACGCCGTTCAAGACGCTCAAGTACCACGAAAAGGCCACTCGCGCCGTTGGCTTCCACAAGAGGTATGTTGCTCTGTCTTGGGAACGAATTGCACGTTGGTGACCGGGTGTGGCGTAGATATCCGTTGATGGCGTCTGCATCCGATGACGGCACGATCCACATCTTCCACGCGATGGTGTACTCGGACCTGATCAAGAACCCGCTCATTGTCCCGCTCAAGATCTTGCGTGGCCACGAAGTCACGGGCGGCCTGGGAGTCATGGCCCTCGCGTTCCACCCCACCTTGGTGCGTGCTTGTCGTGGCTGGATGATGATGTAGCTAACTCTCTTGTAGCCTTGGATTGCAAGCGGCGGTGCGGACAATACGATTCGTGTCTTCCAGAATATTCACTAACACTGGCCTAATGGTATTATGTACTCGATGTCGATGGGGTCCGATCGAAGGAGGATTGAGTAGAGACAAACATGGAATTTCAATGAAGAGCAAACATCGTCGCTGCGGTCGACGCACCACGACTACCAACACACACGCAGCAACCACTCTACTTCTTAGAGCTCAGGCCAGGGATGCGAAACCAACTCCGGCCCGCGGGTTTCTTCTGTTCTTGGTCTTCCCCTTGGTTGTCGGCTCGTCGTACAACCTTCTTGTCAAAGTTTTCTGGCTGGTACAGCGTTCCGTGCGTCGGCTCGCCGTTGTCGTCCAGGAGACTGGACCCGTCAACCTTGCCCTTGCCCTCCAATTCAGTTTCACCGAAAAGACTAGACGGCTTCTTCTTGCCAAAACCAACCATGTTTCTCTGCGGATAAGCGGCGGGTGACGACGGGAGGCTTCTCGAAGTCCCGACGAACTGGCGACTTGGAAAATGGCACAGGATGTCGTCATGGCACGTTCTGATTGGCTGCCGTGAGTCAGCTGGGCCGCCGTCCATCAATCGGGAACGAAACGTCAATATATTGGGAAAATATTTGAGGTTTCCACGAACTTGGTCGAGAAAAACCATGCACCGAGTAGTAGTTCTACGTGATATTTTGACCGATATTATGTGTATTGGAATGTATCTCATAGATGAGGAAAAATCTGAAGTTGGGGCAATTATCCGTACATCCAAGACAGGCAGACCGTCCTTTGCCGTGCGAAGTCACATGGACTCCCGAGAAGGGCGAGATATCTCAACGACACCATCGATTTGTACTCCCCAAGGTCGTGGTATCGATCCCTGGCGCCAGCGGAGGCTCTCAGCCATGGCTGTCTTCACATTCCCATGCGGAATCTGGCCATCAAGGACAGCGTAGGACAATTGATTCATCCAAGAACAGCCAAGCGCACAGTGCAAGCATGCATGGGAACCATGCAAACATGAAAGATTGCACTCGCCCCAGATGCGATCCTTGGAAGGGGGTTGGCATAGTTGGAATACGGCCCTCTGAGTAGGGTCCTCCAAAACATCAGTAGAATCCAAAGGCTTGTCACGACCAGAATGCCCGACTTCCATGCACCACTAGCCGCACGATGCAAATTGGATGGCAAGAAAAGGGGGGGTGCGGGGTGTCCCTTTGCGCTACTTGGTTGCCTTTGGCCACCAGGTGAATCCAAAACGGACGACCCCTTGCTGGGAATGCATCGTGCTCTCGTCTTGTTTCAGCTCGTTCGATCTGGTTGAACTTTGCTGTCCGACTGTGCCGGGTGTGGCGCCTTGTCAATTCTGGGGAAGGTCAAGCTGCAGATGGAATTTGCTTCGTTGGTCAGGTGGACACTGCAGGTGGTACGACGAAGGGGTGACGTGCCGTAGCTCCGCTGGCCACAGCGTCTTGGTTTGATGTGTTCATTCATCGGGACGAGCGGCGTCACGCAGACACTGCGAGGGGATGGAAGGGCAGTTACGGCGGTTTTTTTTCGTCATGATCGAGGGGCCGTTTTGGCTTGGCTAAATGCAGAACGAGTTTTCAATCTCGCGCGTGGTTGCGAGCTCCACGTGATCACGTTGCCCGAGGACGCTGGGAGCATGTCCGACAAGCCAGCGACTGCTCCGCACACAGACCACGTGGTTGCACCTGACGCATCGGTGACGGCACCGGAGGAACGCCCCACCTCAGCGATCGCCGCCTCCGACGACATTCGTGCTGCAATCGATGATACCAATGATGCTGCTGCGCGTGCTGTCGAAGGTGCGAACGACACGACTGACGTCGTGTTGGAAGAAGGACCCGTTTCGGCGGCTCGCGCGTCCAACCAAGACGACGTCTCGACGACTGCACCCAGGCCACACGAGCTCTCGATTGCCATCCCAGACGATTTGGAAGCGTGCATGAACGATTGCACGTCGCCCGGCCACGATGCCCAATTGGCGGGGTACCCGCCCGACTGCGGGACGAAGCGAGTCAAGTACTTGTCGTATGCCAAATGCCGTCGCGACCGCGGGTTGACGCATCCCATGTGCTACTCCCAGACCGAGAAGGACCGCATGGGCCATGCGGTGCCCAAGACGTATCCCGTGATCGCGACGGACTTTGGGGCGCATTCGTTCCACACACTTCCGACCGACTCGCACGTCCTGAGCAAGTACGGCATCGGGATCAGTCTCTACTTCAAATTCTTGGTACGTCGATGACTTGCACGAGGTACCGACGTCAGTGACGGCGTCGTGTAGAAAGTCATGTCGTGGCTGTTCTTGATCATGTTCATCATCAGTCTGCCGTCCATGGCGATTTACGTCATCTGCGGCAGCGGCAGTACGGACGCGATCAAGTTGCAGCTGCAAAAGAACCCGCTCGCGATTCTTGGCATGACGAGCATGGGCCACTTGGGCGAGTCCGAAAAGGTCTGCGCGCAGGCCAAGTATGGCGAAACCCTCACGTTGACCTGTCCATACGGCGAAATCGGTCGCATCGAGGTGGGATTTCGTTCCAATCAGTCCGCCACGATGGACGCCTGACGGATGGGATAGGCGTCGTATTCGCTGCATGATAGTCAAGGGACGTGCTCGTGTCCTACGGCGTACCAAACGAGCTCGAATGGCGTATGCCGCGGGACAGTCGACACCACCACGTCGTCTTGTCCGTCGTCCGGGGCCCCATGCTACCTCGGGGCGTTTCCATCGGCGGGCGACTCATGCTGTGGCTACACCAAAGACCCCGTCACGGGCGCCGGCGAGTTTCCTGAACTGGCCGTGAAGAGCGCGCCCGGGTGCTCCAGTCCATCCGTGGTGCCCATCTTGAACGGACTGTGCCTCGGACAGCAATCGTGCTCGCTGGCCGTCGACGACTCGGAGCTGTACTTGTGGAAAGTCGACAAGACGTACAACACAGTGTGCACCGACCGTAGCAGCCCCCTCTTTTGCCAAGCTCGGCTTTCCGACCAAATGGCGACGGCCACATGCCCAAACGCGACTCGCGGCGACCGCGGCATCATTGCGCAGGCGCAGTGCCTGACGACCAAGATTGACGTGTCGGATTCGTGGGCGTTCAAGATCATGGGGTGGAACGAAGTCACGGTAGGCTTTCCCCTCGCGCTGCCCCGTCACCGCGCTGCTCTTGTTGCTGGTAGCGCCAAAATTTTGTCGGCATGGCGTGTGGTCTCGACATTGTGTATTCGGTTGTGTTCATCCTGGTCGTGGTTTGGATGAAAAGACAAGAAAAGGCGGCGAATTCACAGATCCTGGCCGATCGACTGAGCGTAGACAATTACACGGTGCAGCTCATGCACTTGCCGCGCCACACGGACGTGCCCAAGCTCGCCGAAGACGTATGTAGTAGATGCTATGTGGCCGGCTCGCGGTCGTGGGCTCATGGATGGCCGTCGCGTAGTTGAAAGCCCACCTGGAGACGGTGCTGAGTGCCAAACCGCCCGTGTACAAGGACAGCGTCAAGGCCATTCGCGTCGCCGACGTCAACTTTGGCTTGACGAATGCGATGCAGATCAGCTTGATGCGGAAGCGCGGCGAAGTCGCGGCCAAGCTGGACGTGGCGCTGCAACGAATTGCCAAATTTAAAAAGTTACAGCCGGGTCAAAAGCCAGGCAACAGCCACGAAATGGACGCCAAGACGTTCGACAAGCGCATGGAGAAGCTCCTCAAGGCGTCGAACGCGTTGGGGGACCAGTTCACCAACTACGACAAGCGGTTGGACGAGTGGGAGAAGAAAAACAAGGGCAAGGGGCTGGTCGCCGTCACGGCGTACATCACGTTCGAAGAAGAGGAGGGGTACCTTCGCTGCCTGCGCGAGTACCCGAACCTGGGGCTCCTGCACCGCCTGTTCCAGCCGTACCACAAACGATTCCTAAAGAAGCGCATGTTCATCCAGACCGCGCCGGACCCGACCGACATCATTTGGGAAAACCTGGACTACACCGCCATGAATCGGGGTTTCCGCGTCGTCGTCGTCAACATCTTGGCGCTGTCGCTGCTGTGTTTGAGTTTCATCATCATTTACGCCGCCAAGGTCAAGAAAAACGAGCTCACGCAAAAGTACGGCGCCCCCGTGTCCTGTCCGGACGGCGGAGTTACGGCGTGGGATGTTGTCCAGGAGCAAACGAGCAATTCGGGCGACCAAACGATGGTCATGTGCTATTGCAAGGCCGCGTTGCTGCGGACGTCGCTCAAGGACGCGATGAACATCAACTTTGTCGACCACCGCACCGGCACGAGTGCCAAATACTGCGATTCGTGGGGCACGCAGTACTTGGAAATTCAAGCGCTGATGGTGGCGTCTGTCCTGATCGTCGTCGTCATCAATGCGTGCTTGACGCCGGTCCTGCGGTACCTCGTGCTCAAGCAAAAGAGCCACACGCGATCGGGCGTCGTAGTCGCGACGGTGACTAAAATTTTCATTGCGCAGTTCTTCAACACGGCGTTGATTGTGCTGCTGCTCAACGCCAACATGGACGACGTACGCGCAGTGGTGGGCTGCTCCGTTGCAGCTCTCTGACCCGCTTGTAGGTGATGGACAACAGCGCTGGCGCATCCATCAACGGGATCAAGATCTTTACGGGCAAGTATTCCGACTTTTCCGTGAGTTGGTACAACGATGTTGGGATTTCCCTCATGCTGACCATGATCATCAACATGGTGTCACCCCACGCGGGCGTGTTCATCACGTACGTGGTCCTGGAGATCAAGCGGTTTGCCGACCGCAGCTTCTCCTTTGACTGGACCATCACCCACCAAGAAACGCAGCGAGATTTGGAGGCGCTGTACCGCGGCCCCGAGTTCGACTTGGCGAGTCGGTACTCGGTTGTGATCAACACGATCTTCATTACGCTCCTGGTATGGTCTACTGTGTCATTGCGAGTGTCGTCGAGACTGACGGCCGCTGTCTAGTTCTCGAGCGGCATGCCGCTCATGCTCTTGATCGGTCTCTTCTCCATGATCATCACGTACTGGACAGACAAATTCAGTACGGTGACACTTCCCGTCCTCGCAAACGAAGCAATGCTCACGCACCTTTCTTTCTCTAGCGTTTTTACGTGTTGTGCGGTCGCCGCCGCAGTACGACGGCAAGATCGCGGGGGCGGCTGGCAGCCTCCTTCCATGGGCCATTCTCCTCCACACGTTGTTTGGCATTTGGATGTACTCGAACACGCAGATCTTTGACAAGATGACAACGCAGCTGTCGGCGCTCGGGTCCCTCAACGCCGAGCTCGAACGCGGCGGTCGCATTGTTGCGCGCGCCATCACGATGCCCTCCGAAGTCATGTTTGGTTTGCTTGTTGCGATCGCTGCCCTCGCGCTACTCCGTGTCATCGTGTTTCGGTACTTTGCATCTGCGCTGCGCTCGGTCTTTCCCATTTGCGTCCGCATGTTGAAGAAGGAGAAACGTCCTCGCAATTTGCCCAACTACTTTGACGCGATCCCGACACACGTGCTCAAGGAAAGCCTCGCGACGAAGACGCTCAAACCGCACCTGCGTGAATCGTACAACGCCGCCCTCGTTCGACGAGGGATGTCTTCGTCGCTCGAGGAAGCAGACACGGCGCCGCATTCGGGCGTCGTGCTCGAGGGATGCCACTCGTACGACATCATGGTGAATGCATACTACAAAGACGCGTTCGGAGGCGGCGCCTTTCATCGGTCGTTGTGATGCTGCCGCCGCCCGATGGATTTACTAGTTTACATGTTCCGACCCAAATACAAGTGTGGGGCTTTTTCTTTGATGGAAGCGTATCCATGTGAATGGCCTCCAGCGCCGCCTTCCCCACTCTGCACCGCACCTTCAACACGAAAGTTGCCAGCATTTCGACCATCAAACTCTGTTGAGCGACGTGTACGGCGTCGATGCGGCACGCCGAACGATGAGGTTCGACCTCCGCCGTTAATCTTGTCTACTTCGCATACAAACGGAATCGGGAGTCACTACCCTCCTAGATGCATACAGATGCAGTCAACGACGTCTTCAAGCGCAACGTATCAAGTCCAGGTTGCAACGCCATGGGCAGGCCAAGCCTCGATGGTTGCATTCGACAAGGACGACGCGCACGTGGCGTTGTAGAATAAAATAATGAATTCTGTCGTCATTTCGACGTAGCTCGGACGATTGTTTGGGCTTCAATCGGGGCACCTTCCGAGAACGCAAAGCCTGTTTGGTTGCGGATCATGCGAGGGCTTACGTGCACTGTCTCGTCGCGGTACGCTTCGTCTGTCGGCATTTTATTCCACTCCCGCATCAAGTGCGACGGCTCGGGGTAAAACAGGACGCGGCCGGCGCGCAGGATGAAGTTGGGGAGGACGGCAACAACGCCAGTCATGACCATGCCGAGCCAGAACCACGCCTCGCCACTCAGTTGCTGAAACACATTGGTGGCTTCGTAAATTTCCAAAACGTCCACGTCAAAGATGCTGTACGCCGACGAGAAGAACCACATGAAGACAAAGTAAAACACCAACGTCCCGTACACCCCCACAACGTTTGGCATGGTCCAGTTGCTCGTGAGCAGCGAAATTTGAAACGTCGACGACACAATCAGGTATGTGTACGACGCCACGCCATCCGCCCACAGCCCAAGCGGCTGGCCATGGAACACAGCAACATCGGTCTCGTCGTCCGTGAACCAGTTGAAGAAATAGCCGTCGCACGTGAAAGGAACGCTGCTGACGGCGTACGCATGCCAAATACCCAAGCTGCACCACCCGAGAAAGCTCGACATGTTGAACGACCGGTTGTCCAGTCCATTGTGGTAGAGTGTCGGGTATTGCATCAGCGCGGCCGGACTGACGTCTTGGTTGTACATGGCAAGGACCACGATCGGAATCGTCGAAAACAGTGCGTTGTAGAGAGTAAAGAGGATGCTGAAGTACATGAGGAGGCCGCTGTAGAGTGTCTGCGGCGCCATGAAGAAACCAGTGAACGACAACGCAATGTTCTTCATAAACGAGAACAGCAGCAGCTTCGACACGCGCTTGTAGCTGTAATTCCCGTGCACGAGCACCAACCGTTTGAGGAATCGAAACTGGGCAAACGCGTAGTCGCTTGACAGCACGGCCTGGCGCCCTTCCTTGCCGCTGATCCCGACACCGACGCTTGCCGCTTGGATCATCGGAACATCGTTCGCGCCATCGCCGATTGCAAGACTGACGTTTCCAGGTGTCCAGAGCAATGTTGGCTCGGTCACGAGTCGAACGACGGCGGCCTTTTGCGACGGCGAACACCGACAACACACGACCGACTTGCACTGCTGCGCCACGGCGAGAAATAGGTACTTGATGTCGTTATCCAGCACAAGCGCCAGCGTCTTGCCGTCAATTACCATGGCGTACTCGATCGTGTCGTCTTCGATCGTGTCTTCCGTGGACGGGTTGTTGTGGATGGGGACAGACACGGGCTCAAAATCTTTCGAGAATGGATCGACCGCCGTCGATACGCTGCTGATCGAGCTCACGTTGGCTTCGTGGTGTGGATACACATCCATATTGATGTTGTTCGCGTCGCTGTTCGGTCGCCGTTTTCGATGACGCTTCTTGGGCAGGATGCGGTACTTGCCCGAAAGCATCGACAGGAAATAGTTCATCCCCATGACGCACACGCGTTTGAGGGTCTGGAAGATGACGACCGAGATCGCGTCGTCCTTCTTCGTGCCCCACTTGTCCTCGACCATGTGTGAGTACAGTTCTTCCAGGGTTTCTGTCAACTGGTCCTTGTTTTTGCTGTCTAGCACGATCACGTCCATCGAGTCGTCAATCACTTCCGACGACATCCCAACACTGATCGCTGTCTCTTTTTTGTCGCCGGTCAGGACCCAAAAGTTGATCCCTGCTTTTCGCAACGACGTGATGCACTCGCCCACTCCTTCCTGGAGCAAATCTTCGATTGCGGTCGCTCCAAGCAAACGAAACCCACACTCGACGAGCTCTGCGGCAGCGGCGAGCTTGCCTTTGTCCATCGACGCTTCCGCGTCGTCGTAGATGACCTTCCACGCAGTGTACTCTTCCAGAGGAATCTCGCGCATAGCAGTGGTCAGTGTTCGCAGCCCTTGCGACGCATAGTCCTGCAAATGGCCTTTCGTCACGTGGAGCACGCCTTGGGGTTGGCCAGGGTCGAGCCGGTCGAAGATCACGTCGTCTGCCCCCTTGCAATAGATGTTGATCCGTCCTGACGGGGTGCGACAGATCACCGACATGCGCTTGCGGTCGCTGTTGAACTCGATCACGTGGAGGATATCAAATTCGGCTGGGACGCCTTGAATCGAGACCTCGCACTTGGATCCGCTGCGACTTTTGAGGCAGTACGTGAGATCGTGCGCAGCAAGGCATAGCGCTTGCTCGTCGGGAGAAGCTGCTTGGTACCGAACCTCTCCGTTCTCCATTTGCGGCATCGCAGTATTGCACACCATCAAGAGTGTCAGGAACTCGTGGATGTTGTGGGCCGATCCGTGCTTGTTGTTGAGGCGATGCAAGAGGCGGGAGTCGTTGAACCGCGTTCCAGGGCGAGCGGACTACAAACGTGATCAACCGAACGCGACGACGCTGTGCACTCACCTTGTCCAAGTCCAAGTCGTTGTACTTGAGCCCAGCAACGGTGCACTTTGCAAACACCATTTCGTTCCGCGTGAGAGTGCCAGTTTTATCGGAAAAGATGTACTGGATCTGGCCCAAGTCTTCGTTGATGTTACTGTTGCGCGCTTCCGCCGGCATGTCGGACACCGGGTCGTACATGGCCAAGTCGCTCTCGATGTACCGCGCGTGAACAAATCGGATTCCTTCCATCGTCACATACATGGACAGCGGGATCAAGTTGTTGAACAGGATCACGTAGCTCAGGAAGATGTAGTCGGACTTCTTCGACTCTTTTGTTACGACCGCGACGCCGTCGAGGTAGTCTGGGTAAATTGACGCCAGCGTCGAGTTGGTTGTGCTCCACCGCCGGTTGCCAAGGGAGCAGTACAGCGAAATTGTAAACAGCACAACCAGCACAATGACAAACATGTTGTCCAACGACTGCTCGACGAGGCTTCGCTTGTTCTTCTTAACTCCGTCCGACGCGTTCAGAGCAATTTTGGTCTCCGGTCCCGTGTACAAAACAAGCGCGACAGTCCACTCGGAACTCACGAGGTCGCACCCCCGCAGGAGGAGGTTGTCGATGGATGCCGGGAGGTATTCGCTGTTGATGTCGACGTACCCACTCCACTCAAACATGTTTTTGTTCGGGGCATCGCACGATACCGTTACGTTGAGCGACTGGAGCTGTTTCGGGCTCGCAAATCGGTTCGTCGTCAGCGCTTGGCGGATCTTCATGTTGGTTTCGCCGTCCAAGTTGGCTGTTTGGACGTAGCACATACCGCTCTTGTTGTCGGTGGCGAGGACAAGGCAGTCTGCCGGCACTTCGTCGCCTTCCTTGAGCACGAGCAAATCGCCGACGACAACGTCCTTCCAACTCCGGACAATGCCGTCGTCGATCGTGTCGTTTTGGCGGAGAATGCGGACGGGTTTCGAGTTTACCTTAAAGTCGGACTTATGACGGCGCAAATCTTCCGACACGTCCTTGATGGCGGCCGTCGTGAACACGATTAGAAGCGGAATGAGGCTCGCCTCCGGCCCAACAGGAGAGAAACTGAAAAAACACAGCGTCACAACAATGCACGTGTACACGTTGGCGAGACGGCTGAATTGCATCTTGAAGAACACAAAGACGAAGTTCCATAGCGTGTACTTGCTCGTTCGAATGGTGTTGGCCGTGAACTTGGGATTCGCGCCACCCAGGGACACGCTTCGCTTCGGCGGGGGCTCTGCAACACATCGGAGTGCCGTGAGAAGAAGACCAAGATGCAATGTGTTAACAAAGGCGGACAAAGGAAGAAGGGGGCGCACCATTCATGTCAACCTTGGACACCTTAGGCTCCGCAACAAGCGCTGCCCGTTCACATTCGCGTTGGTTCACGACCGAGTTTACAACGCGGCGCAGTTTCCACCCGTACAGGAGCCCCGTGATGTTGCATGCAAACACAACCACGGACAGCACGAGGTGGATCCAGTATGCTGTCTCCTTGGACAAGTTTTCTTCTTCGTCCGCGCCACCGGTGGACGTCGGAGATCCGTTCCACCCGAGGGCATACCACAGGACATCCACGACGATGCTGACTTGCATGCCGATTTTGTAGAGGAGAAGAGACCTTGGTACCAAGTGATTGCACCCGTGCCAGCCGAAGATGAGGGTGAGGTACTAGATGAAGCATGGTCCACATGAGTCCATTCGACGTATCGTGCGGGCCAGGGCAACCTTACCATGATGAATACTGGAACTGTTGATCGAAACGAATAGCCCAGTAGAATCGGGAGAAATCGAATTGTGCACAGCGCTCCTTGCCAAATGATGACGAATTTCAACACCTTCCGCGCTTCGTACAACGTCGTCTTTTTTAGAAAGCACAAGACGCTCTCAAGCGCGCGAAACACGCGGATCTCGAGGGTATCAGCTTCAGTTTGGGCTTTGTCCACGTAAATCCTACAGCGACAGCGTCAAGTCACATGCATCCAGCGAAGTCCGTACTGTTCGTTCCGATATCGTAATGCAATGTCTTCTCGGACTGCCGGCGGCAGTTCAATCTCCAATTCCACTTTTTCCGAGCAGCTATGTGAGTGCTCGTTGCCACTTGGCGATGGAGTGCGCACAGTTTGGTATCCATTCCCCGCGGCCTTGGCGTCCTCGACGGCGTCCATCCTGCTACGCCCGGCCGCTTTGGTGCCGACTGAACGGAAACTGCTTTGCCCGTATTGAATTGTGTTGACCAATCACGTGCGATTGCAATTGGTTGAAATCGCACTTATTTGAGCGATTCGAAAAACAAACCAAACAACGTCTCACCACAATCCACGTGTCAATTGCCGAAGTGAACATAATATTTGAGCGAAAATCCCTGGTCTCCCGTTGAAACTTTGGATCCTTTCGGCACTTCGTAAGTGTGTGCCTTGACGTTTCTTCAGTAAGTCAGCATGAGTTGACAACACGTTCCACGTCTGCACTGTCCATTGTCCGCTAGCACTACTATGACCAGATGGAACTGTATTGGAGTAGAGAGGTGAGAGTTGCAAATTAGGATTTTGCGCTGAATTTTAGCCAATCAAAATAGGTTATTCGGCGGTGAAAGCACCCATTGGTCTATTCAATGGAAAGTGTATGGTAGTTTTGTTGGAATCGAAATATAAGAGAATTTGACTTCACTGGCAGAATGTACTGGAAAATCAAAATATGTCCTTCTGATTGGATGAAATCAAATCATATTTTGAATCCAACAGCCAATAGAATTTTTCTAACGACTCTGATTCGTGAGTTCACCATTGTGCTACTACTATTCATTCGATTGTCACGTTTGATACAAATATATCCATCTACTATAGTATGTTCATTGATATTCTTTGCCGCATATATAACTCAAGGCCTCTGTATACACCAATTCGACAGAGAGAATTATAAAAAGCGTATTGAACATTCTTCGGTTATAACTCAAGGTATTGGCAAATTCGGACTCTGCCTTTAGCGCCATTGGAGAGCCATGAAAATTCTCTATTCAAAGTGCATCTATCCTTCATCCAATTCGCATTAGGTCATGAGATATGTAGACAAAAACATGTCCACACCCAACAAACTAAACCGGGGAGAGGCGGGAAGTAGTTTAGTATATCGCTGTTACATAGTCTACTTGACCGTACCCAATAATCAACGTTATGCATCCGAGCAGGGGATGGGCGGGTACAAGCGCGGCGCAGTCGGAATGACTGGTGCGCCGTCTCGAACAGCGCAGCAAGAATTCGGAGTAGAGTTGCTCATGTCAAAGGCTGCAACTACGTCAATGATAACATGCCCTTCAAGAGTACCTTCGTCACCCTCTTGCGTACGACATGTACCCCCTTCGACTCCTCGCAAACGCCGCGGCATTCTCGATGTTGACTTTGCAACCCTGCCCCGACTGAATTGCGCCATTATAAAAATATATTGTCATGCACATTGTATCTACAATGAACTTCGATCCATGTCGAGAAACGTTGGCAGATGGAAAGCAAGCAGAGTCTCACCGCGCCAAGGCTCCAAGGTACAATGGGATTGAAAAAGATATGCCGGCCCCATCGATGAAGTTGTGCAGAGCCAATGCAAGCCTACTCCTCACTTCAGCCGTACATGGTGGATGCCAAATTGCGAAGTCTTGTCGTCGCGAGCGTACATCCGTTTGCACGCAGGATCTGTCGCTGCCTCGCGCAAGGGCTTCAGCGGCGTTTCCATGCGCCACGAATATGTTTATGAATTTTGCGCCCCAAATGCTCGCCTCTGATTGGTTCATTTTTATCCCCTAAAGTTTGCCCAAGGATACATAATAAGAGGAACCTGCGGCAGCTAGGACCATCCGGCCTGTCCGTCCACGAGCATGGGCAACGAGCAGTCGACAGTACCCCGCCAGCAGACATCTATCCATCGATCTACTTCGACCGGGGGCTCTACCGACAGGCGACAACGATCGCCGGACCACTACGCAGGTCTCCCATTTGTCGTCTGGAATGGCCAGCACCATTTTGCCGAGCCTTCCAGTTACAAGTACAGCAGCAGAGCGTCCCAGGTGCGTGTATACTGCGGTCGCGTTAACTTGATTCACTGGTCTTGACGATACACGTCCTAGATCCAAGGTCATCCTGTGTTTGTGGATCCCATCAAGGCAGACGACGAACTCCGAAACGCTGATGCATTACTCGGCAACATTGCCATCGTCGAACGCGGGGGAAGGCTGCACTTTCCAGATATAATTCGTCGATTGCTAAAAGCAGGTGTCACGGGATGCATCTTCATCGAGCGAGAACATTACTTTGGCCCGAAGCTGTTGTTCGAGGGTTTCCACTCGTCGGGTCGGCAGTCCGTGGACATTCCGATCGTCCGCCTTTCCAAACATCACGCCGACCAATTTCTCGCAAAGAAGCCGTCCAAGGTTGTCATTGAGTTCTTGCGAGGGCAGGCGGCGCTGGACAAGCTCGTGGACGACGACATCCCGTTTGGTGTGGCAACAGCGTCCCGTCTGGGAGACACAATCAGCTTGCGCGCACTGCTCATGACTGCCCAAGAAAAATTCTCGATCAAGGTGCGTGTCGCGAACCGCTGAGGATATCCCAGACCTTACAAGCCATGTAGGACATTCCGTTGTCGAATGCCCTCTGCGATGCCGCCGAAAACGGACATGTGGACTGCATTGAAGTGCTGCACGCCTGTGGAGTATCTCTAAACGAGCACAAGGTGAAAAAATACGTAGATGCAGTTGTCTAACGATTTCGAGCTCACGATGGCGTCATTGCTAGCCCAACGGCACAACTCCCCTCATGGTGGCTTGTTCTGTGGACAACATCGAAGTTGCCCGCGCCCTCGTCATGTTTGGAGCCAACATCGATGCTGAGGACGTGTGTGAATCGAATGTTTCCAGTTTGAATTGGACCTGAACGGCTAGGTGCATGACCACACTGCGCTCATGATTGCGGCAAGAGACGGTGCTGACGCGTGTGTCAAGTACTTGATTCGTAAGGGCTGCTGCATCAACTTGTCTCGCAATCGAGTACGGTCTACGCACCTCCATGGGATGTCGTGATGGATGGCTCAAGTAGAAACGAGGAACGACAGCGGTGCACAATGCTGCGCGAAGCGGCTACGTCGACTGCTTGGCGACGCTGATTGAGGCCAAGGCCGACTTGGACGTTCCCAGTGTAAGTCTCAAGCAGTGGCATTTGAAGATTGTGGGATGAGTTTCTCTCATCTCGCAGGCCAACTCGACGACGGCGTTGATGGAAGCCGCCCGTGCGGGTAAATTAGGTGCAGTGACACTGCTCGCGGATGCTGGAGCAAGCTTGGGAGCGAAAGATGTACGGTGCCCACCACGTGTTGCTCAAGTTGATGGTCCACTGTTTTGTCTAGCGAGAGGGAAATACTGCAGAAACCATTGCAGCCCACGCTGGCCATCAAGCAGTCGAAGATTTTCTGCACGAACGAGCTGAAAGCGTATTGTTTTTCGAACCTTGGCAAAGTGGCTGATGTGGCCTTGTAGGAATCTGTAAAAGATCAGCGGCGCCTCATTGAAGAAGCCGTGGGCAATCCAGCCTTTACCATCATGGATTTGATTCGGTTGGCGGACACAGAGGGCGTTGGAATTGACATTCTGAAGCGAGAAGTCATGCGAAACCCGAAAACCATCGCGTGGCTCGAGGAACCTCGCGTGATATACGACGTGCTTGGGCACATCACAGCGCCCCCTTCCACGACAATAGATCCTGTTTATGGACCGTACAAAGCGCAACATTTTTGCAGCGAAATTGCTTTGTGGTACAACATCCACGTGTTTGAAAAACTCGGCAAGATTGACCACGGAACTTGCGTCGGGTATTTCAAAGTCCTGTTCAACTTCTTGTGTCGAAGCGGCGTGTTGGACGAAGTGCTCGTGGTCCTGTTTTGCAAAGTCGTCAACTTTTACGTGAACAATCGGTACCTCGGGCCAGCCATGCTCTACTTTTTGGGTACGGAAAGCAACCACATTGTGCCGTGGCTCGTGTGTCATATCGGCCTCGATTCTATCCGTGATACGGTCGTGTGGATCCTGTACTCGGACTTGTCGAAGGAAGGCCAGGCATTTCTTGTCCAGAGCGGTCTCTTCGCCTGCATGTTTGATCGACTGTACTCGTGGCAACGAACACTCAGCTGGGGAGTTGGCACCCCCTACCAACGTGACTCTGTCGAGAATATTTGCTCGCTGCTCAAGTACATCATCTTCCCTCCCTCTGTGTGCGACCCCGTCGTGTTCGTTGAGAACAACGACTTTTCACTGCCCCTCATTACGGCACGTACACCGACGGGCCTTCAAAACGAGCTGCTGCGGACGCTTCTGTCGCACTTGTGTCGGTCCGACAATGCGCTTCAAGTGTTCTTGGACTTGGGGTGTGCTGAACTCGCGCGGCAAGTCAACGACCAGTGCGTGAAACTTCCTTTGGAAGAGGGAGGCGCGCTGTCTGTCCTGATGATGCTCATGAGCACGCTGGGTTACCACAAGAAAAAGCGCGACATTGCAACTGTGGAAGGCTTGATTCGGGATGTCCAGAGCGACCTGACCGCGATTTTGGTGCCACGCGTGGCGTCGATTGTGGTCCTCTGCAAGAATTTTGTCGCTAAAAAGGGCAAGACTGGCAACACGCTTCTCTGCGTCGTGACATTTCTCAAGCGGTGCATTTTCCTCCAACACAGCGGCCTGAACGCGGCGTTAGCGTCGGCGGGATGCATGCCCGTTCTCATGTCGTGCTTTGAATCGAACCCAAGCAACAGCATGCTGCACCACGAGGTTACGGATATAATCCGATTTGTACTGCTCGATCCAGATCAAAAGCGCCTTCCATCGTGTCCGCTCCTCAACAGTCTGTTTTTGCCGTCAACGAGCTTACTCCATTTCGTGATGAAGTCGTACCACGATCGAGTGCAGTACAAGGGCCACATGACGACAATTGCCAACAGCATCTTCACCCTGATCAAGTACATCCTCCGTGACGTGGAATCGCCTGGTTATCTCACGCTGTGTCTAGCACGCCAAGCTACAAGGACAAATCTTCCATAACGTGCCAAGAAGTCGTGCGGCAGTACACGCTCGCGATTCCCGAGTGGGCAGACTTTGAAACGGTGCTGGCAAAGCAAAACGCGGTCGAAATGACGCCGTTGGGCCAGCGCCATGCACCCCTTTGCACGGGATGCATCAGCTTGAAGGAAAGTTCGTCCAAGTATGTGTCGAGCACGCTCGGCAACGTCGAGCGAATGAGCGGGTACCTCGAAACAATCTTTTCGGGGGCGGCAACGTTCCACTGCAAGGTCAACATCACGGACGACTTTATCACGGGATTCATGTACAAGAAGGACAAAATTCACGACCACATCCCAGTCCCCGAGCCGACTCGCGTGTCGTCGTTTATTCAATTTCCAGTGCCGATGCCGTTCCATGCGCTGACGTTTACGCTAACGTACGTGGGGCTGTGCCGCAAGTGCGACAAACTTTGGTACTGCGACACGTTGCAGAGCGGCATGGCGAATTGGATCACACGGATGAAATGGGTCATTCCAACGTCCGTTCGAAAATGGTACTCGTTTGGGGCGTCGGCCGGGCCTGGTGGAGGCGCGCATGGCATCCAGTTTACTACCAAGGGGTACAAGAACTTTCTAGTGTTAACGGACACGTGGGGGCGACAAGAGCAATGGATTCACGCGATAGAGGATGCCATCGAAGCGTCGCTGACGAACACCCACGTTTCCAGTGCGAACGCTCTCGCCATCGAAATCGACAACGACGCGGATAACAGCACAATCGACGCGATGAAGAAGAACGAGACTGACGACGACGTTGGCGGACGGAAACGGGCGCAAACCGTGGGGGGAAAGACCAAAGAACTCGACCTCAAGATGTTCCAGAAGAGCGTCACATTTGACGTCAAGTCGAAGTCGATGGCGATCAACCGCTTGCCCCCTCGCTTCCAGACAGATCCGAACGAAACAGGGCCAAAGGATCCCAAGGGAGGCATGCGGCACGTTGCATCCCTGCCAAATTTGGCGGCGTACGAGAAGCAGTTTAAGACGCAATAGGATGGATGTAATCGCGTGAAGCGGAGGGCGACGTCAAAGGAGCTAGCGGCAGGTACTAAAGGATGCACGATATATGATGGAAAGAAGTGTGCCAAACGGCAGACGGCCACCATGTCTCTCCAAGAGTTTGGAGCGAGGGCCAAAAATAGCGCGTGGATAGTCAGACTGGTGCACAACGATCAGTACAATCTCGCGACCACAACAACGGTGCTGCGGACGACGGAGGTTCATGAAACCTAATGGCACCAGCCAGCCGGCGCTTCCGCGACTCTATCCGCGCATGGAGCTCGATGTAGTGGTCAACTCCATTCAACTGGGGAGGTCGCCGGCACCGTTGACGGAGGATCCATTGGCGGACATCGAGACGGGCATTTCGCAGGATGTGCGCGCCCAGAAAGCGCAGGACAACAAGAGCGACAAGGTCGAGGCGGCAAAACTCACGAACGACGGCTCGGCGAATGCGTCGAGGAGGTTGAATCGCGGGTCCATCAAGTTATTTGCCCAACGCGTGGGGTCGCTCAGCCGGTTCAAAATCAAACGGTTGTCGATCGTGTCCACGACAGATCTCAAAATTGACGCGCTCACGCCGCACGACGTTTTGATCACGTACACACTGTTCAACGTGGCGCTCATCACGGGCGCGTTGGTCAGCATCGGGTCCGTCGTGTGGTGGCCAAGCTCCAAGATGGCGGTGACGCACTCCACCGACATGAACATCCAAGTGACCCACCTCCTGATCCAAGCGTTCACGAGCCTCGTGTGTGGAGTGTTTACGCGTCGGATGCACATGCTGTCGCCAGGCGAACGTCAGCCGGTGCAATCCACGATGGCGTTGATCGCAATCGTGTACGGACTCATTTCGTGTGGAGAAGTTTTGTTTGGCATTGCGTTCTCGAGCATGTATGGTGCGTGGGTGACCCAGCACCACTGCTGGTACGAAGGCCAAGGCAGCGCGGTCAATGTCGCCGTGCGCAACGTGCTCCATTCCATCCAAGCTGTGCTCTTGTATGCCGTACTGATTGGGCTCTGCCGATGCTTCAAGACAGACTCACTCACGAACAACATATCGGTGGCGAATACAGAGGTCGAGCTCTCGATATGGCCGTACGTGTGCTACGTCGGGCTTCGTGTGTCGCTCGGGTGCACGTTTCGCGTCGTGCTCGATTATCTCCCGATGACGAACGTCGTGACTGTTGCGCGGCTCGCCGTCCACTCGTCGGTGGATGTGGCGCCGTCCATCGTGTTCACGTGCATCGCCGTCAGTGCCGTCGATGGCGTGTTTTGTGGGTGGGCGATCCTTGAGATATCGCGCGTGCGCAAGTCATTTCGAGTCTGCTTCGTCAAGAACATTTCCAAGTTTATCATCGCGTTCAACTTTTTCATGAACTACAATGCGAACATGGTGTTTGCGCTCGTCGTGTGTGGCCACGGCGTGTCGTGGCTCGTCCCGACCGAGTATTACGTCACGGAATCGAACGGGATCCGGTGCACGGGGGCAACCGCGGCGACTGTTGGGTTTCGCCTCACGATCGTGGCATGGCTGCTGCTTTCGATGTAGGGAACGATGCGTTGTTGCGACTCGAGCGCTGATCCAGCGCGTAGGTTTGCGTGCCTGCCAGCGGACGCGATCGGGCTTTGCGGGTGGCTATATTCGTCGCCGGGAAGTGTTGAAGTCAAGGCACACCGCGTTCGGTACTTCATGCATCCGTCCGATGTGTTCCAGACGGCGAATTTCAACATTGCCGACATGCTCAAGCAAACGTCGTCGATCGACCCCCGGCATTTTGTCCTCGAGTCGCAGATCGAAATGTTCAACTTTGCCTTCCTCGCGTACGCATGTGGCCACAAAGACTACTCGCAGGACTTTCTCCATCTGCACAACATGATTGGAAACAAACGGTTTGGCCTGGTCGATCACATCCACGACCCCGGCAGCGACACGCACTGCTTGATTGCGCAGTCGGGTGACAAGATCGTCGTGGCGTTCCGCGGCACGAAGAGCTGGAAAAACTTTAGAACGGACTTCAATGCGACCCGACGCGAGTATGAGTACGACGCCGCGGCTGTGCCGGTCGACACGATGACAGGGGAATACCGCCCCCAGAGCATCTCGAGAGTGAATTGTTGCAAGCGGCGATACCCGTGGGTCCACGAAGGTTTCTGGACCGCGTACCAAACCGTCGCGGCGACGGTCCTGGCGGCCATCGAGTCATTGCATCACGAGTGCCCCCGGCCCGTGTACGTCACAGGCCACAGCCTTGGTGGTGCGTTGGCGATTCTGTGCAGCTTGGACGTAGCACTGAAGTGGGGCTCCACCCAAGTTGCGTGCACGACCTTTGGGTGTCCCCGAGTCGGCGGAAATGCGTTCAAGAAGCTCTTCAACGCCCTCGTGCCCACCACGTTTCGGTTTGTCAATGGACGCGACCCCATCTGCCACTCCCCGGTACGGCCCCGTCAACCTGCAGCATCACTCAACCTCTTGTTGTAGCTTCGGACGTTGTGGGACTCGTTCACGGAAGTCGGGACCACCGTCTTGCTCAACGACTTTGGCAACATGATCATCAACCCAAACATGCTCGAGTACAACATGCTCAACCAAGGCGTGTCGATGGAGGCCCATCGGTTGACGTTTTATCAGCTGTCGCTCTTGCTGTGGTGCAGTCGGGCGCACGCGCGAACATTCGAGCCGCAGTTCTGGCCCCATTCCTTGCAACAACTTCGACTCTTGTGCGGGCACATCCCCGAAGTGCTGCAGTATTTAAGTCGCAGCTCGTTGCTCGGCGCGCACCCGATTTCCGAGGAGATTCGACTCATGTCGATTTTGCATGAAGTTCGCCAGTGCGTTCGGCCGGTGCGGATTCGCGTCGGCGTGTTCAAGCGTGAGATTGCGTGTTTGTCGGCGAAAACCATGATCGATACGCTGGTCGGCAACCAGTTTGTCACGAGCGAAGCAGAAGCGGTCGAAGTGGGCCGCATTATGCTTGCCAAGGGGCGCATCAAGATGGTCGATAGCGTCGTCTTCAACAAGCAAGGCCACTTCATCCTGCTCAACAACCCGTCGCCCAAGAAACGGCGCACGCTTCATGTCGAAAACGCCGACCCGCGACTCCATTGAACAATCTAACACTGCCATGCTTCAGTTGAAGCAGTACCGGGAACGCATTGCATCCGACATAAAACAAAAACGCAGGTCGATTTCTAGTATACTTGTGCCCGCTTTTCTATGAAAACAGGGATGTCCACATGGACGGCTTGACCCAATTGTAATCGTTGCGGTCGATCGTCTACATTAGCACAGAATGATCAGTTTAGTCGATAACGTATTGAGTGTGGCGCTGCCCGTAGGTACCTCTCGAATTTGCTGGCACAACTTTCCAAACAGGGCCATATGCGACTCGGGAATGGCTCCCACAGCAATCTCTTGGCCAAGTTGACGAGAATTTTCCTTTTGAATGTTCTCCAGTGCGTGGTTGACGTTGACGAGGGATTCGTAGTACTTGAGTTGCGTGTACAAAGCGGTGTCCGAGTACTCCATGCACACCGTTCCTCGGCATCCAGTGACCGAACAAGCGTCCCCTCGACGCCCACGCAGAGACTGCTTTTGCGTGCGGGAGCTGCACAGTCCCTCCGTGCACACGACCCACCCTTGATAGTACCGCCTCGTGCAGTCGCGAATTGCCAAGTGCATTCGATTCGACAGAAGCGCCGCAAAATCGTCGCCAACTTGTCCATAAATTCCTTCTTGATCGTAGCCCCAAAAGTTGGCCTTGCACGAGCCGTTTGGACAGAGCAATCCAGACGAGTACCGCGTAGCCCGCGACGCAAACACGCCAGGAAACATGTTCTCTTGGTTGCACTTAAGGCACGTCAGTCGCACTACATGGCCAAAACGTGAAGTTCAGCCGACATTGAGAGCTCTTACATGGAGTACAAGACTTGAAGCGTTCCGAGTCGTGTTGCAGGACACTTGGGATGATGTCGATTTCATCTTCGCCAACGTTTTGCACCGAATGTGAAAACTTGCTCGTGTCCAAGCCCAAGCATTGCGCGAGCTGAGGACTTGAGGTCCCATCAATGTGGGCGCAGAGACGGTTCACTGGTGGATGGATCTGCAGACGTCGTCAGATTTTATTTCCGACCAGCGTCAAAAATGGACCGACCTGAGCTTCCAAATACCACTCAATGTCCACGTTGAGCTTTCCTTGCGACCGCGACACTTCGTCGGGGTGGTATGCGCGACGTTGACTTCCAGGCTCCTCTTCTTTGCAAATGACGTATGGGATTTGAGTGCCGACACCAATTGCTTTGCCTTGGCTTCTCAATGCCATCGCAACTTGTACGTGATACTACACATACGAATTCTCTCAATTGGTGGGCAACACACTCGTCCCTCACTTGTTTGGCCTTGTCTGGGTACTGCTCTGGAGCTTTGTTCAAACTCTTCGTAATCACGTACTGCGTGATGGGCTCCTTGCCGGCTCGCATGTTTTCTCCGACACTTTGCAAGTATTCGTGGATCTTCTCGACGACTTCGTCTCGTCCAATGCCAGACAATATGAAGTCCAGGATGTTGTTCCCCACAACCTTGGACAGCACGCACCAATCTCGACGTACCATGTCGAGTCCTTTGACTTCTTTTTCGTATGTCTAGGCACACGATACGTTCAAACCAATCGCAAAACCAACTTGCGTACCACTCCGCCATTGTGCTCCTTCACCACGAGCGACGCATACTTCTTCTTGTTGAGCAGGAGAATCGTCTTGAAAATGTAGTCAACTTCAAGCTCGAGGAGTTTAAAATGCTTGTTGCATTGGACTTGGATTTCCCGTCCAATGCGCTTGGCGTCTTCGAGTTTATCGCTGCGAGAGTCGACCATGATCGAGTCAGTATCACCGTAAATGACATCGTAGCCACACTCTTGTTCAGCCACTTCTTGGGCACGCTGGAGGGTTTGGCGACCAGTTGACGTGATGAGGGCGGCGATAGGTTTTGCATAAAACCTCGAGTAGCGGAAGCCCAGGCAACCGTACATGGAGTTGGCCGTCAACTTAATGGCTTTCTGGCGAATATCCAACGTCAAGCTTTTTTCGATGTTCCCGGCCTTCAACTCGGCCTTGAGCTGTTGCTTGACAAGCTTGCGCGACTCCAAGAGTCGCTTAATCACTTGTGGGAGGATTCCTTCCGCACAGGAAGCACTCGGTAGCGCCGGCACGTCGTTTTCGACCGTGACAATTACTTCGCCGTCGGCATCTTCGTCGTCATCTTCAAGGTTGCGAGGTCCGCTCGGCTTTTCGTTCGCGACGTTCAAATTGCGCTCGACCGTTGTGAAACAAATGTTATACTCCCGAATGATGGACGGGTACAGACTCATGAAATCGAGCAGCACGACAAAGTTGTCGTACAAGCCTTTCTTCGGGGCAAATACCATCCCTCCGGCGTATCCCGCCGGCTCTCGCTTCTTGCTGAACTTGGGCTTGTTGTCGCGGAACTTTTCTGGGACGATGAACTTGCTCTTTGGCCGATCAAACTCATGCAAAAGCAAATACTCGATGCGCTCGGCTCGTTTGTTAGCTTGTAGCGTCCGCGTCCACAGATATCCGCACAAATTGGCCAACTGCTTGCTCAGAGGAATGACCTCCAACTTGTGCATTAAGTGCAGGACAAACATGGCGTCGTCCAGTGTGTGCTGGATGAGCTTGACAAAGTTGTCGGGACCAGAGGCCAAAATGGCCGGAATATCGGTCATTTCGACTTCGACCCGCGACTTGTTGAGTTGCGTGGACACCAAATGGGACAACGAATACGTCGACTGCGACGTCAGGAGTTCTTTGGCGGCGACAAAGGTGTCACAGAACAAGCGGCCGTTGGACATGTCGTCCAAGCGGTATTCGTTCCAGCCTTCGCCTTGGTTCATGGGCGCCAGCAACCCACGACGCAGCCGCGTCAGTCGCGACCACATCCCACCCATCTTGAAGTTGTCCATCCGAGACATGAGCACGTCGAGGGTGTACCCTTGCAAATTGTGGCCGACGATCACGTCGGGATCTTCTCGCTGGACTCGGGCCAAGAGAAAATTGAGCAGTGCTTTTTCGTTCATTTCAATGCTGAGAGACTGTGGGGTGCGGAATCGTTCATTGGCCATGGCTGCGGGGCCATACGATTCTGGAAAACGCTGCGAGTCAGCCATGAACGGCCGGATGCCAGAGAAATGAGAGATCTTGCCCTTTCCCTTGCTGCCTCCTTCCGGGTTGATGTTGGTCTCAGTCACAGCAGAGAATGCGACAACTTCGTGCTTGTGAGAATGGGGATTGCAGCAGGTCTTAATGCTCAAGCTGAGCACAGTCAGCGGCGGAGATGGAATGCCATGGACAGGCACGACGTTGATCGGACTCGATGTTTCATATTCGACCTTGCAGTAGCTTTGGTGGTTGGTCGTCACGCGCTTGGCGCCTTGGATCTGCAACCAGCATGGACCGAGGAGCTTGCGACGAATGAGGAATGTTTCCAAAGGGCGCACGGTGCCGCCGCAGATGCGAACGAACGACGATCTGCCCTTGGCGCAGACATCTGGTGACGGAGCTGCATACTTGGCTGGATACTTGACCTTCAAGTACGTGTTCTTGCCGCGAGGAAGGTCTGGCAATTCAAACGCATAACTACAAGGAAGGAACCATTAAACTCCATGCGGCAAGCTTGACAAGTTACGCACTTGCGCTCGACGAGCTTAGTTCGAAACGCTTGTTGGTCCTTGCGGTCCGTGATGCAGGATGGAATGAGAAGCGAACTGATGTCTTTGTGCATATTCATCCACAGCTCTTGTTGGGCTTCTTTGGGCAAGTCGGCCATGGTGGGGTACAATCCTTGCTTCTCGGTTGGTACACGGGGAACAACGTACAAGTACCGCTGCAAGTTGTTCACAATTACACAGCAACTCTTGAACCCTTGGCCGTCTTTAGTCTACACTTATGACGTCGATAAATGCCCGTACAATTCGATAGAGCTACCTTGCCAATCAAGTACAATTTGCCGGGCCGATCGCGCACTTCGACCGCGTCAGTCCAAAAGATTTGAAGGTCGCCATCGGTCGACGTATCTATGGGTGTGGTGGATTCTTCCACAGCGACATCGGTGGTGTTCCACCACTCGCCCACTTCGTTCGATGGAACAGACCCGACGTGCAGCCCACCGATTGACGGCTTGTCGTGAGAGGATGCGTCGTCGTCAGCTTGGCTATCGACGGTGGTCGACAGCACTTTCTCCGTTGCTGCAGAAGCTTCCACTCGGCTTTCACGGGCCTAAGTGTACGCATTGAGGTGTCGTTTGAATAAGTTGGAATTTTTACCTTCTTGAGAAGCAAGTCGCGCTTGCTTACGACAGGGGCAACCTCCGCATTTTCGACCGGTGCTGTGGCCGTGACTGACTGCCGGGGCTCTTCCTTTTCAATGCCAGCATCAGCGTTCTCATTTTTTTGGTGCAAGCTGTCGTTTTCGTCGTCGAATTCGTAACCGTGGTCAACTCCGACCTCCCCTTGGTCGTCGTCGGGATGGACAGTCGAGCTGCTTGGCTGATATTCCTGTATGAATTGACGACCAGAGGATGATGATGGCAGTTGCGACGTTGATGTGCTTTGACTAGAAGTAAACATGGGCTGCTTTCTTGTGCGAGACAGTGATGCATCCAGCGGGTTGTTTGTCAAGTCGTCCAACATGCTGTCAAGATCAATATCTAGGTATATAAACATGCAGATAAATGTCAGATTCGTACATCAAATGAATCACATATTACCTTGCTTGGCGCGTCGTGAGGTAGTTGTGGGGGCACTTCTCGGTTTGTCGTTTGTTTTCGAGAAGAACATATGAGTGATCTTCTGTTCAGTTCCCGTTCCCAACTTTGCGCGCTGCATGCGCTTGGCTCGCTTTACGTACGCGCTGGACAACGCACCGGAGCTTTGCCGCTTCTTGCTGTTCGGGTCTAAGTCGTCCGGCTCCACCAACTCTTCGTCCATATCGCCGTCGTCTTCGAAGTACTGTTCCTCGCCATCGTCGTAGTATCCCATCCCACCCTCGTCGTCTTCAACAAAAGGCAGCTCCTCGCGGCGTTTTCGGACGAGTTCATTGTACTCCTCTTCGTTCAACTCTTGATAAATGCTGCTCTCTTTCGCATCATATGTGTCGATGCGGCTGATCTTCTTGGGATCGACGTCATCGTCACCTCCATTCAGCTTTGCTTCTCGTAGTCGACGAATCTCGCTTAGAGCAGACGATCTGCCGCCACTTCCACTCGCTCTGCTTGTTCTACGCGACATTGATGAAGGAACTGCCGCTCGTGTTCCTGTCCTGTCGTGCCTTTTTGATTGTCGTGTGAGTTTCCGCGCAAACAAAAAAAGATTCCCGCCACCTCACGGCCTTCAATAATTGATACTTCGTAGTGTACGTTAAACAACCAAATCATTGGGTTAAATCGTTGAGCTACGTGGTGGTCACTAAACAAACACAGAGACTGCATGGGTCGTTCATTATTGGCCGAAATTGCATGTAAATATGAAGTTTAACCTATTAAACGGTTGTGACGGTGGAACTGTAGTGACCTTGTCAGTTGGAAACTATCGTGTGGAGGGAAACATGGCTGGCCGAGGACGAGGAAAGGATGCTACGCTCCCTGCATGGATGACAAACCCAGCATCTAGTGCAGCTCCAGCCGCCACTCTTCCACCGTCGAGACCATCTCCCCAGCGTAACGCACTCCCGCCATCAGGCCCGCCAGCTCGGGGTCAATTTGATGATGCCGAAAACCGACATCACAGAAGCGATCGCGACGACGGACACCGAAGTGAACGAGACGATAGATACCATTCACGAAGCGATCGCAACAGCAGTCGTCAGGAAGACAGCCGCAGAGGCGAATCGGAACGCGGTGGACATGTTTCCAGCAGAGATAGAAGAAGCGCCGAGCGTTCTTCCCGCAGCGACTACCGGCACTCCCGTGATTACTCGGACCGTGGCAGTGAACGTTCTGACCGCCGCCGAGACGATGCTTACGATTCGCGACACAGAGATTCAGGCCGCACCGAATCGTCTCGCTCTGACCGCCGAAGTGATGATGGGTACAGGCGCACTGGTTCGTATTCGTCGAGAAGCGATCGAGACAGCGGGTACTATGATCGAGATGCAGGTTATGGTCGCACGTCCGATTCGCGAAGCAGCAGGCGCGATGTGGATTTCGACCGAGACGCGGGGTATGGCCGCGCAGAGTCATCGCGCGGCTCCGACCGACGGGACGATGGGTACGGTCGAAGCCGCCGGGACGACGGTGGTGACAAGCACTCATCTAGTCACCGCCGAAGTCGATCGAGATCCCGTGACCGACGAGGGTATTAGAATCAACCGGGGGTTAACAACATGATGGTTTTCTCCATGTTTGTCTACTGCCCTATGAACTTGGTCAGCGCTTCAAAAAAGTCTGGCACTGGTTCTTCGGCACAAAATACTTGGCGCTGGTAGAAATCTGGCAGCGTCGAAATCTTCTCATGGAGCTCACCAAGGCGCTCTTGCAGCGCCGCCTTTTCTTCGATCACGATGCCAATGGCCTGTGCAAGGCTGAGAATAAAGCGGCAAAGGTCGGGTACGCTACCTTGTCCGATTCGAATTGCTTGGCGATTTCCAGGCAAAGGCCATTCAATACGTTTTCCACCTGATTGCACACTCCAATGTCGCCGAGCTGCTGCTCCAGCCGCTCGCATCGCAGAGTCAGTCGCTCCTTCTCGTCGGCAAACGCGTCATGGCTTATCTTCATCTCGTTCAGTTGATCGATCGTGTCTTCGTGGACTTCCAAGAGACTCTTGATCTTAGCACTGAGAAGGTCTCGCTCCTTTGACACGAGCACCGTCGCACGATTCGCTTCTTCGAGCTCTGCGCTGCATGCCTTGAACGCACGCTGCACCGCATGCAGTTCGGCCGCCTGTTTCGCGAGGTTCGAGATGGCAGTCTCGCGCTCTTTCTTCCGTTCGGCGCGCTCTTCGTTCAAGTCTGCCGTCAAGTTGTGCTGGATGGCGTTTCGGTCGGCGATAGCTACACCGCCCTCGACGCGTCAGGGGGGATGATGGACAATTTTCGCTGAACGGATCACCTTGTTCGGTCGCCTGGTTGGCGTGGTCTAACTGGGACGTCAACTTGACGTTGTCCAGCGCAAGCACCGCATGTTGGTCCTTCACCAAGTCGAGTTCCGATCGAAGCGCAGCTCGTTTGGCCTCAGCGCTTTCAAGTTGCTCCTGCGCATGTTGGTTAGTTTGCTTCAGCGCGGTCACGCTCTCATTCGCATTGTCCAATTTCTCTTCCAACGTCGACACGACGCCTTGCAGTCGCGCGACTTGCACTTGCAGCTGGTGGAGTTCTTGCTCTTGTGCTCGTCGCACGCTCTCGCCTTCCTGCAGACAATGCCATGGACAGTTCAGTTAGATTCCAAAATTTTTGCCGTCGTAGGTAGTACTCGAATCATGTCGTCCGCGGCCATTTTCGTGCTCTCCAGCAGCGTGTCATGGAGATGCGTCATGCGGGAGAACAGCAGTTCCAGGATGGTCAGCATGTCAACCTTCGCAAACTGGACGAGCACTTTGGTCTTCGACGGGCCATCGCCTTCCAAGTCGTATGCAGCGAAGAACGGCGAGAGTCGATGGCAGAGGTCGATCGTGCCCTTGCTGCCGTCCCAGTCGCCGCGCTCAATGGGTTGTTTGATGTATTCGTGCGCCAGTCGGCTCACCACCTCCGTGCAAAACTCAGTGGACTTCACCTGCAGCGCATTGATTTGTTGTGTTCGATCTTGGGCGATCGCTATCTTGAGGTTCTGAAAGCATCGCTTCCTCGCCTCGCCTTCGACCGACTCCTTCTTGAACACATTCAGCGCGGCATCCTGTGCCTCCTTGTACACACGTTCGAACTCCTGCTGCGCCATCGACGTGTTGGTTGCCATGATCGCTTTGTATTCGTCCAGCGAGTGAAAGTAGGCAGCTTCACATGTCACGTCGCTCACGTAGTCCCACGCCGCTTTGATGTCGGGGACGGCACCGTTGTTCATCGTCGCCACGTAGTTTTGGACGATATGGGCGAGCTTGGTGCCGTCTATTACTTGGTTGAGCACGCGCTTGGGGTGTGCGATTTCGAGCAGTCGCTCCCGAATCACGCGCATTTGAACCACAAACTCAGGGCGCAACTCGTCGTCCGTGAGTTCGCTGGCATTTCGCAGCTTGTCTTCATCCGTCGCGGGCCGGATCAGCGTCACGCTACAGAGCTCAATGAATCTCACTGTAGAAATGGGAAGGTTGCAGACCATTCTCGTTGTGTGAAGAGCGTGCGCAGGCTCTGTCGAATGCGATTCCGTTCTTCATTGCGCTTGGAAGTGCCTTCCCGTCGCTGCAGTGATCGCTCCAGGTAGACGTTGGGTGTCAACGTCTCGCCATTCTCCTGGATGTCAAGCAAGAAATCCCGCAAGAGCCACACGAATGGAGGAAAGTGCGGTGCCAACGAGGCTTCGTTGGCCGAAGCGAGTTGCTCATCGTCGATGGCGTTGGAGAGACTGAGCTTCTCGTCGTCTGCCGTGCCGTGTTGATGGACACACACGTGTTTGGTCAGCTCGGAAACAAGGAACAAACTTCATGCACATGAGGAGGACTCTAGGGGTCTAGGAGATTGTACCGGTCAATTGCGCCTTCGTCGATGACGCCCATTGTGTTGAACACAAACACGGACGAGAGAAGAAGTCCCAGAGAGAATATCTTGGCATCGTACGTTTCGTCGTTGTCAGTTGATGCAATCCCTTCCGTGTCCATGAGCAGCACCTTCTCGCCGCGAGCGTTCCTCTGGTCGGCGTCCCATATCCAAATACCTCGAGTACAAGACTCGGTCGTTGGCCCGACAACGAATCCGTCGTTGCTCTGCACGACCGCCAAGTCTTTGCTTCGGCACATTTGGTTCAAGAAGAAACTTTTGCCAGTTCTACGAAACCGCACCTTCGTGTTGGGCGACGACATACGCTGCGGGAGCGACTGACCTGTATTGACCTGCGAGGCAAATAACGGCGACAGGCTCATGCTTCAGGGACTGCAGCAGTCTAATACAACGCCATCAGTCGTAGAACCTTCAGCATTTACATACGCGATGCCATCTGGGCATGTCTCGAGCGCATCGTCACCTTGCCGAATCAAGCACACCGGGGGCATTTTGGTCGTGTCGGCAATTTGCGTCGAAATATCAACTTTATCGTCATAATATCTTATTGGTCAAAATAGTCATCAGTTGCGATGGGAGATCCAAACTGTCGCACAAGAGCGTTCGACGCACACACGAACATGATGATTGGAACGCATGGAAGCGTCGCATGCATCGATCATGCATAGCTCGCATCCAAATCTCGCGATGGAAAGTTGTACTCATGTTCCTGTGTTTAAAACCTCAGCGAACCCAGCGAACTCAAGCACCTCGACGAGCTCATGCTGTCAAACGAATCTTGCTATTGCCGGGGTGAACGTGCAGCGCTAGATGCTTGATGGACAATGCGCACACGTTGCTTCATGAAGTAGAATATAGCTGTTCATCTAGGCGGCAAGCACTAGTCGTTAACGTCGACGCCATGGGCCTTTCTCTTCCTGCTTGTAGAGTGCAGACTCACGTGCGACCTGGTGTCATGTCCATGTGGAACCAAAGGACGATAAATGCATAGATACACAGCGCAACGTGAAGACAACACCGCCCATGTGCAGTGTGAACGAGGCATTTCTCATCAGCCCCATGCTCTCCTCCATCTCCACGACGCCTGGTCCACTTGAAGTTGTCGAGTCAACCTGCTGCGTCAACGAGGCATCCGGTTTTTATCCGGAATCAGTGTATCTTCGGATGTCCTTTTCGTCAAACGAGCATCTTTCATCGCACCAGCATGTTGGCCCTGCGAATCGCCCGCGCCCGCCACGTCCGCATCGCGAATGTTGCGTCTGTCATCCGCACTGCGTCTTCGGCTGCTAGCGGCGGTAAAGCCAAGTTTCAATCTGCCAGAGACGCTGCTGAAGGAGTGAGTTACACCCGCGGATTGTTCCTTGGAGTGAACAACGCCAGACTGGCATTTCCATTCCCAAAGTTGTCGGCAGACGAATCCGAGACGCTTCAATCCCTTGTGAACCCCGTAGTGAAGTTTTTTGAAGAAGGAATTGATGCCAAGCTCATTGATGACACCAAAATTATCCCTGAAGAAACCTTGAACAGCTTGAAGGAAATGGGGTTGTTTGGGTTGCAAATTCCTGAAGAATTGAATGGTCTGGGACTGAGCAACACCGGGTATGCCCGTGTGTGCGAAGAACTTTCCGACGCGTCGATCGCTGTGACGATCATGGCCCATCAATCCATTGGACTCAAGGGGATCCTGCTCAACGGGAACGAAGCCCAAAAGGCCAAGTACTTGCCAAAACTCGCGACGGGGGAAAACTTGGCCGCGTTTGCGCTGACAGAACCGAGCAGCGGATCCGACGCGCAATCGATCAAGACCCGCGCGGTGTTGTCGGAGGACAAGTCTCATTTCGTGCTGAATGGAAGCAAGATCTGGATCAGTAACGGCGGGTGGGCCGAAGTCATGACTGTCTTTGCGCAAACGGAGGTCGATGGCAAGGACAAGGTGTGCTCAATTCCTTGCATTGAATGACCTTTGCTTGACAACTGCGTTCAGGTCACGGCGTTCATTGTCGAGCGGTCGTTTGGGGGCCTCACGAGCGGTCCACCCGAAGACAAGTTGGGCATTCGAGGGTCGAACACGTGCCAAGTGTTTTTCGACAATGTCAAGGTAAGGCACCTTCTCACGGACACCCATGGACTGGTGTCGTCGAGTAGGTGCCAGTGGAAAACGTTTTGGGCGGAGGGCCGGATGGCAAGACAGGTGGCCTCGCTGGCGTCGGCCATGGGTTCAAGGTCGCGATGAACATTTTGAACAACGGTCGATTTGGCATTGGCGCAGCGTCGGGCGGGCAGTTGCGTCGCGTGATTGCGATGGCAGCAGAACACGCATCACAACGAAAACAGTTTGGGGCGACTTTGTCTGAGTTTGGTCTGATCAAGGAGAAGATTGGAAACCTCGCGCTCAGCACGTACGCCATCGAGGTAAGGCTCACGTTCTCGTGGAGGATGTTGACTAGGGCGATGATGCTAGTCCATGGCGTACATGACGACGGGAATGATCGACCGCGGGGATCCGTTCTGCGAGATCGAAGCAGCCATGTGTAAAGTGTATGGATCGGAAGCATCGTTTGAAGGCATCAACGAAGCCATTCAGATAATGGGCGGCACGGGCTTCATGCGCGACTGGCCCTTTGAGCGCTACATGCGCGACGCTCGGATTTTGTCCATCTTTGAAGGCACGAACGAGATCCTGCGAATGCTGATTGCCTTGAGTGGCATCAAGGTACTGCTTGAAGGGTGACGAGATTGCGAGTCCTGACAGGACGAACTAGACCGCCGGAGAGCGTTTGTCCGCTGTCGGTAGCTTGTTCAAGAACCCGTTCAGTGACCCTGCTGCAATCGCATCCGAGATCTCGTCGCGCGTCCAGAAGAAGATTTCGTCCCCTGGTACGCTGGAGGGCGTCCACCCGAAGCTCAAGCACGCGTCGGACTTGCTGCAATCGCGAACGATCGAGTTTGGAGATGCCGTCGAGTCTCTGTTGAGAAAGCACGGCAAGGGCATCGTCAACGAGCAACTGCAGCTGAAGCGAGTCGCCGATGCGTCAATCCAGCTCTTTGCCATGACCGCGACAATCTCGCGTGCGTCAACAGCGCTTAACGACAAAACCCCCACTGGTAACGATCGCCACTTGCAGGATCGAATGGGGCTCTGATGCGTTGCTTGTAGCCGCCCACGAATTGGCTCTGACGCAGTTGCATGCTGACATCGCGTCGGACAAAATAATCAAGAACCTTCGCGAGATTCAAACCCACAAGAAGAAGGACATCCAGCTCAAGGCCATTGCGGACGAAGTGTTTGCCCAGTCCAAGTACATTCCGTCCCACCCCACTGGAGTGAACTCGTAAATGCTCATCTAATGATGGAACACACGCACTACCTTCCCCTTCCGCATTCGTGTCCTGCGATGCGGTTCCAATTCATTGCGATAGGTTGTCGCCGATCGCACGGTTCGTCCTCGAGTTCACCGGCGGCTTCATGCGAGGATTCCAAAATCCGGATACGCGACCGGATAATCACTGGTTAGCTTCCGACACATCCGATAAATATTCGGATAAACTTTCAACCAATGAAAGTGGCGTTTCCTCTGCCGGTGTGCATCAATCATACTATTGTCGTGGCGACACCAAGGCATACGATGAGTGGAGCTGGCCGCAAGAGCGGGTACCGCAAAGGAGTGACCCAAGACGTCCTGTATGGAGAACCTGTGCCTGAGGCAGGTGAGCTCATCGTGCAGGTCCAAGCAATGCGCGGAAGCAATTTGTTCGAGGTTAGTGTACCCTGATGCTCGAAAGCGGTGGCATGCAAAATTTCTCCAATATTTACCACTGATGGATAGATTGTGACGAGCGACGGCGAAACTGGCGTTGCCATGCTGCCCACAAAATACCGAAAGCTCATTTGGATCCGCCGAGGGGACTTTTTGATCGTGGCGGCAGGTGAATATTGTGTGCCAATGAGTCCTGGACAAGTTGACAATTTTTATCAAAGTAGCCCACGGAGCACACAAAGGCGCGGTGAACTACTCTGTCGAGCACATTTTGTACAAAGATCAGATCAAGCACCTGAAGAAAGAAAATCTGTGGCCCGAATCGTTCAATGTTGACGAGTCAATGTTGGACTCGAAGGCAGGAGCGGGTGACGACGGCACCGCGGCATCCGCTCTGGGCAACCTAACGCTTGAGAAAGAAGCCAAGCGATCAGATGGATTGGACGTCGACAACGACCCGCTGCTGTTCGTCAATCGTAACCGAGTTGGAGGGCGGTACATTGAAGAAGACGACGACGACAGCGACGAAGATTAAGCGCGAATCTCGTCGTGGGCATTTGGCTCCCCAAGGCAGCGCAATGGCTCAGCTCGACTGGCCATGCAGTTTATAAATTCCACTAATGCAGTTGAACGTTGTAGACCGTTTCATCGTAACCGAATGTGTAACTGCTCTCGGTCATTTCGAGCGACAGAGATTCGTGCGCCGCCATGAGCTGTCCAAAGCCAAAGGCTAGACGAACTTCTGCGCGGACTTCGTCATCACTCAAGGGCATTGCATTTGCCCAGCGCCAGGTATTGTGTAGACCAGTCCACGTGGAAGCCGAGGGTTGCCTTGTTTAGATGCCCGTCCCAGGAGCCGCATCCAACCACCTCTTTGACCAGGCTAACACCGGAGTTGTAAGCGCTGAAAAGGTACTGTGTGCACTAACCAGAGATGTTAGAGTGGCTCGACACAGTCGACCGGACACACGAAAGCGACTACGAATGTCAATACTGTTGTATTCCCATCGTCTCAAACATCAGGGAACCTGTCCCAGCTCATGCGGTAACATAGCGGAGTCGGCCGGGGAATCGACCAGGGAATTGATGTAGACGGTGTCGTTCTGCTACCAGTATTCGAGGAAAAGTGGCTGAAGCGGCCGTGAATGAATGCCATGGATCAATGGGGAAGCACGCACTCCACACCCACATACACTGTTTCAACCTAGACGCAGAGCGCCCGCCGCCCCGACTCAAGCTCAGCAAAGCAGGCCTGCACTCTTTCAAGGCTAAGCGCGACCCGATTCAAGGCCCCAACCACTCGACCACGACTCGGCGGGAAGACAGGACGTTGAAGCATCGTACAGAGCTGGCTGCCGCGCAACTCGAAGCTGAATTCATCAGCCGCTTGCGGCAAATTGACTCGTTGCAAGTAATCGAGGAAGTGAATGTTGTTACGAGAACTAAGAGAATCGTAGCTACCCAAAAAGCGCAGCATTCGCCTTCAAGTAGCTCGTGACATCCTGGACGAGATTGTCCTGCTCGACACGGTGCTCGTGCCTCTGCGACGAGACAAGGCTGACCTTCAGTGTCCCAGACGTTTGGTTCGATGCTGGGAGTGATCCGCGACATCTTCAACGACGTCCTCAAGTACGACGAGCCTAGCTACCCTTCAGTCGACGGCGAGTTCGGTGAGGCATCTCAACAATAACGCTTTTGTGTCAGCAAGTTGACATAGAATCCGCGCTTGAAAGTCCCAGCCATACGCATGAGGAATGCGACATGCCCAATTTCTTCGCCGCTCAAACCCACGTCGACAGTAAGTCTGTTGCCTTGGAGACACTCTAATGAGTGCTGTAGATAACTCGGAAGGCTCGTCGATCGCTGCAGATCCCGTCCATCCATTGCCGAAGTGCATCCCGCGACTTAACTTTGCATCGTTGCATTTATTCCAGGACGATTAACGTGACGATTGTCATGGGCTTGTGGACAGCTTTAGGAGGATCTGTTCGATCAGCTGTTGCTGCTCGAATTGTACGCGAACGATGTTGCGTAGAGTGGACGACATGCAATGAAGCGAATAGACGAAATGCAAAGCAATCGCAATCCCAACGACGACGAAAACTTCCGTGAAGAAATGTCGAGGGTTCGGTCGGAACGACTGGATGGTGGCTGTTGTTTTGGGGGCTTCAGGAAGGTTTGGCGAAGGAGGAGCTGCAGATTGGTCTGCTGTGTGGGCAAGCACACGTGGTGTCTTGGAAGCTTCCGTCGCCTTGACAGTCCAATGTTGCATGGTTTCCTTCGACTCGGCTGCAGTCGCGCTTTCAATCTAAAGGCATGATGCCAGCACGTGAGTGCACTTCACGAAATGGAGATGTTTGTGTTGTTGACCTGTTTTTTCAGCCAAGTGCTCTTGACCCAGTTCAACCGAACACCACATTGAAGTCGGCACTCGGAAGGTCCCGACGGCGTGAACAACCATCGGCTTTCCGCTCGAAAGTAGTCGTGGTATGGCGCGTCCGACACAGTCGACGTGACACTGACAACGAAGCACTTGGTCTTGTCGTATTTGAACCGTTGGATTTGCATTGTTGGGATGCTGCTGGGGCCAACCATGTACTTTTTGTTGTGGGTGTACGCTACAGAACGAACCCCTTGAAAGGTTTCTTGGCGTTGAAATGCCGTGTAAATCGTCTCTACGATTTCCCACGTGCCTAAAGCGCAACTCCTCCATCAAGTGCCCAATTTCTCGTTCTACAAACATACCGACGTCCACGTTCGTTTCTCCGCAACTGTCCAGGAGTGACGTTAAAAAATCGGCGGGGTGCCAAAACCTCGAAAACGCAACGTCCAGGTCGAATGGCAACGTGACGTCCAACACGGCATCGTAATCGTTTGAGAGGATGTGTTGTTCGTCGGCCAGGTCAAGCGTCGTTGTTGCATTTGTCAATGCGCTTGTAGTGTCTGTGGCTGTCGTTGGAGTGGATTTGGTTGTATCTGGAGCGGACTGAGGCTGCCCAGGAGAGAGAATTTCTTGGGTTTGTTTCTTGATTTGCTGCAACTGAGTAATGGATTGAATGCATTCTTCCCTACAGCAGAAACATGACGGACAGCCGGCATGGATGGTACATCGAACCTGAAAAGGAAAGATGCAAAAAAGAACTTTCCCTGCTTTGTTGTGCTCAGCTACAGCAGTTCACATGTCAAGGATTGACCAAAGCATGGGGTGACAGCCACCTACCTCCAATGCATTTGGAACCACAATGGCTGTATTTTTCTTTTCAACATGTGTGACCTCCATGATCGGTACCACCTGTCCCAGCAGTAACAACGAAGAATTGATTGCGCCATGGTGGCATCCTGCTGTCGTACCACGTACGAATCGCGCCATCCAGAAAAACACAGGAAACTTTGCGACAAATACAGGCGGCCGTGGTGTGGGAAATTGTTGAGGTAGAGGGCACACGTAAAGCTCGTGACGACTTGCTCTGATAGCGGCAACTATTAAACCAGGTTGAGACATCGCTGAATACGAAGATTGGATGGACGTGACGCAATTACGTTGAAATTCTTTTGCAGGTCCGAGTGCCCAAACAACTCGTCCTTTGGAGCATCGTCCGCGGTGGGCTTTTTGTCGTTCAAGGCACCGTCCTTGACATCGTCGAGCGTGCGAATGGACAGTGAGCTCAGTGCGCGAGCTAATTTGGGAGGAGTTTTCTCATGGGCTTTGAGTTCGTTGGCTAGCATAATGTTGCCGTGGAGAGCCGGCACAAGGCGGTCGTGGGCTTGCCAAGGGACTTGAGCATGCTGGATGAATTCCTTGATGTCGCTGCCGGGGTTTATCTTGTCTACGTCGCAGCGCACTTTCGATGATGCGTTGAGCAATCCATGGACCAAGTGTTCGTGCGCTTTAACCAGCGATCGCAGCGAACTTTTCTTCACGTCCAAGCGATACTTTTCGTTTTTCATGCACAGCGACACAATTTGACAAATGTCCTGGGCCAAACAGACTCGTCAAACGATGTAAAAAACAATGATGTTGTCCTTACCTGTCGGCGCTGAAGTAACTTGGCGCTCAGAGCTGCACTGTTCACTTCAAGCTGTGATTTCAAATTGTTCACTTCTTCGTGAAGTAGCTCTGCTTTCAGGACGAGTTTGCGCTCTCGGTCCATTGGACTCTCCATGAACCTTTGGAGCATGGCATCCTTTTCTTGGGCACTGTACGCAAGGGATGCCTTTGTAGCAGCGAGTTCTTTCGTCTTGGCTTCAAATTTCTGCTCGAGCTTCGCGTGGATCGCCATTTCGTTTGAGACGGACGCCATGACGACCTGGAGCTGCTCTTCCATGCGCAGCTTGGTCTCAATGTACTCGGTTTTCATCGTGTCCAAGCTGAGCGAGACTGGCTCGGCCAAGAGGGAGCCAAATTCCTGGAGGAGAATGAGACGAATGTTTGCACACTCACATGGATACGCACTCTGTGCAAGTGCGCAACTCGTTGCAAATGAGTAAGTACGGCTTCCCATCCCCGCGCAAGGGTCGTGCCTTCGGCGACCACAACTGGCGTCGCTGATGAAAATAGCGCGGGCTCGGACAACTGCGACGAAGGTAAGGACGCCGCATGGATTCTCTCGAGGGCGCCGACCAACGTTTCTTCCGCCGAAATGCACTCGACGAGCGTATTGAGCATTGTATGTGTGAAGATCACTCCTTGGTCGCTCATCGTCTGCATTTTTGTCACGAGGGTCGTGATCGATGCGGGATTTATGTCAAACTGCAGCTCGGGCTCCTCTCGGCCCTCGGTTTTCAATCCCAGCAACGTGGTAAAGCCGTCGTCGATGTCGTCTAAATCACACCTCAGTCGAGTTTCACCAAGACGGACTGCATCTGTTACCCAGGATGTCGATCGATTTGAGGGCTTCGCGCATGCCCGTAATCAAGCCCTCGACGCGGGACATCATGGCGCCTCGGGACTGTCAAGACGCAATGAAGATGCTTGATCACACCCACGAATACGTTACCTTTTCAGATCGGACGAGCAAGTCCTTAATGTATTCGAGTCGCTGTTCTTCCGTGACCTCAAATGCCATCAAGTTGTCGTGGACTTGTCGCTCGTACGTGTCGTACTGCGTGTTGACAGTGTCCACGGCGCGGATGTAGGCGTCCTCGGATGAAAGAACTTCGTCCAAGCATGCCGTGATCTTTTGCTTCTGCCGCTCCATGGACCCAAGTCCGAGACCTTTGGTAGTGTTGTCCCAGACCTTGGAGAAGATGTCGACCTTTTCCGCAGCATCGGGGACCGGAGGACGCCGAATCGTCTGGATCGTTTCGATAGCTTCCGCGCATTTGCGCTCGTATCGCTCCTTGGCCTTGGTTAGCTTGTTCATGCACTCGATGTACTGGGTTCGAAGCTTTGTGCCCTCTGCCAGCCACGATCAGAGAATCAATGGAATCGCGCAAGTACCTGTAATGAGCCGCTGAATTTGGCTTTCCTGTTGGCTCGTGCACGCTTTCATGCCAGACACGATACTCGATGTATGCATGTTGGAAAACTCTGCGTATTCGAGCGAGATGGCTGCAATTGTGTGATGGAACGTGTTCCACGTGTTTGCGACGTGCTTGGCCCAGTCCTCCGTTTTCACGCTCCTATTCGTGAGTGAGTACATGCGACGCTCGTATCGTGGTGTTCGCACTGTTGAATCTTGGCGAGCTGTTTGCTGTACACCTGCTCATGCGCTGCTCTTTCTTGCAGGTATGACGAGATCGCTTGGCATGTTTGGATTCCGTTTTTTCCTTTGCTGCAAACCGCATTGAATGCACCGAAGAGATGGAATTGGTAGGACAAAGGCGGACACGATGTTTCGACCGCGCTACCGGTTGCTTGTGTTGTCGATGTCTGCGTCGTCTCCATCGCTCCAAGCGACCTTACGTGCAGTCGCTCGTCGCTTGGTGGATTGTTTGTGCCAAGCGTTGCCAAATCGCTCCTCGTGTTGAGAACAATTGGACGAATTGTCCCATCTTTCCGTGCATCTGATTGGCGAAATTTCAATCGTTTTGTCGCTTCCGGTTGCGTATTTCGAGAATTGCTCAAAAATCGATGTGAAAATTTCGTGGAAAACAATTTTTACATCCAACCCCAGATTACGACATGCGACATCACCGGGCTGTCGGATCGACGGCGCCACGCTAGTGTCGTCGTTGTGCAAGCAAAGCCACGACCTACATGCCGACCATGTCGATGCCTCAGCCCAACGGACGCGGGGGCTGACGCAGGCGCAACCAGTGATTGCCCCCTCCCCCGAGGAGACGGACATCTCCGTTGGTGCATTGGAACACATGCCACTCAAACACAACGGGTTCATTGCACCAATTGATCCGTTGGTGGCTATTTCCACATGTTCTTGTTCGTGTCGGTCATCTCGAACGGAAAGAGGGCGGAACGAGCGTGCACTTCGATGCCATCGCAGGTTGAAATTTGAATGCGTGCATTCTTCAGTGTCTTTTCCAGCGTTTGGGTCCCATCCATGTCGACGCCAGTGACGCCCAACCACCCAAAGCCAGGCACGACCAACTCTAGGACAGTCGTGCGCTTCGGTCGCTTGGGGTTGCTTGATCTGCGCAGAGTTGATTCAGTCCTGCATGGATGCATCGCCCATGGCTGCTCACCGAGTCATGACGTCCCCGGTGACGAACTCCTGCACCGTAACCTGCTGGCGATGAACAAGAGGTCCCGTAAAGCTGAGCGCGTCCAATCCACGAGGTGGAGAGAGCAGCCCGCCAGCGTGCTTCATAAACGTTTCTTCCGCATCTACATCCAGAGGTCAACACTAACCGCTACCAAAATTCCGTACTCGCAGTTTTGCTTTGGTGGCCAGGCAGGACACCATACCACGAAAACAGCAGTGAGTTCGAAGCACCCTTGTTGTCCTTGGACAATTCACTCTCGTAGTCCAACCGCAGCATCGCTCCAAGGAAGAGACTCCGTCCTGGAGTCATCTTGAATATGCTCAACTAGTGCGTGTGAGGATCCTCGTCTCCAGAGAGAATTTGAACTCACGGGAAGCTTCTTGCCAGGCAGGATACTGTTGAGTTCGTCAAAGCCTGGCTTGGACAAATTCTCAATCAGCTTTTGGCGCTTTCGGTTGACAATCAAGCCTATCGAGAATTCCATCAAGTCCAATATCTGCCTAGTCGAACAACCCACCGGGTGTGTCGAAAATATTGCACGAGTCATCTCCCAGGGTTATTGGAATGGGAGACACGGCGAGGGTGGTTCCTGGCAGCGAAGATGTCGTCATATACACGTCGGATTTCTTCTTTGACAGCTGCTTGCGTTGCTTGGGGCTCAGCAGCTCGTCGTCTGGGATGTCTTCCTCAGAAAGTTCTGGTTCAGGCGGAGCTTCGGCGACGACTTCACTTACGTCCACGTCCTGGCAGGTGTGAGTCGAGTTTCAAAACTCGACGAGAAAATGTACCGCGATCGACGTGATCCCGCTCTTGATGGCTTTGCTGGGAAATCGCTTCTTCTTTGTCGTGTGCTTGAGCAATGCGTTGAGAAAGGTGCTTTTACCAGCATTGGCAGCGCCGATGACACATATATCTCGTCCTTGGCGGTACTTCTACTCGAGCCAAGGAGCGTCACACGGAAGGAGGGTGTGGTTGGAGCACTTACGTGAATATCCGACACGACATCGGCGATCCCAGCGCCTTTGACCGAGCTGATGAGACGGATACCAATCACATTCTCAATGCCGCATTCCCTAAGCGCATGTTTTTCAGTGGTCAGGTGATGCGTTCAACGTGGAGAGGGACAATATACACTGCAGCCTGCTTGATACGCCGTAAGAGGCGGCGAGACCCCGACTTGACCGGAATCAAATCGCCCTTGTTCACGACCAGCATCACGGGCTTCTTCCCAACGACGTGGCGGGCGCTATTTGATTGTTCAAACTCCTCTCGACAACATTCTGTGGACACTCGTACTTTCCCAGCAAACTCCCAGTGATGTCCAAGATGTCGACGAGTTGAACCATCAGCATGTCGCGCGGCTTTAGCGCCTTCACTCGCTTTTCGTACTCTTCGTAGGGCATCCGCGAGTCCGTAACCTTGCCGTAATTTCGAATCTGAAAGCATCGCTGGCACAGGAGTGTCGTCGAGATGTCGGCGACGCTGTCGAGGTTCTCGAGTGCCTTTTCCGTGCAGAATCCCACTTTATGTTCGTCCTTAAATTGGAGCTCGATGCCACATCCAGTGCACGATAGCTCTTCCATCATGGAGATATGAGCTTTGATATCCGCGAGCGTTGCAGATGGCGGGGCGGCTGTGGAAAACAGTCGAGGCGACAAGTCGAACCTGACAATGCCATTCGCCATGGCACTTCTCGCCGCGATAGGTGCAAAGCGCAAGGCATCCGGGCAAGTTCGCGCCGCGCTGATTGACTTTGAGAGCGCATGTAGCGACTTGGAAAGGTTGCGCAGCATGGGAGACCTCCTCGGTAACGTAATTCCACGACAGACCGGCGCACAAAACCAATCAATTCACTTCAACTTGACTTAGATAAATGACTAATTATCTAATGAATTTTTCCCATTTTCATCTAAAAATCCATAGCAATGTCCATGATGATTGATGCATTATCCAACTCGAACGACAACTTGCTTTGTGGGGTTTATGGAACTGGGCCAGTGCGTGCCGCCGTATGTCTAGTGAAGAGTTGCGTCCTCGCATGCGGCAAGCGCGATTGAGTTGAAATGTTCGCCCAGCGTGTAGTAGTGCAAGTGATACCTACACACACACAAACACAGTTACGGTGATGGGACGAGTGGAGCGCACGCACGAGAGACGTAATGGAGATCGACAGTCGCCGAGGAACTCGTCCCCCATGACAAGGACGGCACTGGACGCCGAATAGACTTCAATTGGGACCATCAGAGCTTGGGCCAAGGCTCGCAGTTCGAGCTGGCCACCCCAGTCCGACGATTCTTCCACGCGTTTGCAGTAGCTATCGAATTGATCTACTTCTTCGTCAGTAGGAGTCAAAATGCGATGGCTGCACCTTGAATGGGCACGCCCGAGTCGTAATTTAACTCAACAAAAGGCAAAAAGTCGTCAGAGTGAGCACGCATATATGCGGCAGTCTTTTGTCGTAGCGCAAGATAAGCGTCCTAGCTCGCGACGTGAGCGACGAACTCGGTGTTGCTGGTACCGTGACGGTAGCGAGACGTCCCGTTAATTTCAGTTGATCGGCAACAGCATGATACATGCAGTGACCGTCCGACGGAATCTCCTTGATGACCAGGTTGAGCGAGGTCAACTGGTTTGAAATCGCGTCGATCTCGATCTGTCGCTGGCTTACGACGTTTTGCGACTCAAACGCGATGCGGTCCTGTCGGTCGCGTTCTTCCTGGCGCTTTTTGTCCTTCGATGCGACGTTAGCCCAGTAGAATGGCCTGGCTTGGACAGCGTACTCGTTTTCGCTGTGCCTTTTCTAATCTTGCATTCGACTTCTCTTCGACAACCACCGGGGCACTTGCTGGCGTTACGTCGGGAGCCTCCTCCGATACCTTTAGCGCTTGCATCTGCCAATCTCAAGTGAGGTCATTGAACAATTGGAGATTGCGAGCGCACAATAGTTTGCAATTCGGTTGCATGCCGTGATGCCGTCGACTTCTCCAGTTCGGCCACGCGCTGTTCAATTTCTTTCTTGCTCAGGTTGTCCTTCTTCAACTTCTTGGCCAATGCTTTGGTTTGGCCTTGCAAATCCTACAATTCTCCATGTTGGAGTTGCCCACCACACATCCTTGGACTCCGTACTCTCAACTCCAGCTTGTGCCGCTGCTTCATCTGCCCTACCGACTCCATCGCACCGGGAGAATCTGGTTGTGTCAAAGTACAAGTACGACCATGAAATTTTAAAGCAATTTTCAATATTCGTTATTGATGAATGTATTGAACATTGAAATTGATATTATAAAAGAAGTATAAAAAACTGACCACAAGACTGTGTCTCTTTTGCCCAGCTGGGAATTACGCGAGTTTTTTAAATAGCGTTTAGATCGTGTACAAACAATGCCCATGATCACCACCACAGTAACACCGATCGAGTCATGGCGACCCGCAGGCAGTCGCTCCAAGAGCGACCCATTCAGTTTGACCAACAAAAGGTCGCTGGAAGCGATGAAAGCGAAGAAACCCCATTGTCTCGCCGCATCTTTGAGTTTTTGGATCAGGGCAACAACGGGGTGATTCGTCCAGACGCGCTGCAAAGTCAATTCGACAAGTGCGGGCTGAGAACGGATGATCCAAGGATTGCCACGCTGTGTGACAAGCTGAAAGCCAACCCGTCGCTCGAGATCAGCATTGACGTGTTCGATGAGCTGACAAACGACTCGTGTGGCATCATCGAGAAGGGATTCACAGGCCAGTTCTGCATCCCAAACTTTGACGACTTTCGCTCGCGTGTGGACCGCTTGGTGGAGGAAACGTGCCGGAATGCGGGAGTCGATACCAAGCACAACACTGCAGACGCCAACACGTTTGTTGTTTCGATGTGCACGGTCGACGGCCAACGGCACGTGTCTGGCAACCAAGACGAACTGAATGTCGAGGTGAGCGCGAGATACGAGCCCGCCATTCCCTTGAAACACTCGATTAGATCTGCATGGAAGGGTGCTGCAAACCAATCTTGTACGGAATGGCAATGGAGTCGAACCCGGGAATTGACAATTACATTTCGCATGAGCCGAGTGGACTGGATTCCCATGCGACGAGCCTGGTAAGGCAGTCGTCGTTCACCGCCCTTGGCTTACCTGAAGCTCTAGCAACTGAAAGACAAAAAACGCCGCCCGCATAACCCACTCATGAACACTGGTGCCCTCCTGTCGTGCGCATTACTGGGTCAGCCGGGGCAAACCCTGATTGAAAAGCATCAGCTTTACGAAGCGCGGCTCAACAATCTGTTTTCCCGAACACCGCAGGAGCAGCCTCGACGCGCCGTGTCTCTAGAAGAAAAGAAGTTCTCAAGCCGAAACATGTCGTTGTCGTACATGCTGGACGACGCCAAGTGCTTTCCTCCTAACACCGACGTGGACGAAGTCGTGCAGCTCTTCTTTCGAGCGTGCGCCGCCACCTGCAGCGTAGACGAACTGTCCCTGTTCGCTGCGATGCTGGCCAACGGTGGCCTTCACCCCATTACAAAGGCGCGCATCATGCAAGCCCAGTCGGTGCGCCAGTGTTTGTCGGTCATGTTTTCGTGTGGCCTGGGCACGTACAGTGGCGAGTGGTCCTTCCACGTAGGCATTCCTGCCCTCAGCTCGCTTGGTGGCGCGATGCTCGTGGTCGTGCCTGGTCTCATGGGATTTTGCTCCTTTTCGCCGACGCTGGACCGGTCCAACAACAGCGTCAACGGCGTCGAATTCTTCAGAGCACTGTCTCGGACGTTTACCTTTCACAACTTTGATTCGCTCCCCATGATCAATTTCCAACGAAAGGACCCGCGGCGTGATTCCAGGTTGGGTCTCGCCGTTGCTGTCCATTCAAATGTCCGGTTTTCCTCGTAGGACCATCCAAGTCGAAATGACAACCAAACTGCTCATCGCCGCGGCTGAAGGTGATGTGTGTGAAGTGCGCCGCTTGCGGTCGCGCGGCGCCAATCTCGATGCGATGGACTACGATTCCCGCACTGCATTGCACCTGGCTGCGTCGGAGGGCAAGATCCGAGTGGTGAACTACCTTATCAAGCATCACGTGCATCTGTCTCCAGTCGATCGATGGGGAGGTGCGTAGGAATGGTTCGTGGGGTTTATTTGATGTGGTCTCGTGTGATTAGGAACTCCCATGTCGGACGCCATCACGTTCGGACACTTGCACGTGGCGCAGTTGCTTACGAAAGCAGGAGTGATTACGAATTCTACCAAGCATGCGAAAACGTCGTCGCGATTCAAAGCGAAACGACCTGTGCTGCTCCAAGACATGTCTGTGTTTTACGCCGCGTATTCTGGGGACTTGCAGAGCTTGAAAGTGTCTTTCGGCAGTGGCCTCAATTTTGCGGCGCTCCGAGATTACGATGGCCGAACACCATTGCATGTGGCTGCCGCGGAAGGGCGCTTGGACGTTGTCAAGTTTTTGATATCGACGGCACGCGTGCCGATCCTCGTCAAGGATCGCAATCGTAACACGCCCATCTCGGAAGCCAAACGCGGTGGTCATGCTGCCGTCCTCGAGTTCATGCGAAAGCAACTGCAAGTGCGTATCACGCTGTCGACATCACATGCGTTGACGGTGCGGTAGACCCCCGCAACAGAGAGCAAGCGGCACTTTCCCGTGCATACCGTGCCCCAAACCCCTCGCCACATCGAGGAGAATAGCGACGACGAATTGGAAGAGTACGAAGTGTCCAGCCACTCGGCCTTTCAGTTCCTCGCCATGGCCACCGAAGATGAAGTGACCACCGACGATGCCAAGGTGAACGTGTCGACCTTGATCACGACGTTGCGCCAAAACGGGTTGCTCGAGGACGATCCCCGCCTCAAGAAACTCGTCGAGAGCGTCAAGTTCCTCGGTGCCGATGCCACGTTGTCCGTCGAGCAGTACCGGTACTTGACCGAAAGCGGCGCGATTCTGCTGGAGCGGGCGCTCGCGCAGTCGTTAATCATTCCTCGATTCAACGACTTTTGTGACGAGGTGCGTAGACGGCCGCCCATGAACGACCTCACATTGCAACACATGCCTAGCTCATCGACATCTTCGAAGCGGCCAAGCTCAACCAGGATGGCCACATCGCCACGTATATTCCGCAGCTCGCGAACGTGGACCCGGAGAAATTTGGGATGGCACTGTGCACTGTCGACGGACAAAGGTACCATCCGCCCGTGGCAGTCATTCCAGTGACATGGGCTCGCGGTTCAGATTCAGCCTTGGTGATGCGAAGGATCCCTTTTGCGTGCAGTCGTGCAGCAAAGCGATTAGTTACTGCTTGGCCGTAGAAGAACTGGGTGTGGACAAGGTGCACTTCCACATGGGATGCGAGCCGAGTGGCCTGCGTTTCAACGACTTGAGCTTGCTCGACCGCGGCGGCAGTCGCGTCCCGCACAACCCGATGATCAACTCGGGCGCCATCATGTCGTCGTCGCTCATTCGAAGGGACCTGCCGCTGCACCAGCGGTTCGAACACATCATGCAGACGTGGAAAGCGCTGTGCGGTGACACGCCGGTGGGGTTTGACAACTCGGTCTGCCTCTCGGAGCGATCGTCGGCCGATCGGAACTGGTGCTTGGGCTACATGATGCGCGAAGCCGAGTGTCTGCCGGACGACACCAACTTGGCGGAAGCACTCGAGTTTTACTTTGAGCAGTGTTCGTTGACGACGTCGTGCGAGTCGTTTTCTGTGCTGGCGGCATCTCTGGCATCTGGCGGTGTCTGCCCCCTCACGAACCACCGCGTGTTCGAAGCCGAGACAGTCAAGAATTGTCTGTCGCTGATGTTTTCGTGCGGGATGTACGACGCAAGCGGAACCTGGGGCTATTCGGTGGGCATTCCAGCCAAATCGGGCGTGTCGGGGGTGCTGCTGCTCGTGATCCCCAATGTGCTGGGGCTTGCGGTATGGTCGCCCCGCTTGGACGAGATCGGGAACAGCGTGCGGGGCGTGCAATTCTGCCAAGAACTGGTCAAGCGGTTCCCGTTCCACAACTTTGACCCGTTCGTGGAGCACTTGAAGAAGCCATCGCCCGTGTACCACGCCGCGGCCAGCGACTGCACGACCACCGACCCTAAGATGCGTCGCAAACTCGCGTACCAGCTGCTGTACGCGGCGTACGAGGGCAATGTCGAAGAGGTCCGCCGGCTCAAGTTGCACGGCGCGAGCGTACGTTGAATTCCTGGTCGCTCCATCGATCGACTCATTCTTACATTATGAACAACAGGTCCATTCCTCTGACTACGACGGGCGCACGGCCATGCACATTGCTGCCTCCATGGGCCACGTGGCGGTGGTCAGGGAGCTGCTGCGTCAAGGTGCGGACGTTCGCGCGATAGACCGGTGGGGCGGCACTCCCTTGACCGATGCCGAGAGATACGCGCCATCCAATGCTGGCGATGTCGTCACGCTGCTGCAGAACGCGCTCACGGTCAATGCGTAATGGGATCGCAACCAAGAGATTGGGCACCAAAGGGCGATGAAAATCGCGGCACCACCACGGCATAGAGTACAACTGCATATCGATGTTTAACTTGAGATGGGTATTGCACGGGCAATTTACGAGGGAAACCTAAGCTTGAAAAAGAATCACAGCGCCAAAGAACGCTATGACGAGGACAACGATCAGTGTGGAAGAGTGTTCGAGGAACATGAGGTTGAGCCCGCTCGCCACTTCTGTCGTCACCGTCGACTCGTCCACCTGCTCGTCCTGTTTTGCCCGCTCCAGTTGCTCGTGCAACGTGACAAGCTCGGGAAAACAGGCGACAAACGTTGGATCTCGGCAGTTTTCGCCCAGACTCAACGCCGCTAGCTTCCGCTTCTCCGAGTCCGGCGTTACGATGCTCCCCAACGTTGGAGTGTTCTCGTTCATGAAGGAAAACAACCCAGCCAGAATGCTGCTCACCGACCACATGGGGTTCCACGTTTCGGGATGGTAGTCGGACATGCTCAAGCACAGTCGCTTGTTGACTTGGAATCGGCCGTTGTTCGTTAGCATGTACACAGCCGGTGGCTTCATGGGGTATTCCGGTGGAAACTTGAGTTTTCCATGGTAATACCCTCCCTCGTACACTCCAATCCCGCGAATTACATAGTGCCACTCAAGGATATTGTTCTCGAGAGGAATCGCTTCAATGTTCGCCTCAGGGTTCTTCCTCAATGCCAAGTACTCCTTGCGAAGACGCTTCGTCGCCATTGCGGAAGCCATCTTGTGTTAGTCCGCGAGGATGTCGCGCCGCTTCCGTCCTTGACTCTGATTGAGTGTGCGACGAAGTAGGACGAAGGTTAGTTCAAAATAAACCTAAAAAATCCAGTCAAACTATTCATTGTTCATTTTATGTATTCGATATAAAATGAACAGAAATAGCTTCGACCATGCCGCACCGCATCGACCAGGACTCCGTCACATGGACGATCACGCTGCGTTGGTCGGCCCCGAGAAGCAACTGCAACATGTAAAGGGCCCTCGGCATGCGCCGATCACTGCGTAGGCAGATGCTATATCTCGCTGGGAATTTGTCCTTCGAATAATCGAAGTTCGCACAAAGGAATATCGAAGTCTGGCATTTGGTTGGCTCACTTGAATTGGCGCGACATCCGCCGGCGACAGTGGAGGACTTGCCGATCATGGTGAATCTCAAGGGAAGTGGAGGCAAAGGGGGTCAGAAGAAGAAGCCTGGTGACTTCAAGCGCCCAAAGCGAAAGGTCGGGCGGAAGGTCGTACAGTCGAACGTGACGAATGCGTCGATCCAGTCCCGTCGAATCAACATGACCGAACAGAGCATGTTGCAAGACAAGTCGGGCGCGGCCGTGACCCACCGCAACCAAACACTGCAGGATATTCTGTCCAAAGCCTCTCATTACAACGCACACGTTCGCCGCGATGCTATGTTCAGCTTGAAGGAGCTCATTCACATGCATCCGACAACGCTGGTCGCGAACATCGGCGTTGTCTTGGAGCGGATGTTGCAAGCTATGGTGGACGACGAAGCCATCGTGCGCGAGGCGTGCGTGACGACGTGGAAAGAATGTTTCGTCAGCCTTGCGTCGTCCAAGTCGGAGAACGTGATCGTGCCGTTTGCTCAGCTCATCCAGGTGTACTTCTGCAGTGGCTTGACGCACATCAAGCCAAGTGTTCGGGACGACGTATTGCGACACATCAACGCAGTCCTGGATGTGCCTGGTTTTGCTCTGCTCTTTGCCGGAGCACTGAGTTCAGAAGAGTGCGGCCGGCTGCTCGAGAACTTCAAGGATACCATCACGACCAAGGCGACTACGGTCCACGTGAAGAACTCGTACAGTTTGTTTGCGGAGAAGGCTAAAGCAAAGCAAAGCCAGCTTCAGTCGAGTGTGTTGAAAGGCCGGTTCTTCGCCGTCGAAGTTGTTCACAAACTGCTTGAAGCGATGGACAGAGCGACGTCAATCGCTGCAGCCAATGCCGTGACCGACCAGATAGCCTTGGCTTCATGCAAGTCGCTCCTTCTCGTGCCGCGTCAGCAATTAGTTGGATGGAGTCCTCACCGAGAAGCAATCAAAGGGGCTCAGGCATGCAACGACCTGTCCTGGCCCGCGAAAGCGGTGTCGCTACTGTCGCCGTTGCTTGGGTTGTGGATGGAGTGCCACGGAGACAATTCATCTAAATTGTCTCCTACAGTGTTGTCCCACTTGATTTTGATTGTGGAAGCGTCGACGATTATCTTCCGAGCGTCGAAAATGCAAGTGGACGACCCAGCGTTGAAGTCGTTGTCACAGACGTTTTTCAGCGACTTCCCGCGAGCCCCCGCAGATGTCTTGAGCTCGGGTGATACGTCGTCAATGCACGTATGGAGCGCTCTGAATTTGGCCATCGCGCAGTGTGGATGCAATTGTTTATCCGGGTCGAATTCAACAACTATGGACGGCGTGCTCACTCGGTTTGTCCAGTCCGAACTTGAAACCCTCGCCACATCCGATCGACAAATCGCCCAAGGACCGAGCTTGCTCAAAGGTCGGCTGCAGCTCGTCACGTCTTTGCTGGAGAGAGGAGACCGTCCTGAACTACTCGAAGCTTTTACGACGCTGTACATGTGCAGTGTTCCAAACTCGGCCACGTTTCGCGTGTGTTCAGCCTTTGCCCTTCAACATCTAACCCACGTCTTCACGGCTACATCGCGAGGCAAGGTAATCCCATTCGACTTGTTGATTCATAATCTAACCGTTCGTGGTAGATCGAAGCCATGTCCTGGTCCATGATCTCCAAATGGATGGACCGATTTGGGCTGTACATGCTTGCGCTTGTGGACGCAACGACCCACCGCGACATTTTCAACTCCATATTCCGAGTGTCCATGGGTGTATTGTCTCGAATGCCTACCGACGTGGCAGCATCGGAACACATCGAGTCGTGGGCGAATTCGGTCGTTGCGTTCTTTACGCCGTCTACGAGTCCGGTCTGGTTCGGCCACTTGCCGTGGGCGAGTCAGTTGGAGGCCGTGGCTCTATTGCACCACTTGCCAAAATACCCGCCAACGTTTCTGAGGTCACTCGCCACGTGCTGCAAGGCACAGGAAATATCGGTGGACGCAAAGAGCTTCGTCATCGACATCGTATCGGGCCAAGGGTCACTCAATAAATTCGATCGCGGTGCACTTCTCAGCTTTTACATGAGCGCATTGTTTGCAGACGGGAACGACGCGTTGTGCCCGCAAGTGTGCCGATTGCTGAATGCCCTCAACTTTGGACCCACGTTATCTTCCATTCTTGCTCCGACTTTGTCCAAGCAAAGCGTGGAGGGCAATACGCTCGCCTTGCTCATGGCATTTGTGGTTTGCTTGAAGTCGTATGCGTCGGTGAGCGCCAAAACCAGCGCCATGGACAAGCTGCCAACCCCAGAAGTGCTGAAACCGCATCTCATAACGTCACTTGTCCAAGTTCTCGTCGATCCCAAGCTTGACCAATTCATTCCCCACGTCTTTGAAGGCATGCGATATTGCAATGGCGTGTTTTTAGACGTTGCGGCCCGTCTTGCCCATGACGTGAAAACGTCATCCATGTTGCTGCGCATGCTGCGCGAGGCCAGTCTTCGCAAGATCGTCGGATTGTACCATGCCGACTTGACCGACCTCATTGATGGCATTCCTGCGACCGACGAAAAGCGACAGTTGGTCAACGAGCTTAAACTTGTCGTTGTTCATGCGTAACTTAGCTTTTTATGTCATGTCGCCGCGTGCACAGACACCGCCATGATGCCGTGAAGAAGTGTTCGATGCCAAGGACAAGATAAATTGGAAATTTGTGCGGATATGTATAAGCTACGTGTGCAGTGCATTCCGGAGAGCGTAGCACAAGCCGTTGTGCACAGCGTTTACTCCGTGCGTTGTGTCTAGCAGCCGTTCGACCAGATTGACTTCGACTATGGTGCATGGGATTTGTGACGGGGGGGCGTCCGTGTCGGAGTCGTTGGTGCGCAAAACGCCATGCAATCCCGCCATCAAGTCATCGAAGTGCGCTTGCACAGGGCGAGCTTTGTCGTCCTTGTCCTGCAGGATCAGTCGAATGCCGGCGACGCTGGCCTTCAAGGCTTGGATTCGACTTGCGTGCAGGCCCGCCTGTGTGTGGGTTAGCGATGGGGTATTCTTTATTCACTTGGCAGCAGGAGGATCAGCACCTTTCGACTCAAGATGGGCGACTCGGTGAACCGTTGGTCGGTCGCATTCGTGGCTGTTCCGAGCGCAAAGTACAGGACGAGTTCGTTGGCGGGACCGTTGACCCATTGCGCACATATCAATCCACCAGGAATTTCTGGGTCGTCTTTGGGCGGCGCGGTGAGGGACTGGAAGCAATGTTTGGAGTACACTGAATGGTTGTGCAACAAAAACGTGTGCAGCGTCGCCATCGTTTGGTGCATCGCGCTGGACAGTTCTCGGTCGTAGATGACGTCGAGCTCGCGCTGCAACGACATTAGGTACGGCACAATCAAAAACCCCACATGATCTAACGACGCGTTGTTGTTCAACGCCTTTGCCGCGGACAAGATTTCGTGCTGAACGGGGGCTGACAACTTGTCGAGGGCAGTCGCGGTCACGACATGAACTTGTGTCGTGTGCCACAGCACGTGCAGTTGCTCCATGAGGGTGCAAGCCATGACGAGGTAATGGTACGCTGCCTGGGCTTGTTTGTCTTTGTCGTTGCCAGTCGCGTGGTTCGTTTCACCGTAGACTTGGACGAGCTCCATGCACGCCCGATGCATGAGTTTTCGAGGGTGGCGTCCATCTTTGACCCAGATTTGCATGGCGTCGACAAGAAACGGGATGCACTCGTGCGACGTCTTGTCCTGTCGACGCATGACACAGCCACGAAAGTACAGCAGCGTGGCCTTGAGCTTGGGATCGGGAAGCGATACGTGGGCGAGCGCTCGCAGCCCATCCTAGAAGATCATGATGAGATTTTAGTCGTTGTGATCCAGGCAGGTGACCTCAACGTGGGATTGCATGAGCGCAAGAGATGGAGCCGCCATGCCGGTGTCGTGCAAAGCCAGCATGGCAGAGACGACGTGGGCTTTTACAGCGACGTACAGCGCAGTGTGCGGATGATACACATTCACAAGGGCGTGTTGGGAAGGAGTCGAGTGCAGCCCAATCCAACCTATCGCCAACCCATCAAACAATCAGCCGGTATGTTCGTGTGCAGTGTGCACACCGTGTTCCTTCATGATCGCATTCATGACGTCCAGGGCAGCTTGTGTGTACTTCAGACTGGCTAGCAAGGAAGACTCTGGCAAGGTCGACGCAGCCGCCTTGGTGTTTAACATGTAGCTCAGGAGCAAGAGCACTTCCACTCGAGTTGTTGTTGGAGAGAAGGCGTCGTCGTTCTTGAGCCACTCCATCCCGAACTTTTCAGCATCCCCGCGACTTCCTTCTAGCACCAACGCTTGGAAGTGCAGCGCTTGAATTTCCCGTCGAAACTTTGCTTCGTTCGCAGTCTGCGCCTCCTGCGCCGCGATCTGGCACCCTTCAATTGCTGCTTTGACATGGCCCTGCATCAAGTCACACTTGATCCACTGGATGCGGCACCGAAGCCAGAACAGCACGCCCAGGTCACTCGACACACAATCAAAATGAGTGTCGTCCACTGTCGCTTTCGTCGTCTCTCGATACCGCTTCATCGCGGTTTGAAGGTGCGCCCGGGCAGCATCTGCCAGCCCTTCTTGCAGCGCCAGGATCGATTGCGCCAGCATGCACTCGAGGGCAACCTTGGTCTGGTCCACCACGTGAAGTTTCTCTGCAGTCGGCGCACTTCGTCCAGCGTCGGGTTCAGCCACACGGGGTGTGCTCTTTTCTTTCGGAGTCGTGTGGGTATCGTCGCCCTGCGCCGGTGCAATGGCCACACCCGTCGCACTTGCCTAGTCCAAGCGTTGGAGTGCGATGTATTCGCAACGTGGGGCAACGAGATCTACCTGGAGATGGGTCGCAACTTGATTCGCAATACGTTTCAGGGCAATTCCTTGTGGACTCGTGCTTTCGTTTAGTGCCAGCGCCATGATCCATCGCAACACAGACAGCGACAGCAGGTACGCCAATCTCGACCCGAGTTTGCAATCGCTGACCAGTTTTCCGACCGAAAACTCCAACAGCCATTTGTGCAGCGCTTCGTTGGCAGGGTCCCCGATGCGTTTCGATTGCTCCAAGGCCATACTGTGGTGGCTGAGCAAGTCACTCAAGATGCACACGGCTTGGTCCATGTGACCCATTCCAACGCACGCTTCAAACTTCATTCGCTTCGCCTGGGCCTCCCCACGGGTGTCGTGGAAATGGCGACTGGCGAAATACTGCATCCCACACGCCAGAGGCAATGCCTGGGCGAATTTCCCGTTCGTCAACAGCGTTTCAATGGTGGTGGTGGACATGAGGAGGATGCTGGCAGGCTGAATGTATCGTAATGGTTTGCTGGCCAAAGACGCAAAGTCCGGGTAAATCGTGTAGTTGGAAAACGTGTGGAGTTCATCGACGTTGGGGTGCTGCAATGCACATGTGAAGAGCTTGCAAAACGCCGCGCTGCTCATGAGGGCATACTCAAGCCGCTGGTTGAGGTTGTCGTGGAGAGAAATCCACGCCAGCTTGCCCAGCATGTTGCAGCACATGATGATGACCCACATGTTGTCGCCGTCGATGCGTAAGGTAGCCTCCGGAACAATTGAGCGCCAGTTTGTCGTGGCGGCCAACGCTCCAAATACAGCATCGATGCCGTCGTTCCATGACTTGGCGGCGCCAGGGATGTCGCCCTCGCCAAAGAGATAATCCCCTTGCTCTTGTAGGACCTGCACCAGGAGCAGGGTCGCGCGCTTTTGGCGACACAGCGAGATGGTGCTTTTAAACCCGGCCAGGATATCCTTTGCCTTGTCATGGCACAGGTACTGTTTCGTCACGGCTTTTTGCGTTCGGTGGAGGACTTGCAAACACATATTTTTGGACCGGGTTGCGTGTTCGAGCCAGGTCTTGACCTGGACAAGTTGGCGCTGCAGTGTCATTTGATACGCGATCAAGTCCCTCAGCTTGATTTCCTTGAGCTCTCGTTCCTCTCGGAAGTTGCGTTCTTCTTCCGTGATCACTTCGTGCACAACCAGTCGGCTTTTCTTCTTCTTCTTCTTTGCCTGGAGCTCTTCAAAAGTCTTGACGTACTGACTCAAGTCGTCAGTTGCTGTAGCAACCGCCACGCGTTGCCCATCGCACCGTTGGCTCTGCGCGTATACGACCCACGGCAGCACTTGGTCGGAGTGCTCGCTCCCAGTCAAATCGTAAACACGCTTGCCCAGAAGCACCAGGCGCTCCCATTCCCCCGCCGTGCACAACACCTACAGCGCCGTCCGCACATCAGGGCAGCCACACCTCATGGCCATACATACCTGAATCGCGTACGTGACAAACTTGACCGCCCACGGGATGTCGATGTCGACAGGGATGGAACCGACCTGGACAGGTGGAGCATTCGAAGCGCGCTCGTCCATGTCATTGATGACAGTGGATCGATAGATCACGTTGGCGTCGTCAAATGCAACGTTGTTGCTCAGCATGTCCAACATGTCCATGAACCGCATGGACAAGATGTAGAGGGATCGCCAATCGTAGTGGTTTTGGAAAGATGCCGGCGACAGCCACTTGGCCCACAGCATGTTCCATACGGTTTGCACACACGCTTGCAAGTTGGTCCACGCACGGGCATGATAGAAGAACTGGCTTGCGGTGGTCAAGTTGGTCAAGGCGCCTTCCACTTTTGGATCGTGCTCCGCTTTCGGAGGGTCGGTTGAAACTAGCGGTGGCGTGGCAAAGTACTGCCACGAGATATCGTGGTCGGGCCCTTCCAATGGATTCCCGACGGTGGCTGCGTTCAGTCCAGCATGCTACATTTCATTTCAGTGGCCCCTCGTCGAAAATGGATGGAGAATACCAGAGTAAGGCCCATGAGGTAGAAATATTCGCCGCTCCACAAGTAAACGTCACGATTGCAAACGTCGATGGGCTTGGGAATGTCTGTTTGCTCGCTCTTGGGTTCGTCGATGACTGCATCGGGTCCATGAGGGGTCGGTGGACTCGCTTCGACGTGAAGGTGGCCCGCTCCAAGTTCATGGAGCACGTGGTTTGCTTCGGGACTTAGCTCGAGGGATGAGTGCCAACGGAGGTCCTTCAACGAGTCGCCAACGTTTCGCTCGCCGTTGGCCATCCCCAACTTGATGACTCGACACATAAACGCCATGAAGCTCTTGTGACCTACACAAGTACTGAACAACCCACTGCAGACGGAAGATGGTGTTGCTACCGGCGAAATGGGATTTCAACTCGGCAATTGCTTTCGTCGCCGAGACGTTGGTCCATTGCAACACATCTTCGATTCGAGTTTGGTTTCCGTTGAGAGGCTTGTCGTCCCGCGGCGTCGTCTTTTTTGGCCCTTTGTCGCCTTCGGATCCATCACCGTGTTGGTCGGGCTTCAAGTCGACTGCAGCGCTCCACGTGCGCGAGAGGAAGATCGCATCGCGCAACGCAGCAGCTTCTTTGCAAGGCACGTGAAACGGGGCAACCATGAAATTGTATGGCGCCGCAGCGAGTCTCAGCTTCAAAGCAATTTGCGCGACTTTGTCTTCCTTGGAGGCTGTCGCGATCCTGAGGACTTCGTAGCTGGCACACATGTACACTTCGTAGATGGAGTCGTCCCACTGGTCTGTTGGAACGAGTTGAAGGCTCTACGAGCGCCACGTGAGGCACACTTTGCCATTTCGAGCGAAACGGACCTGAACCAACAAACACATCGCCTGGAGCAACAGGCGTCCCGTTTGGACATGGCGCAACATCGGGACCATCAATTGGTACATTTTGTGCGAAATGGTGCAGATGAAGTCGCTTTGGTCTGTCAAGCATGCAACTTCCAGGCATATCATGCACTTGCCAATGGCTTCCGTCACTTGGGCTTTGTAGACCGCGGTGTAGACAACGGGACGTCCGATGTTGGTGGGTGAGTCTGGCGGGTGGTCGACTTCAGCATCGATGAGGATCAACATGGTTGTGAAAAACATGTGCACGACCTAACAGAAACTAGTCACGACATCGTGGAGGCTTCGACAAGGCGCACCTGCATCGGGTATTGCATGATGACGCCCGAGGCGGTCTGTTTCTTTGCCCTGTAAATCCTAAGCGCGTGCGAAAACAGTGGGCTACAGCGCCACTTGTCCCGATTTGCACCGTCCAACGACACAAACTCCGTGTACACCGTGGCCGCTGCCTTGGTTGCGATGGCTCTGCACAAGCTTACATTACACCGACAACTGTGCAAAATCGCACGTACATGTGGTTCAAGTTGGCAGCTTCCTTGGCCAGAATGCCGTAGCACATGGTCAGGACCAGCGGATTCAACGTGAGGATGGGAGCCGATGTCGCGCCAATTCCTTCGACAACTTGATCATGGGCATCGTAGGCGGCCACTGCAAACACGTAGCTCTCGTTGGGCAGGAGCCCTGATACCGTCGCCTACCAGGAAATTTCAATTCCCAAACTTGGGGCACTTCAACGAACCAAAGTTGGACGGGATGTCGGGACTCGGATGGTTCCCGTTCCCGGGAACTCCATGTTGTTGAGAGATACGTCCGTGCCTGCGCCAGTTCCCTTTCCAAACACGCAATAGTATGCAATGTGGACTCCACGTGGATTGTACGGCACAATTTCAATCGTGACAAAGGTTGAGCCCCGCGACACAAGCAGCGGCGCTCGAGGCTTGGAGTGCATGGGGGTGCTTTGGGATTGCACCGGTCTGGCACCTGCAACCTGCCCGTCGTGCTTTTGAATGTGATCGAAGCAAGTCAAGGCTTCCTGCAGCAACCTTTCTTCATCGCTTGCGCCTGTGCATGACGTCAGTGACGATGAATGTCCAAAAATACTTACTTTTGGCTTTGAATCGAGCGAGTTGGATGGCCAAGATGCCACGCAGGTAGCCGTTTTGATTGCATTCGAAGCGGAGGCGCTTGGCGACGGTCACCAACGTCATGGCACTCCTTGCTTTGGCAACTTGCAGCTCCATGCCATACAAGCGAAATGCAATTTCGGTTTGGATGGATGCGACCATCCATCCCAGCTTGGCTTGTTGAAACATTGTACCTTGAATTAGGGGAGATGGGTGCTTGATATCTTCGCCGGCAATCGGCGCCGCGTTGATGGCAGAATGACTGAGTAGAGCCAGGCCCTGTGGCGTGTCGACGGAGGCATCGTGAACATCGACACTGACCATGGCGTCACGAGCAGCCGACATGACATCTTGCGCAACTCGAAGAATTTGAATCGCTAATCTTGGTTGGGTCAGTAGGTCGAGGAGGTTGGCCAAATGGAGCGCCAAAGTTCCTCGCCACACGATGTCGTCGAATTGCAGTTCATGAGATGATACATGGAGTGCCATCAGAACTCGCGAGGCGTCCCGGGCTAAGTGTGCGTTCCATTCTTGATCCTGGCGAGTCTTGCTCAACGACTCGAGCATTGGTTCAGCAAAGTCGTGCCAAATAAAGAGCATGATTTCGACGAGCACATCGTGCCTCAACTCACACATCTCGCGGATCTCGCATGCTTGTCGCAGGTGCGAAACCACGCTGAACAAGCGAAACCGGTCGCTTGCATTTTCAAGCAGCTCGTAAACTGCAAAGAGGAGGTCCACTTCGGTTGCGTCCACTGCACTCGTCGTGGGGTCCAGTTGAGGTTTCGTTGCGTGGTACATCTCAACGAACAAGGGCCACTTGCGAAAGCGGAAGAGCAGCTTGAGGGTGCAAATGTGCAATCCATCGGTGAACTTCGTGTCTGCTGCCAGGGACGACGCGTACGTGGCGATGCCGTCCGTGTCAGAGGTGGTCAGAGCAAAAGGTGGCTTCACTTCAAACTTGCGGAGGAGATTGAGACTCGATTGAGGTTTCCACAGCTTGTCGAGGCTAGCTAAGATGACCAAGAGGCGAGATTCGGAGTTCGGAAAGGCAACTTGAATTTCGTCTTTCGACAGCGAGATCAAAATTTGACCGGGATGAGCTGAAGTCGAGGTTGGGCTCGCCCCCAACGCAGCTGGTGAAGGGGCCGTAGCAGTCGCTTTGATGAGTTTTTGAATCACGAACCGGGACCTCTGAAGCTTGTCATCAGCTTGCTTGAGGACTCGGATTGTTGAGTCTGAAACCGGTGGGTCGAGCTCTACTTCTCGTCGTAACTGTGCTACGCGAGACACGCCGTGGTCAATGGCGAGAAGAGCAGATTTCCACAGGCGTTCTCGCTGGGTAGGATGCTTCCTGGCCAGCGCTGCACATCTCTTAGACCTTTCAAGCGCATGGATTGAAAATGCATACCGTCGTAGCATTCGGCGACAGTCACGTAGATGTGGCATCGCCACAGACAATACTTCAGAGTGCAAAGCTGAATGACGGAATCGAGAACCAAGGCGGCCAACTTGATGAATGGCAGCATGGCTGCTTCAAACCCGAGAGTTTTCATTGGTGTGCACACCCCCATGATGTGAGTTGTGCCATTTAGGACGTGCGCGACGAATTTCGCATGATTGACACTGTTGTCTTGGACTTTTGGGTCCAGGGCCAGCTGCACTGCTAGGCACAGCGTCTTCTCCATGGCGTGGAGGACGTCAACTAGTTCTCGGAGTGTGGAAGGGTACGCGATGCATGGATCAGCAGCCTTGAGTAATCGAACGCGGCTCAGAGCGTGCGCATACGCCGCGCGAATGTATATTTCATGATCTTGGTATTGTCGTTTGGTGGACCCTTCAAACAACGTGATTGCTGCATGGAAAAACGCCATGCTGGCGGTGCATTCTTGAAGCTGAAAGAAGGCATCGCCAAACTGCACTAGTAGCTCCAGAGCCGACGAAAACGACAGCTGCTCACGCACGCGGCGCTTCAAATGCTGCAGCTTATGGCAAGTCACACCAAAGCAGCCAACTTCGCACTGGATCTGCCCACCAGCGTCCATCTCACTGTCGCCAAGCTTACGACTCTTTGCTTCTCGTATGGTTGAAACAATATCCGCGATTTCGTTTCGAAAGTTGAGCACGAGAACGCTTTCATCGGTGTCGCCACCGTTCATGGTGTCGTTCCCAAAGAGATCCAACCCTGTGCCCCCTCGCAGCACGACGTTTCGGCATGCACTGCACTGAATTTGTTGATGTAGAAAAATATTGCCCATCTTGATATTGGATCAACATGTTTTTCGGATTTATTGAATCAATATATATACTCGACAATATATTATATACTAAGTATTTAATATATTGTCGAGCAGGGCGATTGCGTACCATCAATATTTGTTTATTCATATATGTAATTGCGAGCGACGTACCTTGTCCATGAGCTACCTCGACTGGAGCAACAACCGATGCAGTTCGCAGTGGCAGACGCCAAGAATCATTAACCTCCTCATGTTCAACCTGTTCTCGTCTGCAATCGTGGAAGCGTTGTTTTACTGACTAATTCGACTGATACGCTACAGCGCCTTGTGGTAACAAGATGCCATCCGAGTCCCTGCGGTTTACAATACTACGTAGTAGTTACTCTTGTTTTTCCTCTTGAACGTGACGAGCTGCAGGAAGGTAGGCAAGGCATCCACAAGCCCCGATTTCTCGACAGCATTCCAAAGGTAGTGGTACGCTTCGTTAAGTTAGAATGAAAGCATTCTCCATCAACATCCTAGGAATGTCGACGATGTCTGTCAACTGTTTCATGCTGCTAAAGCGTGCATGGGCCATGGGCAGTCACATTTCCTCTCAACAAATGTCGTCTTGTTAAAGTGATATCCGACAGACAATGAGCGGGATGGTCTAGTACTACTACGCCAACAACAGTACTAATTTTACTAGAAGTCACATCTGGTTTCTGTGGCGCATCCACGCCGCCAAATCAGCCGCGGGCAACGTGATGTCGTCGCCTCGAGGAGACAAGCTGCCATCAGGATGGACACGTGTCGATAGCAAGAGCCGTCCTGGGGAGTACTACTACTTGAACAAGAAGTCTGGAGAAAAAACGTGGAAACTCGCAGACATTGTATCCAAGGAGTCCAGCAAGCGCAAGCGATCAGCCGACGAATGCAGTGGCCCCAACAAAAAGCACAGCGAGTCCCAGGTCCAAGTGATGCATTTACTTGTAAAACACGTTGAGAGTAGGCGCCCGGCGTCATGGAGACAAGACCCAATCACGCGCAGCAAAGAGGTGGCACGGTCACGTTTAGAAGGTCTCAGAGACCAAATCCTTCTTGCTGGAAAGAATCAAGACAACCCGAACGCGTTGAAAGAAAAGTTCCAAGAGCTTGCCACTACCGAAAGTGACTGCAGCAGTGCGAAGCGCGGCGGGGACCTGGGCAAGTTTGGCAAGGGGAAGATGCAGCCGTCATTTGAGAAAGCATCGTTCGCCCTTCGTGTCGGTGAACTCAGCGACATTGTGGAGAGCGATAGTGGACTTCACATCATATTACGTACTAAGTAGTCGTGCGGAAGTCGCTGAATGCAGAACGCTCGCTCTCTTGGAGCTTTTTGTCTGCGATCACAGGGGACATTGTGAACAGAACTATGTTACTACAATGCAAATATTTGAGAAAGCGGGTCGGCGGGGGTCAGCACCGACACACAAGGCTCGAACGCGAGTGCCACGTGTTGCTTTTCTCTGCGTTTGGCCGCTTCTTCGATCAAACTGGCGTACGAAATGTCGATATCTGACGACAGATCCACCATTTGGGTTCGCAGCTTCTCCTGTAGTACAGCAGTCAATCATTTAGAAGCCAGCAGCACTAGGGGCAATCTTACTTCAAACATCTTGGCCTTCGTCGACACTCCAGCATGGTAGTGTTGCTTGAGGCTGAACAGCTCCCACAACGAGCTTTTCAGCGCATGGCACTCGAGCGGGTCGTTCGTTTCGTTGTCAAACGGGTCCTGGCCACCCGACAGTTCAACGCGCGTGGTGTTCTTGGAGATTTCCTTGGCGGCAGCGTCGATTTGATTTTTCATCTTGAGCATTTCTCGCTTCTCAGCAGCTACAACCAACGGGGATCTATCTCTGCATGCAACAATGTAAAAAAAAGTACCTCGGTCGGCCACGGACTGCGTCGTCGTGCGATGGATGAGCTGCAGACACTCCTTGTGGCGCAGCACCAAGTTGTACACACATGGAATAATGAACAGAATGGCGCCGGGCTCAGCTGTCAGCGTCAGTCGAGACAACCTAAAGCAAAATGTCAGTTTGAGATGTTCTGTGAGTTTCGTACCGTTTCGCAAAGGCAGCGATGAGGTACGCAGGCAAGTTGGTCGACGACAAGAACATGGCCAAGAGCTTGAAAAATCGTTTCCTGCGGAAGAACTCTTCAACTCGTGTGCCGTTCATATGCAGGAGGGTGGTCGAACCTGTACTTTGATCGCAGGAGCGCCTCGTCTGCCACAAGTGCGTACAATTTCGTAAAGAAAGCGGGGTAGTCGAAGTTGTACTGCTGGATGAGCACGAACAGACTGTTGAGAGCCAGGAGACTTGTGATGCCGCCCACGTTGTACGAATCGGTGAGGAAGTCCGCCAAAAGCAATGGATCTGCCAGATGTGGCATGACTTTGTCGGGGAGGTTGGCCAGCACGAGTTTGTACGATTCCTACCAACGTCTTGCATGAGAATTCGCGATGGGTTCAGAATGTGTTGTGTACTGTCGGCAACGGGTGCTTCAACAGGCCAATCCAGCACGTACTAAACACGCGCTGGTGCTCGCGCAAGTCGTAGCCTGGTGGATCGGCCTTCAACTTCTTCTGGCTTTTTGAAGACTCGGAGAGCGATCGTTTGTTGTTGGATTTCACCGTGGACACTGCGTTGCTGTCTGACGCGTCTTCGATGGGCGCAACGTCTTTTCTTGGTGGAGCAAGAAATGCCATCACGTCTTCTTCCGAAACGGGGAGCTTGACCTGACGAACATCATGACTACCATGCCAAGAACCTCTTCGTACCGATTCAAGGATCGCGAGGCTGTTCTTGACGACCCGCGGCCCCACTTTCTTGGTCTCGAACAACTGGGTCAGGTTTTTGAGCTATAATCATCGTGAGATCATCATGGTGAGATCATCGTGCGATCGCGAATTGCTTTAGGTACCGTAAAATATTGCACATCGGTAAACGCGTTCAAGTACTCGCCTTGAAACACGCTTAAGAGCTCGCCTTTGATGTCTGAAGTGGACACGAGCTGGCGCACGACGCGAACGAACGTTTCGTTTCCAAATGCTGTGTCGCTCTGGAATCCTTTGTATGTGCCCTGTTGGGCCACAATTTCCATGGCAGTGCGGAGAGCGGTCACCTACTGAATGGTCACGAATACCCTCATGTGCAAGGCAAAACTAGCACCTGAAGTGTTGCGTCATCGTGTGTGATCCATTCAATCACGGATGACAGGAACGACACGTATTGCTCCCACAGCCACTTGCAGTACGTAGTTAGCGGGTCCGCGTCTTCGACGTGGGAAGGCACTGAGGACATCGACGTAGTAAGGTTCAACGAGCAGAATAGCGCGAATTAGTTACCCTTGAGTTCCCCTTTTTCGGCAAAGTATAGGAACAAGCGTCGAAGTGACTGCACTGACGCAATGGCGGCAGCTCTGTCGTTACTGTTCATGGTTTCCAAGATTATCAACAGCTCTGCGCCTCTCTGTTAGGTCATCCACCACCAAAGAAAAGCCCTACCGTTGGCATTTTTGGGGTCCTCTTTGATTTTGGCCTCCAAGTGCTTCACATCGACGGCGCTCGTGGACGGACTCATGGCGCGGCAATCACTGCAACGAATTGATGTATGGGGATTGGCCCTGCCTGCAAATGATTGGTGCTCCAAACAATCCAATTACGGTAATTAGTGTATTTATCGTAAATAGTGTCCAAATTTGGCCAACCCAACAATGAACAGGTCACACTAATATTGCTATGGTGCAATATTGTAGTTTTGATGCAAAAGGCCTATGAGACAAAAGTGCTCCCCATTAAGGTGAGATATTGATCACGACGCCATTTGGCCGATAATTCTTCGCACGCTACCGAGTGCCCACCGCCCGCCCTCCCGCCGCTTACGACCTCCTGCAACACTCGATATGGAGCTCTCCGAATGGATCCACACGACCCATGTGCCCATTATTCTCTTGAACGCATCAGATGAAGCCCAGCGGATTTGCAGGAAGAACGGAGGTCTTTCAGTCGAGCAATTGCTGAATGGATTCGGAGTCTTTACGCACGCCGACACGCCAGTGCGAACGATTAACGGCCACATCAGGTTACCCGAGATGCGTCTACGGTTCATAAGTACCTCGAGGTTCAAGCCGTCGTCGTCTGAAGAAACAGCCGTCAGGTTGAACCATGTCGTGTCGACCTCGGCAACGGCATTGACAGCAGGCAACAACCTGCCGTTGGTCCTTGACCCTGTCCAGACGGAGGCTGACGTTCCGTATTTCTTGCGTTCCATTGGAGGGACTGCCGCAGACTCGATGCCATGGTATGGTTCGTTCAAACACGAAGTCATGGAGAGTTTCCAGTGCGACGACACAAGCATGATGTATCACCCCCACGCGTTGATGCTTGTCGTGTCATCCACGGAGGCCGACCCTCGCCATGCATTTCACCAACTCGGGCTCAGCGAACGGCTTCCACAGGTATTTCAAGATGGGCTGTACGACATGAACTTGCCCAAGTACTACCTCGTCCTTCACGACACTTGCGAAACGCAGCACACGTCGATTGATCCCGCCGCGATCTATCGCAACCTAAATATCCCCCCTACCTCCGGTGGCGTTGTTCGCATCAATTCCCTGTCGACCCCAGTCTTGAACGACGTGTGGAGCAACCATCCGTACGTGCGCAGTCTGTCGCCTTCGTCGCCAGACCTGCCGTATGGATGTTTTCTGTCGGACGAAGATCGCTTGGCGCTGCGCACGATGGTATGGGAATTTGGCGTCAAGTTTGTTCTCCCAGCCATCGAGTCCAAGATGTTTGCATTGAATGAAACAGTGGCAGCCGTTCGAAAAGGCGTTCGCAACGCGCTCAAGGCGTGGTGGCGCAAGCCCAAGGAGACAGCGAACCGCGCGTCCGTCTACCTGTACCGGTTTGATTCGATCGAGTCCAACATGCGACTTTTGGCTGATATCGCGTTCCTCATCCGGGACTACGACTTGGCGTACAACATGTACCGTCTTGTTCGCGACGACTACAAGAACGACAAGGCCATGCTGCACTGCGCCCACGCAAACGAATCCATCGCACTCTGTCTGTACATGATGAAAGGGTCGGCAGCAGATATTCACCACGCATTGGAGACGACGGCAGGCATTTACTCCCGACTGCAAGTGGCCAACTCCCAACTGTCCCTCGTGCGCCACTCGGCCCGTACCACGATCATTTCGAGCGAGATATTTATGCACATCTTCCGTCAGAATACCAACTCGGAGCACATGGATTCTGCATCAGCGGCCCTTATTCGAGGTTCCAGCGCGACTGACCCCAAGTACTCTGGCCTCGGTATTTGCTCGGCTGTATTCCTCGAACGTGCCGCTTTTTGCGACTTGCTTGCTCGCAACACGAAGTTCCGCAAGTACGGATTTCGCATGGTGATGGCAGGGCATGTTTACTCGATGATGGGCTACGAGCCGCATGCGGCCCGGTGTTATTCGTGTGCTCGGGCTATTTACGCCAACACGAGGTGGTACCAGGTGGACGATCACATTACTGGAACGTTGGCCAGACAACTTTGCGGGCTGACCCTTCCCCAGCAAGCCATTGCGCTGCTGTTGACGCGAATCGGGTCTGGTCGCCACTCGAAAGGACAGCAGTTGACGCTCCTGGCCGAGTTTTACGACATGGTTTCGGAATACTTGAAAGACCACAGCGCTCTCGGGATTCCTGATTTTCAAGTTATCGAGGCGGGCGAATCCAAGGTGCTACTGATCAAGGCGCTGGTGATCCCGGCGATACAGGACCAGTCCGTGCTTGTGTTTGCCCCAGACAACGCATTCGAATTGGCGGCTCCTGTAGAGAAGGACGACTGGAAGCAAGTCGAGTTTACACTGATGAAAGAAGAACGTATTGAGCATCTGGCGACGTCTGGAGAGAAGGACTGGTTGGAGTTGGCCCTGTCGCCGCCAGGGTTGCTGCAGCTGCCCCTTCGCGGTGGCAAGAAAAAGGGCGAGGGGAAGCCCAAATCGTACATGCTTGGCGAAACCGTGTATGTCGAGTTCCACGTCAAGAACCCGCTTGCGTGCGACGTTGTGCTCAAGCAACTGCACCTGTTTGGCACGTTTCAAGACGCGGACGAGTTTCCCTCGTCGCAGAACTCGTTTGTGACGGCGGAGTTTCAGGATATTACACTCGCGCCACACGCTGAAGAAGTCGTCCGTTTGACCTTCGTTGCCCACCACGTCGGTCTCGTCCGCATCAGCGGAGTGCGGTGGGCATTGAACGCCAACGTCCACGGCGAGCATGTGTTTCACTTGCCCGGTATATTACTGCAGGATTCGTTGACAAATCGTGCCACACGTGCTCGTGCCCCGAACTCTACTCTGACGTGCGACATCAAACCCCCGATGCCGTGGCTCGGGGTGTCGCTCACCAAGGACAATAAGAAATTGCCTTGGCCACTGGTCTGTTTGGAAGGCGAAATCATGACCCTCGACCTCGAGCTGGTCAACAAGGGGACCCACGCACTGTCCAACTTGACCATGGTGTGCTCGAGTTGGCAGTACGTTGTTGAAGGACCAAACAACAATGTTGTCGGAGCCACGGGGCACGTCAAGACGTTGCCGACTTTGACGCTGCAACCGGGGGAATCGAAATCGTTCAAAGTGCACTGCAGCAGCCGCACGATCGGGACCGAGACCGTCCGCTTTCTGTTTCGATATAGCAACATGGACAATTCATATCATCGGTTCGTCCCCCTGGCATTTGGAATCGAGGTCATGAAGTGCTTGCAAGTGACTCATACGATCCATCCGAGCTACGACAACATCAAAGAATATGTTCTTGCGCTGTCGGTACGTGCCTTACGTGTCCTTTCGTACCTTCAAGCCTGGCATAGGTTCACAATGGCCGCAAAGATGGGACAAAGGAGCCAACACCTTCGATGTCTATCTTGTCGCTGACGTCATGGAGCTCGTACTGGAAGATTCAGCCATTCCAGCCTACACTTGACGCTGCTGTCCACCGCCCACCGTCTGTGCTGCAGTGGCAAGAATCAAGCACATTTTATTTTCGCGTGACTCAACGAGACGATGGTGAAGTCAGCAGCACAATTCCTCTCCACGTCGATGCATCCCCACCAACGCATCCGTTTGGGGACTTTCTTTGCCTCGACAATTCGTCGTCGAGGATAGCAGCAGCAAAGAACGCCAGAAACGCAGCAGCCGGGTCCAAAGCATCCCATTCGAGCCTCATGCGCTCCATTCAAAGTGTCCGTCGTGAAAACAAAGACCAAACGAAACAACACCATGCCAACACGCAAGGTGGTGTCGTGCAACGCGTGAAACCCACGTCGGCGAACGCATTGGTGTCGTCGGAGGTATGGCTGTTCCGTTGCCATTCTCGGGACTTTATCTTGCTCTCACGTTAGACGGATTTGCATTTGGCGGTGCACTGGGCAGGCACTGGTGTTGTCGTGAACGGGATGCAGACAAAGCGCTGCGTGGGCCAAACAAACCTCCTCAACATTCAGATTCGTTCGAGTTACACCGCAACGTCCAATGTTTGCCCGCTCACGATGACCTTGTCGTATCCACCTCGATTTTCGCTGGAGGGCACCATCGGCGTTGATGTGACGCTCCATATTCAAAACAGCGCGTCGCCATCATCTCCGGGCATTACGTTCACGCTGGAAATGCTCGCCCCGGATGAAGAACATCCAAGCATTCGAAGCTCGAGCTCATCGAGCCAGCAGACGTGCCCCCGGGTATTTTGGTCAGGATGCACCCGCCAAACGTTTTGGAACGTCCAGCCCAACGCCGGCGTCGAACTCAACTTGACCGCGTGTTTCGTGTCCCCTGGAATTTACGACCTGAATCGCTTTCGATTCATTGTGGCACGCCAGGACAATCAAAAGCCGCTGACTGTGTTCTTTCCTGTCGAGTACTTGGTTCAAGTAACATCAGGTTAATGCACTTGGGCTAATGTTTCGTTTTTTTGCGAATGACATCATATCCTACGATCGCGTAAGAAGCGGAAGTCGGTGGAGTTTCAAGTCAAACACACGACGCTGCACGACGGTGGACATGGCCAGGATTCAAGTCGGCAAGGTGTTGGCACCGAGGTACGGAAATCATTCCCCGTGGTGCAGCTCAACCATTTTTTCTGGAAGACTAACGTTAGTTTTTAAAGAGTACAAATTCTCTCGACGAGATATGACAGCATTTATTATGTATATGAGAGATATGACAGCATTTATATCCAAAGTTGTGTTTGAATCAACAGTCCGCAAGGGGGCATCGAGGGACCTGCGGCTCCCTCTTCAAAACTAACAACTCTATCACAGAGGCCACGTCTGTTTAAAGTTTTGCGGCACTTTTGATCCTTGCAATACCGTAGTTGATTTGTTAAGAGGGAGCTTCAAAAACCTCCATAACTGAAATCTTTCATCCATTAAGTCTAACAGGAACCTTGGTGGAGAAAATACCTCACAAGAACAATTAAGAATGTATTTTGAGAGGCAAAATTGACATTCAAGTGCGCGCGAAGTTTCCTCGGCTCAACTGCAATGGCGGGGATACCAGAACAACCTGTCCATCATCGCAAGGCCACTGGTCGTCCATCCATCAAAAACCAATCTCGCAAGGAGCTGACCTACAAAATCAACTCCTTCTCAATTGAGAAGGAGTTGATTTGTGGCGTTAGTGTCGTAGGCTTTGCCGAGGTTGTGAAAGCCGCTGGACTTGTCAAGGAAGCGGTCCAAGCAGCTATGGACGATTGTGGACGCTCGAGGGAGACGCAAAAGCCACGGAGGCGCCTTCCACGAGCCCGAGCCATGCCTCGCAGTTTGGCGTTTGGTGACAATACGACAAGCCACGTGGTCGGTGTTGGGGATATGAGGCATGTGGGCGGCTTTCCAATGAGCCAACCGGGCCAACTGTGAGGAACAGAAGATGAGTCGAGTCTGTTGACGAGTTTTGGGTTCGTGAAAATCTTCCGCAAGGAGTTTTGCTGACGGAATAGGCCCACAACGGACAAAGACCAGACTGTCGATTCTCCCTTCCCACCCATCGTTTTGGTGCTCGGATTCAACAAGTCTAGGTACTTGTTGAGAATGCAGTTGAAATCGCCGCCCACCACATGAAGGAAGCGTGGGAGGGAAATCTCGGGGCAGTGCGTCGAAGAAACGCGCACGCTCGGTCCACGTCGCTGGCGCATACACATTGTGAAGGACAAGAGTCGCCGCGCCGAGTGTACAGTGGATCTGAACATAGTGGCCACGAAGGATAGGGCTATCATGTGCCTTTTCCACCGCATTCTTCAACGGCGAGTTGGAGAGTTGCCAAACCACCCGTGCGGGTGAAGTGAGCTCCAGGGGATAGAGAGGAGGCTCAAAGAACACAACACCTACGTGGTTGGTCAAACGTTGCCACTGGTAGGACTCCTTGTCTTGTAAACTTGGAGCCCGGAAACGCGTTTCTTGGACAAACGTGATGTCGTGGGTGCACGAAAGATTTTGGAGGATGTACCGATGGCTGTTGGGGAAGACGTTGATGTTGATGGAGATGATTTGTGGGTCCCAATACACGAGTTCAAAAGGAAGGCAGGAAAGTGGTCGTGATTCATAGGTAACGAGTGCGGATAAATGACTTGGGTGGTGGGGGGTAGTGGGAGGTGTAGAGCCTACAGCATTACGCGGAGGCTTGGAGGTCTTCCCACGCGGTGGCTTGGATGGAGTGCATCGCATCGTCGCACAGAGAGTCGAGGTTGGTGGAGTGGTCCATGACCGTTTCCACCAAGAACTC